GTTTTAGGTCAACCTGGATTTGTTTTAGGTCAGCCTGGGTTTGTTTTAGGTCAGCCTGGGTTTGTTTTAGGTCAGCCTGGGTTTGTTTTAGGTCAACCTGGGTTTGTTTTATGTCAGCCTGGGTTTGTTTTAGGTCAACCTGTGTTTGTTTTAGGTCAACCTGCGTTTGTTTTAGGTCAATCTGGGTTTGTTTTAGGTCAACCTGAGTTTGTTTTAGGTCAACCTGAGTTTGTTTTAGGTCAACCTGCGTTTGTTTTTGGTCAATCTGGTTTGTTTTAAGTCAACCTGAGTTTGTTTTAGGTCAACCTGAGTTTGTTTTAGGTCAACCTGGGTTTGTTTTAGGTCAATCTGGTAATTTTAGGTCAACCTGGGTTTGTTTAAGGTCAACCTGGGCTATTAAAAAAATGTTCAACGAAAAAATACGCAAATACAAATTCACTATACTTTTATTTTTTTCATTTGAGCGTGAAAAGATGTTTTATTGTGCTACACATTGAGTATGGTCAATTTTTTGCTAACGTCTTTAAAAAGAAATTCTCATACGCATTTGTTTTGTACGCAGTTTTCGGTTGTACATTTCCCCGCTGCATGGTTTTATGGCCACAGCCAAACTGAGTTTTATTCGAGGTAAAAAAAGGAAGAAATTCTACAATGTCAAAACGTTAAGCTAGAAATGGCATAACGTTAATTCAACAGAAATACATTATATTATGTCAAAAAGTTAAATGGAAGAAAGTGTATAATGCCAACATGTAAATAGAAAGAAATTCAACACAGAGCATTAATTAGCTAGAACCAGACAGTTATACAGTTAACCAAGAGATGGTGAGGTATGTGTAATAAAACGATCAGTGCTTGAGATATGGAAAACGTTGTAAAGATAGCTTCTAGACACGGCAGACGTGTGACAGACGATAGTGAGCAGCGTCACAAAAACACACAACTAGTTAGGGATATAGACTGAACAATTGTTTGTCTAACAACCACTTTTTTTACCAAGCAAAATTGTATTTTTCTTATTCAAACAACCAATTAAAGTTTTCTGTTTCTATCACCGATTTGCATATTAATCTTTATGTTAAACTCTTGTTTTCATCTGAATCTGTAGCCTAATTTTGTTTTTTTTTTTAAATTTCTAAGGTTATTGTTTTCCAATTAAAACGTTCTTTGTTATCTTGATCTTTCCTTCACTTAGCGAGACAAGAACATGTATGTTTTGTTTACATTAGGTGCAGACACGCTGTTTATTGTATGTGTTGCCAGGGTAAACAATGTGAACTCTAGTTAATGTTATCATTACGGTCGATATTTTAGTTAACTGGGTTTCCTGCTCGCTGTTAGGTTAAAGATTACGGTTAGAGTCTCAAATTACTTGCAGTGTCAGTTGCTGTTAGTTATGTAGAGAGGATTACATTTTTTTAAAGGTTGATAAACTTGTAGATCTATTGTCCTGTGCCAGTGTGAAAAGACGCTTCAATTAATGGGGAAGGGGGTGTGGAGGGAGTAGGTGTTGTTAAAGATAGGTGTTTCATATCAAGCATTTAGCATACCCCATGTAGCACACCTAAAGAACGGCATACCTTGAATGTAGAATATATAGACTTTGACTATATATACCCAGTGTGTAGCAAACTCTAAAGTGTATCATATCCAATTGTAGATTTAGTTATCCATAACATAGAATGTAGGGACCTTACCACTCTATGTCTTAAACATTTAAATTATTTTTTTGTTAACCGGCCATCGTCCACACTCTTTTCTCTCGCTAATCACCTCCAATTTCCCGCCATTATTTTCAAGTATTTCCCCTAAGGTGTGGTGTTTGGGTGTGTCCACTAGAAATTACACCCTCGACACTTTGTCAAAGTGATACTGATTAAATAAAACTAATAATTTAAATCTATGTGACCAAGAGGGCACTGATAAATTCTCCATGGTACACAAATTCACCGGTCCCTCTGTGATCGTTTCACTTTTTTGAATATATATATATATATATATATATATATATATATATATATATATATATATATATATATATATATATATGTATATATACGTATATATGTATATATACGTATATATATATATATATACATATATACATATATACATATATATATATATATATATATATATATATATATATATATATATATATATATATATATATATATATATGTATATATATATATGTATATATACATATATATGTATATATATATGTATATATATATGTATATACGTATATATATGTATATACGTATATATATATATATATACATATATATATATATATATATATACATATATACATATATATATATATATATATATATATATATATATATATATATATATATATATATATATATATATATATATATATACATATACACATATATATATATATATATATATATATATATATATATATATATATATATATATATAGAGAGAGAGAGAGAGAGAGAGAGAGAGAGAGAGAGAGAGAGAGAGAGAGAGAGAGAGAGATGCTACTTTGAACAGTACATGCCAGGGTTATCAAGTCAAAAGTTTATTTCCATTGCTCTGCTCGGTAAGCACGTAGCTGACGTAGACCCACTCCAAACCGTGTATATTTACTTCTGCCAAGTCAACCTCTTCAGTGAAAATAAAAATGTATCTGGGGGGATCGGCCGAAATTAGCCAGAAATAAAAATGCGAAGTATGTTTTCTTCCACCACGGGAGATGACTCTCAACTTACAGTCAGGATTTCTTCACCTTGAGAATGTTTCTGCCATCGAGTACAAAATCTTGTAGACAAACTCACCGAACACCCTCTGCTATTGCTGGGATGTGAAAATAAACATTGACACATTTACCGCATAAACCTGCGCCTTACTGTCGATAACGGGACTTTCATTTTTCATTGATAATCCAACATGAGAAAGTTGTGTTTATTTATATTGAGATCAGAAATGATATTTTGATGTTAAAATGTAAATAAAAACATGGAGCTTGAATTTGAAATCCATGTAGGCCTATATAGGCGCGAAAACGTTGACTCTATCCTAAAATTTTGAGTTCTACCTTACGTGGATGTACACATTTTGAGACGCACATTTTATTAAATCTGTTGTAATTCATAAACAGGCCTACCACTATTTCTATCAAATCTATTGTTGGCTATTTTATAGACAGGTTTTTTTCCAGACATCATCCTGGATTGAAACTTTGTTGAGGCGGGCATTTGTAAAAATGGTTAGTTTAAAAAAAAAATGTGTTTAGCGAGAATTGGGGGGGGGGGATGGAGGAGGCAGTAATGGAGAATGTCTGAAAGAAACCGTGTTCTAATCTATTACTGGCCATTTTATGAAATCTATTTACATTTCATAGGTATGAGTATGATCATTTTGTCAAATCTATAAAAACAAAATTCATAGATACGCCCATTTCATCAAATCTATGACCTTTCATAAATTCACAGACGATGACGTCATCCTATCACTATCACGTACACCAAAATGTCTGCCATTTCGCTCACCATTTCCACAGCTGTCGGAAATGTGATAGGTTTAGCAGCGATTATCCGCGCACAAAAATAGAGGAATCTGATCTCAAGACGATTTTCTGATGGCGTGCCGCTGTAGATGGGTATCTCAGTGTAAGCCAGCGCTGAGCCTTTTTGTAAACAAAGCGAAAAATCTGGGGCTTTCATTTTTCTATGGTCGTTTGTTGGCGCTGAAACGAGGCTTTGTGTTGCCCGTATGTACAGACAGCTTTGTTTCCGTGTTTGACTCGTTTATAACTTGCCTTTTGTAAAAATAAATTAGGGCTTAGTGTTTTTTTCCCTCTTTGGAATTGTGTCAAATTATGTTTGAAATTGGAGTCGGGGTAAAAAATATGTAAATATGTGATAACGAGGTGCTGGAAGGTGATACATGCTCTAAATTTAGACACCTGGAGTTTTAAAGTATTTTTAATATACTAGCAATTGTCCCGTCGTTTTTTTTTTTTTTTTTTTTTTTTTTTTTTTTTTTTTTTTTTTTTTTGGGTTTTATTTTACAAAGATTAAAAAAGAATTGGTCATTTATTAAGAATGGGTAGAAGTATAGAGCTCTTATATAATTTTTAAAAAAAACTACACATTTTTAAATATATTTTTTTTATAAACTTAAGAGATTATCTTGATTAAAAAAAACAGGAAAAGTAAATGTACCTCTAGTCATGTATAAAGTTTACTTAACCAAAAAAATATCTTGTTAACTAAATGTCTCTACGCAGCCTTTAAAATATTTGTCTTATTCAATAAATTAACAGCAAATTCCATTCGAATGTTTTTAAATACATTAATGGCATATGTTATTTACAGGGTTATGGTTTTTTTTAAAATAACTTTAACCTGTTAAATGGTACCAAGAAGAAAATATTGACAATTTTTAACATAGTTAATTATCGGGAATTTCCGGACAGAACCGAGCTAATATCGTTCTTTGCTTAAACCAAGACCCCTGCGCCACTACATACACCCTAGGCATACACATTTTAAAAAAAAATATGGAGCCTGTCTTCACCAATCTGCTTTAACTAGGTGTTTGAAAAGTTGATGCACATAAACAGACTGATAGTCGACTTGTTGCGTTTAAATATTCAGGTCAAAATATATCTCAGGTTGATGATAAGACGTCCTATAATTTATAAATGGTAAGCACCAAAAACAAATCGGTAATTTTATGTTCTCCAACAGTACAGTAGAGTACCGTATTACGGTTTTGTTTGCTAGTATCGTTGTTAGTGCTAGACGTATGTCCAGGGCTTGTGCTATGTAACGATATCAGGAAAATGAAAATAACTTTTATACACACCTACCGGAAACAGAAGAGCCTACAAACCTTTGTAAATGTCTCGATATTTTTTAGAGATCCATACTCTTGCCCTAACTGTGTGTTCTAAAACTGAAGCCTTCGTACAAACTGTTTCTTATCCCTATCTCATAATGTGTGTTATTTCTTCACAGAGACCTGAGGTTCAACAAGATCAAAACAGTTCCAAAAGGCAGCTTCAGATCTCTACCTAACCTCAGCACTTTGTAAGTTGCTTGCTCTAGAACTCCAAGAAGAAATTTAAAAATTTAAAAATAAATAAAAGTTATATTCGTGCTTCGACATTCAAAATTGTAATTTCCCTCATTTCTCAAAATTTTAAATGTCTTTGCGCATACAAAAAATTATTTGTTGAATAGTTGCATTTCATATGTACCTCGTGTTTGAGTTCACCCACCCCTCCCCCCAACCTCCCCCCACTACCTACCCCATCACCCAACTAGCCACCATATTTCTCACAGACATCCCGATGTGTTTACTAGAGATGTTAACATTACGTCCATTCAGAACCCGACGACATCCCCGTCGTGTTGACACAGTCTTGTTGTCATGGCAACACCCACGTTTACCCCACACAGATGCACGAACGACAACTCGCGTGCACTCTTTGCTCTGCCCTGCTATCCACATGCACATATCCGGGCAATCCATTGCTCTCCCTTGTAATTACCCCCCCCCCCCCCCCGCTTTAGAGCGATGTGCACCACCCCGAGATCCAAGAAATAACCACCCCGGTACGTCATATTTCCTCAGCTATGATTTAAATGCTACGGATATTTTCGGAAATGTCCGTTCCTCCCAACAGCTGCCGAAAATAAAAAATGGTACACATGAATGTATGTTTGTTGACTTTGATGTCGTAAAAAACAAGTAGGTCATGTGCAGTGTGTCCCCGCCCCTGCCCCGCCCTTAAAACCCGCTAGGGAAAACTTTGGTATTTGGACACTGCTCATCTGCATGTCGGTAAATGCAGCGTCGCGGGTATCACGTGACCTTTGAAGATTTATCATCGGCAAAAGCTCATGGCTTTGTTCTCGCGTAGCCTATACGCTATTTGCAACAATGTCTAATGTCATGCGCAGTTCAAACAACTAATTGCCAACAGCAAACTTGAGCTGTTCGGTGTCTTAGTTGAGTGTTGTGTCGCAAGACAGACAACATATAGATCTACTACAAGATGAAGATTATGCCCACACATACACATACACATAAATATTCACACACACGCATGTTAATTCTTCTGCTTCAGACTTATTGTTTAATTCCTCTGTTTCTGACTTACTTCCCCTGTTTCTGACTTACTTCCCCTGTTTCAAACTTACTTCCCCTGTTTCTGACTTACTTCCCCTGTTTCAAACTTACTTCTCCTGTTTCTGACTTACTTCTTTTTGTTTCTGACTTACTTCCCCTGTTTCAAACTTACTTCCATTGTTTCAGGATTATTTTTCCTGTTTCAGGCTTTTCCCCCTGTTTCAAACTTACTACCCCTGTTTCAAACTTACTTGCCTGTTTCAAACTTACTACCCCTGTTTCAAACTTACTTGCCTGTTTCAAACTTACTTCCCCTGTTTCAAACTTACTACCCCTGTTTCAAACTTGTTTCATTCCTCTGTTTCAGACTTTTAAATAACAATGAAGTTGAGGAGCTTGAAGATGGCTCTTTTGAAGGATTGCCTAATCTACGATACCTGTAAGTTTTTTTTTTAATCAGTCTTAGGTGCTGAACATTCAAAATCTGGGTTAACATCTATGTCGTCTAAACAGCCGATATAAATGTTTACTCAAGTTAGAAAAAGAAATCTAAGTTTTATATCAACAATTCCCTAACGCCACAAAACTTAAGTCCATTAAAAATTGTTCAGAGATAAATTAGCAATAAGCCCGACGATAATTTGTAGAAGGAAATAAAACTGTTGATAAAATAAAAGATAAATATGTTTAAACGTGAGTAGAGTTGTGCTTACAGTGCATTCTGCCCTACACCTGCACCTAACCTGCATTGTTTCAGGTACCTCTACAAGAACAAGATCCGAAAGGTCAATCAGAACTCTTTTCGTCACCTCCCGAAACTGGAGCAACTGCAAGTTTTTTTTTCTTTTTCTTTTTGTGTACCCCCCCCCCACCACCACCAATCATGCAGCTGTTAAAAGGCTGGTTTTTTAATTTCTCCACCCCAATAATACAGCTGTATTATAGGTATTTTTTATCCCCCCCCCCCTCTCCCCCAATCATGCAATTGTACAAACCTGGCTCCGTGTGTAGCGCCACCTTTAACTACCATCCTCTCACCGTTTGTTGTTCAATTGTTGCTAGGTTAAAAAACAAAAATGGACGCCGTGTTTGTACATGCCCACACCCCCTCCCCCTGCATAATGGCGTCTGTTTCATCTCGGGTACATTCAAGGGAAGACAACTGCCAAACAGATTTATTTGTTATGCAATCTGGTGTACATAACTTTAGCACACATTTTTTTCACACTTAATTAGCATTGTTTTCTTAGGCGGGGGTGGGGAGCTTGTGTTCGGGGGAGGGAGTAGAGTAGAGGTGTTTGTGAAACTGTGAAAAGACGTATCACTATCATGGTGTGGCTTTCATCAACCCTGGTATGTGGTTGTTTCAATGGAGGTGTTTGAAAGTATTACATTTTGTGAAGGGTTGGTTTTTAGATTGCCGCCTCACTCACACAGACTGAGCTTGTGTTGAAATGTTCACACCTGCGCAATTTAAAAATAAAATCTGGATGGAGGTAGCAGGAACACATGAGTACAGTGGCCACGCCCTGCGTTAACTTGATCTCTCGGGAAATAAAATATTTCTGTGTGTCTGTATGGTTGTTATGTAGGTGTTATTGTGGGGATGTTTGTGTGTGCTTGTGAGAATATGTGTGTGTTGTGTGTATTTATACATGTATATTGTGTGTGTTTGTACATGTGGGCTTGCGTGTTTATATGTGCTTGCATGTTTATGTGTTCTTGCATGTGTGTGTGTGTGCTTGTATCTGTTTATGTATGTGTGTGTTTGTGCGCGTGTATGTTGGCTTGTATGTGTGTATGCTCTTGGTGCATCAACCCTTACATACGACCTACACCCAGCACTGACCTCCTCTAACCTACCATATCAACCTCCACACAAGGTCCTTTCATCTCGACCTGGCAGCGATTGTTGTGTGTCTAGCAACCCCCCCCCCCTCCTCCCCACTCCCCCTTCATTACTAGGGCTGCAATTCTTCATCTGCTCTGGGCTAAAACAAAAACTGTATAAACTATTTCACAGGACTCGCAAGAAACAAAACAGAAGCAACAATCTCCCTTGAAACTAAACAAACTAAAATAAAAAGCCAATGTTACGTCGTTGTTAAAATGTTGACTTACTGCCAGCTATTTCTCAATGGCGGTATAGTACATTATAGAAATAACCATATGACCACTAAAACTACTGCACCTACGACTTTATCAGTTACTACGAAATATACCAATTGACCAGTCGGTTAACTACAACTAAAGATACCATCAATCAATCAAAATTATTGCTTGTAAACACCTTTTTTTTCTGAAAACTTCTCAGTTCTCTATTCATCATATCTTCTCCTTGCTGGATTCACCAAAACTATTTTTCAACTACTAGCAGTCTTCTGTGTTTTGTCATGAGTCAGGCCACTTCCTGTTCTTGGCCACCCGAGTTTAGCCATTTAGTTCATATGTTAATGAACACCACACTGATCTACTCTAAGCTCTCTTTAAACTTACTAACAAAAAGAACATGCATATAAATTAGATGGACAGGATGTTTAGGAACGGTAACTCGAAACAACACAGTTGCTTCCCTTACTTCGTCACTTACCGAAGATGAGGCATAGAATGGAATCGTGTAGTCTGTGAAAACTTGTAATGAAAGAATCGGAACAAACAGTTATGACGTAACACCAGGCAGATCGTTGAACCTTACCTAGGTGGCGTGGGTGTCAGCGGCGGAGGCACGAGTGAGATAGTTGTGCAGCTAATAAGCCAAACTTAATTTCATTGAAACTACGCTTCTTCGAAGTTTTTTTTTTTTTTTTTTTTTTTTTTTTTTTTTTTGGACTAACAAAAAGTTATTTAAAAACCTATTCACGTATGCGTAAGCACCCTATTGTTTTAAAAAAAACATGAAAAATTGATACAAATGTATTCAAAACATAAACCAAAACGACACCAAAAACAACATAATTTAGAAAGTCTAAATGTAAGCAAAAAAAGAAAGGATTTAAAACGGGAATGTAATAGATGGATCAAGTACCTAAGAATAGGCGTGACTCGAACCTACGACTCGACGCCTCTAACGGTTTTCTAATGGAGCTCAGACGCATCAGAGTCATAATTATTGTTGTCATGCGCACTCAGCATACGAGAAAATGATGGGATATCACATCTTCAGAACTGGCAATACGCATGTAAACACGTGTCACTAGTGTGTGTCATGATTCATTTAACGCATGTAACATAATGGGGTGGGGTGGTGGAATGGAGTGGCGGGGTGGGTAGGTGCTCATGTATAGGTTTAGGTTACGGGTGTTAATTTCAGTCTATAAGAAATGTATTTTTTTTCTTGAAACGAAAGTGAGTGCGAATACTTGAATGTACTTTAGAGCGAGGCTGGAGTAAAGATGGTAGTCATTATAAAAATCAAACGTTTGCTTGAACGTCTGCAAGACACCGGAAGTATCCTATGAACACCTGACAGATGATTTAAAAAGCTGGATCAGCCATTAATGTTTTTTTTTAAACTTTCAGATACCTGCAACTCAATAACCTGACCAAGTTTCCAGCCCATCTTTTTGATGAGAACCCTAACTTACGTAGGCTGTAAGTACAGACACATGCAGCATTCACAAAGTGACGGCTGCTTTGATTACCTCCCCGCGCGCGGATTCTTAAAAACAAGGACCGATGTTCTTGGCGGAAGATTAAGTGCTATTGATAATTCTTTTTTCTCTTTTTTTTTCGTGGCACTTGTCCGTGGCATTCTTGAAATATAAACATTTTTGTTAGGGGTCTAATGTTGGAGCTAAAATGTCGGTGAAGATTTGCTCGCTAAGGAAAGGCCCTCCTAATTTAGTTTATTGAAGCAATGTTTCTTGTTGAATGATATTTTAAAGCTGTCTTTTAAAAAAAAAAACATTAGCTTAACACATGTTCCATGGATTAAAAATTCGTATAAAAAAAATATTAAAACTACACATGGTATTAGAGTATTTCATTTCATTGATGTTTTTTTTTCTTGTCATAATATTTGTTACGATGCGGTTTAGGGTTAGTTCAAGTGTCGGAGATAGATTGCTGATTAGACTTTTCTTGGGTTAAGGCCAGGGTTCAGTCGCGATACTTGCAAAAACATAGCCTCGGATTTTTTTCCTATCTACGTTTCTGAGTACCAACCTTTCTAATCGAAAAAAAAAAACATTTTACCTCTCTGAGATATTTCTACAGCTTGATAAACAACATACATAATAAAAAAAAACTAAATAATTTGTCAGAAGAGGAAGGAGAGTCATGGCGCTTAATTAACGATAATTATAAGCTATTCATTTTAATCATTACCAAGTAAAGCACCTTCCTTTAATCACTCCCCCCCCCCCCCCCCAGCCGGCTGGACTCGAACTCTCTGATGTGCGATTGTGATATGATGTGGCTGGCCGACATGTTGAAGGAGAAGGATGGGTACACTCAGGCCTCTGTCATCTGCAAGTATCCTAGCAAGCTGCAAGGGAGGTCACTATTGAGCATCTCCAAGGAGGATTTTAACTGCGGTAGGTCCTTACTTCCCCTTGCCCTCTTCACTGAGCACAAAGGCAAGTTGAATTGTTTTAATCTTTTTGAGAAATGCGCATGTCGATAACTGTTTAAGGACAAAACGAGGAGGGGGGAGGGACGCATTAAACATCAATTCTTAAGGGATAATGTCGACTAAAAATGTAAAAATAAAAAATTATTTAATTAAATTATAGTTGATGTGGCGAAAATCGAGAGCATATATTTATACAAAAATTGTTATATAACACGTGGCGAAGTCGAATCACCCACCATCTTGCTCTCGTCTGCTGAGAACCCACAGCCTGTCCGCAGATGGAGGCTGTTGATCTGCTGACCCGAGCGTGCCCAATACGTCACGTAGTCACGTGTCTACCAGAATGTCGGGAGTTACTGGTCTTTGACCGTGTGTTAAACTGGGATGGGGTAGACTTTACAACTGTCAATTACCCACCGGGGTCAATTACCCACCATGGTCAATTACCCCCCTCCGTCCAAAAAGTACAGTAGTACATTATCACCTGTAAATCCCCCCCCCCCCCCCGTTCATTCAGAATAGGTTAAGGTTAATATAGGGATAGGGTTAGGTAGGGATAGGTTTATAGTTTGAGACAGAGATGGGGCTATGTGAGGGATATGGATAATGAAAGGGTTGGAGATGGGGGGGGGGGGGGGGTATAAAGATGAACTGTGGGGCTAATAATACAGGAGGTGGGGGAAAATTGATCTGGGGGGACGGGGGACGGAGAGTGGGTAATTGAAGAAGTGTGGGGGTATGTTTTAAATTGAAGCCTTTCTTAAATAATTGTCACAATCTATTTTGTTGGGTTACTGAATTAATTCTGCGCAGATTTGTTTTTTTTTAACAAATTTCACTTTAAAAATCTGAACTCGCGATACAAGTTTAAAATGCGGCACTGATAAATGGTAGATTGATACCGCTGACAGGAGCACAGATTTGCGCCGCGATAAACCATGGAGCCAGACATCACAAGACTAATCTGTATCACGTAACTCTCGCCTAATCCCGCCACAGTACAGGAAACGCTTTATCTTTCTGTAGGCAGGGAGTTATTTACCCCTTAATCGCTGCAGATAAAACCGCGCTACTGTCGCAGAACAAACCGTTCAAACGAAAACATGTCAGACGGGATTAACCAACAACCAACGGTTTATTGTAAACGACTGGTGTAAATCCCAGTTACTGTGTCCTTGACGTGGCCGCGATGACGTCATGCACCAAACCTCGGGACGACGTCTGGTGGTCGTCTGAATAATGGATTTCTTTCCCTTGGATGACTTACGTCCCCTTTGAAGTCTATCACCTGATTAGAAAGTCTACGACCAAATGTTATTCAACTTAACAGACTGTAGTCCGGCTAGGAACGTGGGCAGTAAAGTGTTCACATACGGTTGTTCTCAACCGCTTATATATATATATATATATATATATATATATATATATATATATATATATATATATATATATATGTGTGTGTGTGTGTGTGTGTGTGTGTGTGTGTCTGTGTGTCTGTGTTTATTTATCTAGTATTTGAACAAAATGATGTGAAGAGATAGGCGCGCACATTTTTTAACCCATGTAATCGACAACTGCCTTTCAGCTCAAAAGAATGTATCAACCTTCTTATTTAATCAGCTTAATACGAAATATTTTTGTGACATAACTAAATTTAAAAAAAAAATTTCAACACTTCATAATTAAAATCCATCATTCCAAAACAGTAAGCAGATAAATTGTCAATTTTTAAACTACTGAAAAATGACAGAATCGCTGTTCTTCACCCTCTTAAAATATTTCAAGGGAGATAATTTATCTAACACTAATCCCAAGTATGTCTCCCTTGAAATATGATCCAAGTGTAGCAGTTTGTAAATGTTTAAACAAGAGTCTAAGACGCAAATATTCGGATAATCGGAATTTTTTACCCGAATTTTTTTCCTTTGATCTTTTGAACAAAAAAAAAATCGCGGAGTGTATTAGTTCATATCATATTTTAAAATATTGGGACTAAAAGCGCCATTGTTTTGAAGGTGTTTACTTTAGGCTTTAAGATGTTTTGTCATGAGCATTATATGTCTACTCTTTTCAATAGGTCTGATATTTTCTAATGCTTTAGAATTAGCTTTTAATTTAAAACCAAATAAATTATTTTAAATGTGTTTTTATTCCAGAACCCATTTTGTTTATCTATGCCATTTTTTTTAAACCAAAGAAAAGCCGACGATCGTAAAAGAGCCAAAGAGTGTTGACGTGACATTTGGCAACACTGTATATTTCAACTGTGAGGCCAAAGGCTTTCCTGAACCCGAGATTACCTGGCTACACAATGAGTACGTTTTTATTTGCCTCCTTTTCTAAAGATTGTATAATAGTAATAGTGGCTTGTTCAAATGCTTAGAAATTAGAAATGTTTTCAAAAGTTATAATCTTTATTTTGTTTACCTCCTTTTCTAAAGATTGTATAATAGTGGCTTGCTCAAATGCTTAGAAATGTTTTCAAAAGTTATAATCTTTATTTTGTTTTAAAATTTTTAATAATTGAACCTACATTAAAAAAAAACATTTGATTCAAAAAATTGTTTAGCCTGATTAATTTATGTTCTTATTGTCATGGTGTTAAAATAAAAATGGACTCAAAACTTATCATTTTAATATATAATTCAAATATTTTCTTCTGTAAAAATAAGCATATATATATATATATATATATATATATATATATATATATATATATATATGAAAAACTATATATTCACATATCAACAACATTTTCTAGCAATGTCATACAAGACACTGAGAGTGACAGATACAAAGTTATGGAAGACGGCACCTTGATGATTGAGGATGCTCAAAACTCCGACACTGGCACCTATGAGTGCATGGCCACAAACGCCATGGGCATGACCAAGACCAACAAAGTAGAACTCAGATACATTGGAGATAATGGTAAGGGATTAGCTCCCTTCTTTATAAATGTTAATGGATTAACTCCCTTTACAAATGAAAAAAAAATCCTCTTTATTCATACAATGAACTATAATATTAGGAAGACACTTTTTTTTTAATCACATGTATAATTCTGTGAATATAATAATTATTGCTTGATTAATGCTGTTTAATTACAAAAAATTCTACCCTCGGATTAAAGTAAAGCTTTATTTATCTTTACAGTAATAAACAGAGAGAAGTTAATATATTTCTTACTCCCATAAGTACTTATGCTTAAATAAGTTGTTAAAAAACATGTGTTATAAACTTATTTGGAACCAAAAGCAAACATATTTTTTAATAAATGTGCCTATTGAAATAATTTTTTTTTAGAATATCCTTAAATCATTTTATAAACTTCAATCACGCATATATATGTATAAAATAAATATTTTTCTTCTGTCAAATATTTTCCAGTGATTCCAAAATTCATGGAAACACCTAGTGACGTTGTCGCTGCTGAAGGTGATGACATCACGCTGCCATGTCAGGCATCTGGCAACCCCCGACCTGGCATTACCTGGACCCTGAACTCAGCGCCGGTCAGAGGGAACATCAGGGCCAGACAGTTTGATAACGGCACCATGCAGATCATTAACCTCAGGGTCTCCGATGCTGGCCTGTATGAATGTAGTGCATCCAACTCAGTTCAAACCATTTCCTCATCAGCTAGGGTTAGGGTTTTAGGTAAGCCACCCACACAAAAATCATTAAGATTTCATGGGGTTTATATATAACCAAAGCTTATTGATGTTTAGTTTATTAAAAGCAGTGGCGTAGCGAGGTCGGGTGTCACCCGGTGCGGCACTTAATGGTGTCACCCCCCTAGAGGCGTAGCGACCCTTCACTCACGGGGACGAACTTTCAAATTTTTGATTTGCACCCCCCCCCCCTTCAAACTTTCGATTTGCACCACCCCTTCAAGTTTTCAATTTGCACCCCCCCCCCCCCTCAAACTTTCGATTTGCACCCCCCCCCCCCCCCTTCAAGTTTTTCTCTATATATCTTGCTATTTTTTGCCTTGGTGTCACCCCGCTAAATGGTGTCAGCCGGTGCGGTCCGCACCCCCCGCCCCCCCCCCCCCCTCGCTACGCCCCTGATTAAAAGCAAAAGAGGTCTTATAAAAATTTAGAAATACGATAATTTTCATTATTGTTTAACACAAAACCTGTCATAGTTGAATGGTAGAGCTTTTACCTGCTAACCTGAAAGTCTTTAGCTCAAATCCTGGGCTCAAATCCATAAGACATCCCTGAGTCCACCCAGATCTGATAGGTCCCTGATATATGTTAAGGAAAGTAGAGGTGATTGGGCTTAATGCTGACCACACAATCTCTTCATATATAGATATCACTGAAACAGGTGAACTCTTCTTCACCTTGCCAGTACACCATAAAGTTTAAATATTACTTTACTTTCTTTACAACAAATAACATAAATTTATTATTGAAAGTAATTAATAATTACCATAGCTCACTCATATAATTACTAATTATATGAGTGAGCTATGGTTTTTAAAAATTTTAAGTACATAATTTAATAATACACCAACTTTAGAATATGAGTTTATGACCAATGTATTTTAACATAAAGCCTCATCCTTGTAGTGCGGCCTGTGATTGTACGTGCCCCTGTAGACACCAATGCTGGCCTGGGGTCAACCATCAGCTTCACGTGTCAGGCTCAGGGAGATAGCCAGCCAGTTATTGCTTGGTCCAAGAATGGTAGGTACTCATCATTTAAATAAATAAAACAATAAATACATATACTTTATATATTCTTATAGATAATATGTACATCTATGTCTTGATAAACATATACTTATTTTTACAAATAGACAAGCATGTATGGATTTGTTTAGCAGAAACTGTATCATCCTTGTGTAGGTAGTCCATTACAAAACAATGGCAGATATGATTTACAACAGAACGGTGAAGTCCTGGTCATAAGGAATGTAGCTGCAGTAGATCAGGGCACTTTCACCTGCAGGGCGGAGAATGCCGCAGGTGTGGTGACAGCCAACGCCCGCCTGAGTATTGTCCAGAATGGTAAGCTGTGAGTAGAGGAACTACTTGTGTGTGAGTAACTGTCACTAGTACACACAGTTGAGTACCTGTAACTTGTTTTTGTACACACAGTTGTGTACCTGTAACTAGTTTTTGTACACACAGTTGAGTACCTGTAACTTGTTTTTGTACACACAGTTGTGTACCTGTAACTTGTTTTTGTACACGCAGTTGTATACCTGTAACTTATTTTTTGTACACAGTTGTGTACCTGTAACTAGTTTTTGTACACATAGTTGAGTACATGTAACTTGTTTTTGAACACACAGTTGTGTACCTGTAACTTGTTTTTGTACACACAGTTGTGCAAATTTTAAAAAAGAAATATCTGTTCCTGTGATATTCATTACACAATGGGATCTAATTTCTACATAACTGAGTTGCTATAATACAGTTGGATAAAATTTCTATTGAAATTAATCTTAAGGTGTAAAAAAATCAAGAGCAAATAAGCTGTAAGATAACCTTTTTATTTATTTTATAACTTATCATTTACTACATTACATTAGTATTTGTTGTTTTCTCTTTTTTATATAACAAATCCTTTATGGTAAGACTATCACTAAGGCAAAATAATTTTCTGACAGTCAGTCATTATTTATTAAATTTGTTTCTGTACAGTGGCTCCTAGTTTTCAAGTCAGTCATTATTTATTAAATTTGTTTCTGTACAGTGGCTCCTAGTTTTCAAGTCAGTCATTATTTATTAAATTTGTTTCTGTACAGTGGCTCCTAGTTTTCAAGTCAGTCATTATTTATTAAATTTGTTTCTGTACAGTGGCTCCTAGTTTTCAAGTCAGTCATTATTTATTAAATTTGTTTCTGTACAGTGGCTCCTAGTTTTCAAGTCAGTCATTATTTATTAAATTTGTTTCTGTACAGTGGCTCCTAGTTTTCAATTCAGTCATAAAATATTAAATTTGTTTCTGTACAGTGGCTCCTAGTTTTGCACAGAGCACAGATTTTGTGATAGCTGCCCTTGGTTCCCTAACAACTCTCCGCTGTGCTGCAGAAGGTCAGCCTGCCCCAGTGTATGAATGGAGCAGAGATGGAAGGGTCCTCCAAAACAGGAACAGATTCACAGCTGTTGTAAGGCCTTAAACATGATAATCCTGTGTTGTGTTTTCACTCACCTTTAAAATGACCAAGTACTGAATTGTACACTGATCTGTGAGCAAGTTTTGATTTTTGACCGTGGTCCCACTTTCAGGCTGGCCAGTTGAGTGTCTCCAATGTTCAGACTGGAGATGAAGGCAGATATGATTGTGTCGCAGAAAATCTGCGTGGCAGGGCTACCAAATCATTTTATCTTCAAATACAAGGTAAGCATCAAGCTCTTAACTTGTTCTATGTAAAATCTGTTTTGAATAAGCTATCATTAGTCAAAAGGATATTAACCACAACATTTTTTAACATTACTTGTGGATAATGAAAATAAAACAAGCATTAGACGTGATGTATTTACAAGGGCTATTCGCTTGCTAAGTGCAAGAAAATAATAAACACAGGCCAAAAAATTATTTAGCATGAAATGTGCAGAGTTAAAAATAAATGGAGTAGTTTCTGGTTTAAACTTAGTTCTAGCATCTTCTACAGGAGCTAACACAGCAAGAGTGGGTGACAGATTTGTGAGAGATGCCATCCCCCAAGCCACACAACAAGTCAATCTAGCCATCAATCTGACACAGGCATCTTTGTTTAACAACACTCGCACACACAGTGTCCATGTAAGTTGTTGTTCAACCTGACCCAGGCATCTTTGTTTAACAACACTCGGACACACAGTGTCCATGTAAGTTTTTAACCTGACCCAGGCATCTTTGTTTAACAACACTCCCACACACAGTATCCATGTAAGTTGTTTAACAACACTCGCACACACAGTGTCCATGTAAGTTGTTTAACAACACTCGCACACACAGTGTCCATGTAAGTTGTACATATCAGTTTAACAGCTTTTGCGCCAAATGTTCATGTAAGTTGCAAGTGGGATAGCGTTTTTATGTCAGAGAATCAGAAATATTACAATCCAAAATAATCCAACATGAGGTGAATGAAACATATTTTAAAATCTTATATTTGAAAATTGAAGTTCAGAATCTAATGCAATGTTGTTTTATTTTTTAAAAAAATATTACTGATTTATATGATTTCTGCATGTGTACATAGATAAGATGTTTAAATGTGTTTTGATTTTAATTTTTAAAAAAGTAATTAATTTTCACAAGTAACTGCCATCATACTTGAAATTGATGTTAAAGATAGACTAATTTGCAAAAAGCAGGATGAAAATTGTTTTTTATTCCACCAGGATCTCATTAAATCCATCCGCTACCCATCACCAGATTCTTTGGACTTTATAAGAGCAGAAGAGATCTTTGAGCAGACGTTGGAGATTGTCTATCAGCATGTTAGACAGGGAAACAACTACAATCTCTCTGGATCTGGTTAGAATTGTTTCTGTATTATTTTAAGCAAACAACAAATATTTTTATTTTTTGCAGTGTATTATTTGTTTATTATTTAAATATTTAATAATCATGAATCATGTCACAGACATTTTATTTTTATTTAAAAAAAAATACATTTCAAAATAATTTTTATTTATTTTTACTTTTTTTCTCTTCCAACTAGAAAATTCTTATGAAGAGTTAATTTCTCCTGCTCATATTCAAATCATTGCAAATCTTTCCGGCTGCTTAAGGCGCACCCACGATGCCGACTGCTCAGACAATTGCTTTAACCGGCGCTACCGCACCATGGATGGTACATGCAACAACTACCAGCACCCAACGTGGGGCGCTGCCAACACAGCCTTCAACAGGCTGCTCCCACCTATTTATGAAAATGGCTTTAATTCACCAGTAGGTAAGTTGTGAAATTTAACTCTCAGGTTTTAGATAACTGGCTATAATTCAACAGTAAGTAAAATGTGAAATTCAACACTCAGATGTTTAGATAACTGGTTTTAATTCACCAGTATAAAAGATGAAAAATTAAGCACTCAGTATTTATATAATTGGTCCCAACACACATAGTTTAGCAACACAATTTCAATGATTCAAACCAGACATTCTCAGTTGTTTTTTTTTCAAACCTTAATTTATTGTAGCCTCCCAAGGTAATTTGATTATAAACATCACTTTTTAATCATTGAAAAATGATAAGTATTATCTTAAAGATTTTATTCTAAGTAACATGTCCAAAAATGTTATTACATGTAGCAACTAAAAAATACTAATTTAACACCTAAAAACAATTATATTACATTCATCATCTAGAACAATGACATAACAGGTAGTAAATAAAATAATTACATTACATGTAGCAACTAAAAATTATATTACATGTAGCAACTAAAACAACTATATAATGTTTACCTAGGTTGGAACCGCCACAGGCTCTACAGAGGAACTCACCTGCCCAGTGCCCGCCTGGTGTCCTCTCTCCTCATGTCCGCTGATGACCAGATCATAAATGATGACACCTTCACGCATATGCTGATGCAGTGGGGTCAGTTTCTTGACCACGACATGGATCTTGCACCCCAGGTAATGAGAATTTGATTTGGATTAAAAATGTGAAAGAAAAAAATGGTAGAAGTAAAATGATGGGGCTGAATATGATAGTCATTTTGAAAAGAAAGATGTTAACCAAATATATAAATCATGTTTTAGTTATAATAAAATGGGTTACCTGGTTACAATTTATACAATCTTTAAACTTTAAAAGCTCCATATGTATATATATATATATATATATATATATATATATATATATATATATATATATATATATATATATATATAATTTAACCGTTTATGTACATCATATTACATATTACAGGCAGTTAGCTACGCAAGGTTTAGTGATGGCAGGTACTGTAACGAAACCTGTGAAAACACAAACCCTTGCTTCCCAATTCAAGTGCCCAACTCTGACCCCAGGATCAGAGACTACCAGTGTCTTGGGTTTACCCGCAGCAGCGCCACCTGTAACACTGATGCTACATCTTTGTTCTTCAAAACACTGGCACCAAGGCAGCAGCTGAATGCTCTGACGGCCTTCATTGATGCCAGTAATGTTTATGGCAACAGTGAACGCTTGTCAAACACGTTAAGAAATTTGGCCAGTAACAGAGGACTGTTACGAGAAGGTTTTATATTCATCAATTTCTTAAAATATATCTTTTAATCATGTTTATCTGACATCTTAGTTGCAGGTTATATTATTTTACATGAAAAGCGCTAAAATTGCAGTTGAAGTCTACAATTTTAGTGTACTTTCTATATAGAACATAAAATTTGTTGTGTTTTTTTTTTAAATTTAATTGTTGAACTAGTAAAATAAAGACTGTGAATTATTTTCTTTACTGTGAACAGGTTCAGTTTAAATTGAAATGTTTTCAGGGGCAGGCAGTGGTGGCAGCAGACGTTTGCTACCTTTTGATGAAGATATACTGCACAGGGCGGATTGTCAAATTGAAAGCAACAAACGTGATGTGCCTTGTTTCATTGCTGGGGACCACAGGGTCAATGAGCAGCTGGCTTTAACAGCCTTCCACACTCTGTGGATGAGGCAGCACAACCACATCGCCACAGGACTCAACAGGATTAATCCACATTGGGATGGAAATAAAATTTTCTTTGAGGTAAATGAAAATTTTAAAATGAAACAAACAATAACTTTACAGTTTTGAAAAATACTAGTAGGGCCTGTAAGGATGTAGCTTTAAAAAATTAGATATTCTAAAAGTCACAAGAATTTACCCAACAAATGACAATCTGGGTTTCTATAGTATGTATAGAAAAGATAGGGATGAATTTGGGTATATTTTGAATGCAATATCCATTGTCTCAAAATAATTAAGAGTAAGACGTATACTGGCTAATTACTTGAAAAGTTCTAAAATTTAATTTCTACTTACTAAACAGGCTAGAAAAATTTTAGGAGCCATCTTCCAACACATCAGCTACAACCATTGGCTGCCTAAAGTGCTAGGGCCAATTGGGATGAAAATGATTGGGAACTACACCGGCTACAAGCCTGATGTCAACCCTTCCATTGTCAATGAATTTGCTACTGCTGCTCTAAGATTTGGTCACACACTAATCCAGCCAATGTTGTTCAGACTCAATGAATCTTTCCAAGAGATTGAAGAAGGCCATCTGCCACTGCACCAAGCTTTCTTCTCTCCATACAGACTTATTGATGAAGGAGGCATTGACCCACTTATAAGGGGTTTATTTGGAAGAGCCACCAAGAAAAGAATGCCTGGTAAACTTATTACAATTTTGAGAAAAATATAAATGGCATGTAAATGTGTTTAAGAAGTATTAGAATCTTTCTTATCTACTCTCTACTCAATTAATTTGTTTTAACAGCATCTTAGATATATTTTTCTGAAAAATTAAAGAATAGCGAATAATTAATTTTGTGAATGTATAATTTAGTTTTTATATCCCCCTAAACTTTAAAATATTCTATTGCAGGTGAATTTCTGAACTCAGAGTTGACTGAAAAACTTTTTAAAGTTTCCAACGCCATTGGTCAGGATTTGGCCTCTCTCAATGTTCAGCGTGGAAGAGATCACGGCCTTCAGTTTTACAATGATTACAGAGAATTTTGTGGCCTGAAACGTGCCAGAAGTTTTGAGGACCTGAAGGGGGAAATACATTTCAAGGACACCAGAGACAGGCTGCAGGCACTTTACGGACATCCAGGTCAAGAATTAGTTACTTGTGTTCAATAAAAGAATACATTTCTAATAATGATAAGTAAAAGAACTGGTATAGGATACAATACATATTTTAACTTCTTTAATTGTGATTTTTCAGCAAATGTTGCAAAACTCTGTTAGTTTTATACAAAATTTACTTGCATAACTTTTGACAATTATGTAAATGTTATGTACTGGTACAACTGTATATTTTTTAAAAATGCATTACGATGGTGATGATTTATCAATTGCATATGCTGTGGTGTTTCAATTCTTGCATTAAAAATATTTCTTTCAGACAACATTGATTTGTTCATTGGAGGTGTGAGTGAAACAATGGTAGAAGGTGCCAAAATGGGACCCACATTCATGTGTATTATAGCAGACCAGTTTAAGAGAGTAAGAGATGGAGATAGGTAAATACATTTTATCCTTCTTTTAGTTGCTTCTAAGCAGTTATAGAATTTAAAACAACTAAATTTAAAAAATATTGATCAGTCGTGTCCTTTGCATTGATTATCATAGAACTAGAAACCAAGCAATCAGTTTTATTAATTCAATTGGTGTTTGTAATAACATTTCAAAACCACCAAGTCATTTATTTTGGTAAAATTACAGTAAATCTGATCAATTTTTAAAAAAATTGGATAATTTATTTTTCTTACTATTTCTATATCCTTTCTAAATTTAAAAAAAGGTTAAAATAGCTGTCTATGTTTATTGATGTTTCCAGATTCTGGTATGAAAGAGATGGGATCTTTTCACCGGAGCAGGTGGAAGCAATCAAGCAAACATCTATTGCTACAGCCATATGTGACAGCAGTGACAGCATAACACGTGTACAGAAGGATGTGTTCATGCGCGTACAGAGTGATGATGAGTATCTCAACTGTGAGCAGATTCCAAGATTGGAGTTAACTCACTGGACAGACTGCTGTGAAGGTAGAGCTCTCCTTCTTGGAAGTCATTTTTTGTAAAGTATAACATGTAGGAAAATAATACATTCACTACATGTCCACAGTTCGGATGGCTCTTACCCCATACCTATCAGAGAAAATACTTAATTAACAGTTTCTGAGTTTTAATTATTAGTAATTAATGTTAAAAATTGTTACATCTGCTCAACAAATGTTAACAAATAAGAAAGAAAAAAAAATTATTTTCTAGTTTTAATAACAAATTGCTATCCAACTCTATTTTTCTGCTAGTGATTGAGAGTAATCTCCCTAACAATGTAGCATACATGCCTGAAAAAGTTAAAGAAAATAATTGAATGGTGCACATTTGGTTTTAAGATTGCAGGACAAGAGCAACCTTAGCATCATTTGCTGCACATGTTAGAGGGAGACGATCCACTGACTACAGCTATCCTGAAGATCGTCCTGAAGAAACAAATTTTATGAATAACACAGTAAATTTTTTGTTGTTGTTTTAAACAAAACCACCATGACATTAAGATTATGAAAACTGGAGTTAGGTTAAATCAATCAAAACTGACAGAAAACTAAAATAAGAAGAGTTTTAAAAAATTTCAAAACAATAAGTTATTACATATACAATTCAAAATAATGTTTCTGTGTTTCGTTTTATCACGTGCTATTACAACCAGTATCTCTTTCTGTTTATTTTAAAAATAATTCTAATTGTTCAATCTGGCAAACAGATACTATAAAAAAGTAAAACTTACTTGAATCTAAATGTGAAGACTTATGGAGTGTTTCATTAGCTGAAACTTAATTTTGATTGTTTCATTATAAATGTGAATCTATCAGGAGCTGTTAAACACAATCACTGTAGCAGCAGAAGAAACAAAAGAACAAGAGGAAGTTCAACAGGAAGAAATAAAGAAAGAAATCCCAGCGCCAGTGGACACGTTTGAGAGGGAAGATGTAGATCTACTTGATAGCAGAATAGAAGGTATAGAGGAAACAATTATGGAGCTGGGAGAAATCATTACAAACCTTAAGAAAAAGGCAAGTCCAATTAATTTGAATTCAATACAGTTGGCTGAATTTTAAAACAGCGAGTTTTTCATGTTGGACATTAATTCAATTTCATAATAAAATGTGATATTTAGATTAGTTGAAAAGATTCTGTTATATTTATGAACAAGATATTATGACTAATTTTTATGATTGATTTAATTAAGTCATTGAATACTTAACTCAAAGGATTTATTCTAATACATATCTTCATGTCCCAGACAAGTAAAAATTTGTTTGAATATTATTTCCCCTTGCTAGTAAATGTTTCCTGAGTTGTGGAACTTAGATTCCACAGACTGGACACTTTCAAGCACTATCTTTTACCCATGTCTCAGACACAGTTATGATTCTTGTCAATGCTACTTACAGATCCGCCACCTTGAGCGAGGCAGACACAGGAGCCGCAAAACATGTCTAGACAAAAATAACAAAATTAAAAGAGATGGAGAAAAATGGCAACTTGATCAATGCACTTCGTGTGTTTGTATTGTAAGTTTGGTCTTCGTCTTTAGATATAGATAACATCATTAATAGCACTATGGATTTTTTTGGTACTACAGATTTTAAGTGATCCCATGAATCAACAGATACCCTTTTGTCAATGAGTTCTGATGGAGTATTGCAAGAGTTATCCTGTTGATCATTTTGATAGTCCTGGTCTAATTATTGGGGTTATCTCCCATGATGGCTGATACAGAGATTTAAAAACTATTTTATCAGCAAGAATTTATTGAAAGTGGGGGTGGGCACGATACCCAAAGACAGATGAAATAATAATTTGTGGGCAATTAATAATGCTTCAAATATGAAATTATTACAGTATTTTTATCAATCACAGCAGGATTTAAATTTCAGCCTTCTGTGACCAATGGAATTTTGTCTAATTTTAACTATTTCTTTTTCAGAGAGGTCAGGTGGAATGTAAGAGTGAAAACTGTGATGAGCAGCCTATATGAGAATCACAAAAAAATATTTGAATCCCGCCTTAACCCTGTCCAAATTGTAAAATTTAAAACCACAAAATGATCTTCTGCTAATCAATGCATAATTCAGTTCTAGTACTTGTATAATATTGTGTAATTTTTGTTATTTTTTGTTTATCCATATAAAAAGGTTGCAATAAACTTTATGTTCACATAATCTTTCTAATGGTTAAGTTTTTTAGGATTTCATTAATTCTTTTTACATAATTAATATATAACACATGTTCATAAAAACCAACCTGTTGATTTAATTCAATTGTCTTCCATTTAGATTTTTAGCTGTTTTTATTCTGTTTGTTATTTTTATTTGCTTTTTAAATGAGTCATTATTATTTTTTGTTAGTTATAATTAATTAAAAAACCTTTAAAAGTGCCTTGTAAGCCAAATTCTTTTTAAAATACATATAGTCAAATATGTTATTTTATTCATTAAATACCTTTGTATGTCAGCTTTCATAAAAAAGATTTTATAACGCAGTATTAGTATTTAAGTTGGTGCTACACTTAAAGCACTTTTTTATTAAACATTTTTTGTGAACTAAAATAGAGGATTTAATTTTGAACATTTGTTGATAATTCTATATCTTAATGTGATATTGCATGTTTTAAGGTTTAATATTTTGAGCAACAGATGTATTAGCACTGTATGTATAAAAATCCTGTATCTACACAACTGCTATCTGCCCCATGTACTTTACCAACAAATACTCACATTACATCTATTGTTTATTTTTTAATATACTGGTTTATCTCTTTGTTTTATCATTCCATAGCCATGACCCATTTCTCAAGTTTACTGACACAGTTTAAATGTACAGTATCGAAACTGACCAATTCTTATAGTGGCAAAGCATATGAAATGGGGAAACAAGTTACCAGGAAAAATTAACCCTGAAATCAAGTGCTCGAACTAAACAGGCAGAGCCAACTCCAAAGAAATTTATAAAAAGGTTAATTTTTTAATGACACCCAAATCATTTTTAGTTCATAATAGTTAACAAAATCTAAAATTATATAGGCTCCTGTCTGAGTTTTTGGTTGTTTACCTAGCACATAGACCATCATGTAAAATAGTTTTATTATTCCATTGTAGCGATATCCAGTTAAACATTTACAATGAGAGATGAAATATGCATTAATAACCCACGAGTGACCATTTTTCACAGCACAATGTGTTTTAGTTTGGATCTTCATAATTGAAAGAACAATTTCAAATGTATGTGTGGCTTTGTGATAAAGCAGACTAATGTTAATAAAAATACTTTATCATGTAAGAAGTAATGCAAAAAACATAAGGTTCATGTGTACCATTAAAATACTGTGTATAACTGTACTAGGTGTGCCCTTGGCTGTATTCACTAGAGGTGTACACAGGTTCTGATGTGAATGTAACAAATAAACTATGGAACTTGAGTTCCTATCTCATACAGCTCATTGTGATTGTTTGATGTGATACAGTTGACTTTTGTATATGTAATACAACTGTGTATCTGTCACTTGTGATGTGTGTCTCCTTGCTAAAAGTATGTTTTAGTTACTTGTGATCAAGAATGTATTCATATAAAAGTTGATACAGATCTATATTTTTAAAAAAAGATACCTGATAAATATTAACAATCGTTATAAATATCTTTAATCAGAAGTAATAATAATCAATAACAGTATTTTAGAAAAGTGAAATCAAACACATTTTTATCACCACACTCTCACATCATGCTAAATATCAGATTCTGTAACATCAGTGTTCACTTCCTGCATGGTAGTAAACCAACAATATTCTCTGACACTTTTGTTCTAACCATTGTTCGGACATGTGCCATCATCTTGTGCTGTATTGTTTATAACTTGGACAAATCTTGAGGACCTGCCACTACAGCTGATGCACAATGTGCAGTTAACAGTGAAACACAATTGTGTCAACTCCAATATTTGTGGACATCATAAGTGGATGACCTCTTGGGAGAAGAAAGGTTACAATAGCTGTTTGGCACCCAGTGTCTAGCAAAATGTCTCTGGGTTATTGTGGTAATGTGAATAATCCTTATTGAAGTTAATCTGATTTTGAAAATGTTCTGTCAGTTAGTGACTCCACATTGTTTCAAGTATTGATACATTCATGTTTAAACATTTTACTTATATAGGCCTACCTGTAAAGTCTGTTGGGCAGGCAATGGGCAAACAAACAAAAAAACCTTTATTTTGTCATGAATTTTCATTTTGCTGTGCCAAATATACTTAAGACATAGAAACACAAAAACGTCCATAGCTAAAAATGGGCTCTGGTAAATAATTACCACCCACAAAGTTTGTCCTTATGACTTATTCATTGTAATTTATAATATAAATAGTATTAAAAAAATATGAACTAGTATTTTAAAAATTTAATAATTAAAAGAAATTTTAAAAAACAAATCTTGGTTTTAAAAGGTAATAAAATTTTGACTTATTCGTATAATAAAAGCTAAAACTTTAAATTACATTATATTATTGACTGATTTATATAGTAATATTGTTTGTGGTGAAACTCCTGCGATTTTAATAATGAGTTTCATTGAAAGGAAAATCAAAACTAAGTTAAAAGTTTTCCTTTCAGTAAAGTATGTGGGTTTTGTTTTTTATACAGCTAATCTGTTGACAGGAAAGATTGAACATATGTCTAAATATATGGCAGGCTTTAATAATATTAACGCTGGAAAAAACAACAGTTTGCCTATATAAAGTCTGAGAAAGTAATGGCTGCAAAGCCTGTTTTTGTATTTATCTATCCAGACAGGCTAGAAACTCCTCAAGGTCTGTACCCAGTCTGCAAGATGAAGTGGTTGCACTCAACCATTTTGCACTACAGAGAGCCTACTGAGGCCAATGAAGATCTACTCAACAATCTTGCTCTATAGAGGGCCTACTGAAGAACTTCCTAAATAGAATCTATTTGTATTTAGAGGGGTTTTTTTAAAGAACTACCTGAGAAACAATGATGTCCAATAATTTGTACAATGCGGAGCACTAGAGGTTATGTGATTTCATCCTCGGATGAAGAGTCAGGATATGGTATATTCAATGTTCCTTCGGCACTCACTGTTGTAACACTGCCAACACCAGAGTGTGGGTTTGACATTGTCAAACATGGCACAGTTTCACTGACACCATCTGCCACATCAGGGTGGCAGGGTGTGACAGTGGCATGACAGCATGGCACAGTTTCACTGATACCATCTGCCACATCTTGGTGGCAGGGTGTGACAGTGGCATGACAGCATGGCACAGTTTCACTGATACCATCTGCCACATCTTGGTGGCAGGGTGTGACAGTGGCATGACGGCAGGGTGTGACAGTGGCATGACAGCATAGCACAGTTTCACTGACACCATCTGCCACATCATGGTGGCAGGGTGTGACAGTGGCATGACAGCATGGCACAGTTTCACTGATACCATCTGCCACATCAGGGTGGCAGGGTTTGACAGTGGCATGACAGCATGGCACAGTTTCACTGACACCATCTGCCACATCTTGGTGGCAGGGTGTGACACCACCACAGAATTTGTTGTAGCCAGGCAGATTTCTCTTGTTGAAGTCAAGTGGCTTATCTTGTATCTCTGGGTTTGTTTCTGTTTGAGTTGGCTCCCTCTGTACTCCATACCCAAAACATCTCTCCAAGAGGGCATCATTGTTCAGGACAGGTACAGGTATAGGTACAAAGGAAGTTGATGACTGCTGTAGGTTCTCATTCTTAGTTGTTGTATCTGCTTTATCTGGTGGAGCTAAAAAGAAAATTACAAAAGTTGATATAATTTGAAATAATGATGGAAGTGTCTGAAGACAAACACATAATTTAAAACACTTATAAATGACTAATCATAAGTGACTTCATTCAGAAAAAATTAAATATGAATCAGAATGTCATCATCTAGCTTAAAAAAGTAACTGAGCAATTTATCAAGAATTAGTTGCACATATTCTATCAATAATGTAAATCCCATTTCGTAGCAACAAATCAAATATCCTTACAGTTATCACTGACTGTTTCCACATAAGTGGAACTTGCTTCAGTTTTTCTCTGTTTTGCAGCATAAGGACGATCAGACCAGGGCGTTGCACTTAAATCTGGCTCTAGTTGCCTGATTTTGCGCACAAATGCTTTGTATTCACCCCTTAAATGATCAATGCGAGTTTCAAATTCTTTGATCTGACGGTCAGGGTAGCAAGCTACTTCCATTTGCTGGAGTAAGAAAGTGAAAGATATTTAAAAACTTCTCTTTACTAAAATTACTTCTTTTCAATTCACAAATGATTTTTCAATTGAACACATGGTTACATTCAAATTGCTGCTTCTACCTAAGAAGTTCTTAACATTAAAACTTATACTAGATAAAATGACAGCTTATCTAGCGAATAACCAATATTTGTGTACATGTTTCACTAGTTAATATTTACAAACATTAACCTAGGTTACCATACAAAGACAGTGCTATAGCTCTATTAGTATAAACTTATGAACTGTGAGTAACAATATATGCTGTGAGAAGAATTAACATGGACCTGATTGTGTCTTACCTTAACATAAAACTCTATATCTCTCATGACAGATGGCAGCCACTTTTTTATCTCATAGACTGTGCTCAAGGATTCCTTTGGATAAAGTGTACATTGCATTTTATTTGTTTGTGTGAGGGGATAAAATTGAGATTATGTTTTAAATTATGAAAATAGTTTTTTTCACTTAATTCTATTTCTAACTAAAAATCTGGTACAAACTTGCTTTTAAAAAAAAAATTAACTATTAAATCATTCTACTCTGCTGTGTATACATAAACTAATTTGAATATGCATTTATTAAAATAAAAGTAATTGTTACATTTATACTTTCACTTTAAAATTGTATGACTTAGACTATATCAAGTGAACTCAACCAAATATATTTGTAGATATAAAGCACATAGATACAACATTTATTGTTATGACCACATAGTCTTGCTTATTTGGTTTCTAGTCAGTTTTTTAAGTCAGTAGCTCTAAAAATGTAAATTGAGACTAAAAGGTCATTGTGGTAAAGAAAACAGATGAGCTATTTCATCTGTATCTAATAGGAGTGGCAAGGCACATTATGGTTGAATGGTAGAGCATTCAGCTCCTAGCACAAAGGTCTGGAGTTTGGATCTTGGTCTGGACTCGGGACTGCAGGATATCCCTGAGTCCAAGTAGCTCTGCTAGGTACCTGACTCGTTTTGGGGGAAAGTAATGGTGACTGGCCATAGTGTTGACCACTCTCCTCCTTCATATGTCAAGAAATATATGAACTTATTTGACACTGACAGGGAATTACCACCACTAATGAATGATCTAGCAGCATTAAACAAATAAGCTTTTAAACAGAACTGTTGTGGCCTGGAACTACTTTTATTCAATTGTACTGTGTTATGGGTGAACCTAAGACTACCATTTGTTAACTATGGTATAATAATAAAGCGAACTGACAAATGAAACAAACATGAATTGTAGTAAAACCATTGAAACAATCATGATTGATATGGTTATAAAGTATGATTTGACTCACAAGTTTGGGTCTAGGAGGTCTCTTTTTAAATTCCTCTGAAAAAAATATTAAAATATCATTATTATTAGCTTAATAGTAAGTTAAGGATAAGGAAGGGCGTGGTCAAACGGTAGAGTGTTTGACTGCTAACCTGAAAGCCTCAAGTTCCGATCCTGAGCTTGAGTTTGTAGGATGTGTCAGAGTCTACATACTAGATCTAATTATACTAGTACACAAAACATAAGATTCTGCCATTCTTCAAAAGAAGAATTACAACTGTGAACTTGATAGCTGAGTTGGGCCTCTGTTATTGAGTAGTTATTAGATCTAGTAGATTGACTAAAACTTATTTTTATTTACTAAATGTAATAGATTGGAAACACTAACGACGGAAACCATGCTGTTTTGTATATAACGTTTATTGGGCCTCAGCTAAACATGATGGAAACCGGAACAGGAAGTAACGATAGATAAATACAAGGGACATCACTCAATAACAACATTATAAATATAACTAATACAAGAAGAGTGAGTTCCCTTGACTTCACAAATCTCAATATATTACACTAAACTAAACAGTAAACAAAAGTCTCATATAACTGAGAGAGAGAGTGAGAGACATGGCCCATTTAAGTAATTTTGTCTGCCCTAGCCGTTTAGAATAGTCAATGTGAATATGTGGCTGTATAGTATTATTAGTATAGGCCCTACTATTACTAATACTTAATAATACTAATTTCAATATAAATATTATACTATATAGATCTAGGCTAATAATACTAATATAGATCTAGATTATATTATATTATAGTAGTCTTAAGTTATAAGCCCTAAGTAAGTAGAATCTAGTAAGTAAGACCTAAAAGTTAAAAGTACAAAGTACAAGTAGTTTGTCATTGTCAAGTTTGAGTATGATAGATGATAGATCTAAAAGTAGGGACTTGGATGACGTAGATTTTGCCCCTCTAAAAACGAGAGTTTTTTCCCCATACCGTAACTTAGTGAATTTAGCCGTGCGGCAGTGGGTGATAATTAAAAAAAAAAAAATTCACTATTAATCACCATTGTTAATAGAAAAGTGTCACTTTATTCTGAAAGACAAATGGATTTCACCGATTGCTGTGTTATTTTTGTTTTTTTCTGCTACGAGTGCAAGATGGTGTGTTTCAGGCAAAAATTGGGTAAGTAAAACTTATTGTTCCATAAAAATTTACTGCCTTAGGCTAGAAATGCGATCTCCGAGCGTAAACACCATTTTTACATATATGTTTCAAATTTCATTTAGTTATTCATTAGCGACGTATTTTTTTATAAATAACTTTGAAAGCATAGGGCTTACAACAGCTTAAGATTGCCGGAAAAGATCGAGGTTAAAACCGGAAGTGGTGTGTTGTTGTTAATGACGCTATACAATGTAAATCTACTTGATTATCTAAATCCAGCAACATCCACATGAATCTGACTCTAAAAGCTTTTTAAATTATCGAATTACATTTGTTATTTATTAAACTTGTTATTTTTGATGACTTTTCATTTGTATTTTGTTATTAGATTCATTAATTGGGTAATTTTAGGATTGTAAATAAGATCGTTTTTTTTTCTCTCAGTTCGCGATGTTTATTTTTTAAACAGTAGATTCTAGATCTAAATTGTTAACTTAAGAATTATATTTAAAAACAAAAGAATGTTAGTTATATGTAGTGTGCTTTTCTATACAAATTTCTTAAATGAACAAGTTAATTTTAAAGCTTAATAGTAGGCCCTATGGCTATGCCTAGTATAAATCTACTATAGACCTATTGCAGGCTATTACACTTAGTTCAGTGAGTTTGTTGGGACTTAAGGTCTACTAATATTTAAAAAATAAAATGAATATAGATCTATTACAAGTGTTAATATTTAATTCCAAATGAACCATAATATGTATATTTTTATTCAGCCTTCTACTTGTTTTCTTAGAGCAAGTTTTTACTTTTTTATTAGATAAGTCCTCTTTATTTATGTTAAACTTGTATAGGCCCTTTTCAATTATAACTCTAGGCATTTTCACTACTTACTTTATGTACATTTACACAATTTTCTGTGTAAAGCTACACTATACTACTGTATTTTTGCTATTGTATATTTTTCAGTTGGAGCTTTACTAGTCTTGGCCCTAGATAAAATGTACCAGTTCACAAGGGGATAGAGAATCAAAAGATGTGGATCTACTCATAAGCAACTTCAATGAAGGAGAAATAAGTCCACTTAAGAATGGATGTTGCTGGTTTTTATTAGTTCTAAAAGCTATCAGCCAGAGGAGACACAGCTTCAGTAGATGTTTCATCAGATTTCATTTTTAAATCATTGATGGTGTTATTTTTGAAAGTAAAAAAGTGACACAAGCTAATAGACTTAAACATGTTATCCACACAGCATGAGATGTCACTTAAATATATGACATATGTTTCTAAATTATAAAACTTACCTTTAACATTAAATGGTGATCTTTACTCCACCAATAAAAAAATCATTTCAATTATTAAATTATTTGTTCAACAATAATTGTAAATTAAATTATATCAATTCTATGATAACATACACATAACATGGATGAAATATCATGAATATTGACAACCTTAAGATACAATTTTAGTAATCTAAAATCCATTTAGCATTGTACTTCTTTATTGCAAAGAAGTAGTTGCGCAGAACAAAAATGACTTTTTAAATTTGACCAACATTGTAACAAAACCACATAAGCTAAGTGAAATATTTTTACTTTGTGTGGATGTATACAATGTTGGCACCAATTAGGCCAATTTTCATTCAGATATTCCATATAATAAAAATTTGGCAACAGATTATGTGTTGCCTATAGCAGAATTTATTGTTTAAAATTAAGGGGGGTATATGAGTTTAAACCCCTTTTTCATTAAATAAAATATTTTTAAAATCAAATTTGAACAATGGTAATATCAAAGTATATAATAACCTTCATTTTTACAATATTTCTTGCATATAACCAAAGTAATCTAAAATCTGCTCAACATTGTACTTCTTTCTTGCAAAAAAAGTAGATGCGCCGAATAAAAATGACTTTTATTTTGTCCAACATTGTAATAAAACCACATAAGCTAAGTAAAATATTTTGACTTTCTGTTAATGTATACAGTGTTGGCACTATTCAGGCCAATTTTCAGTAAGATATTCCATATAATAAAAATTTGGCAACAGATTGTGTGTTGCCTATCAAAGACGCTTATTCAAAAATTTTAGGGGGGTGACCCTCTTTGTTAACATTATTTTTTATGATCATTCTCATCCACTTCAATTATTTTTATCTTACTCTTTTACTGATATCATAAGCTTGATCTTAGTGAATTTTCATTAAAAAATACCTGCTATTTAAAAAGTTACAGAGATTTTAGTTCGCATCCAAAAAAGTAAGGAAGCAAAAAATTGAGAAAACCCCATAGTAAAAAAAACCCGAAAATTAAATACGTTAAAAATTCATAACTCCGTAACCGTTTGAGCTAAAATTAAAATAAAAGTATCTTTGTTCTTGTCTAAATGAGCTCTATAAACTGGTGCTACTACATTATTTTTTTTTTTTAAATTGAAATTTCATCCAAGTCCCTATCTAAAAGATACTGTCATAGCAACTCTAGTTCATTTTCTATTCAGTATCTAGATCTAGATTCTAGAGATTAGATCTAGATTCTAGATCTAGATAATAATAATAATTTTAATATAAAAATAATCTAGATTCTAGATTTTCTAGATTCTACCTTCTTTCTGTTTGCTCAAATAAAATCGATTTAAGCGAGCCAGCTGTTTTTCTTCATTTCTGGCCATTATTTTGACTTTTGGGTAAAAAACAGCCAACTTTAAACTGATACACAGACAATAGTTCCAAGTTACTTAGATCTAGACAAGATCTATCTAGATCAAGATCTAATCAATCATCTATCAGATCAAGTTATCAACTAACAGCTGTAGGTAAAGTCAGTCATTGCTCATCTATCGGTCTGAATGTGGCCAGATAACTGATTTTAAAAGGTTGCCAACTAGGCCTACTATGGACTAGATCTACATGGAAACGCTGTATTCGTAAAACATTTTTTAAAAACCTTTCTTTACTTAATTAAGTAGTAGATCTAGTTCATTGTTATAAATTTAAAGAACATCATCTATTTTCTCATTTTTAAGAGTATTATTACATAAAAGTTTATTATTAAAACGAAGCACGTTTACCACTCCTCCCCCCCCCCCTGTACAAAATATATAGAAAAAATATTAGCCTAATTTACCAGTGTTCGACACCCTCCCCCCCCCGGTAAATTTATACCCCTCCTGGAAAAAAGTCTGAAAGAAACACCTGAAGAAATTAAAAAGTTACAATTACGCCTATACTATTTGAATTTGTTTTTTTTTTTAAATTAAAAAAGGAAAGTAACCTTTTCATGAACAACAGTATAAAAAAAATATCAAACTTGTGAATAAATATAACTCACAAATGGAAGCAATCCATCCAAATGGATTCGAACTCATGACATTCGGGATGTCAGGCATTGTTCCACTCGATCCATTATTCATTTAGAAAATCGCAATTGTTGAAGCATTATTTTTTGGTTAAAGAGGGATGGTCCTAAAAACTAACATTTAGTCTAATGAGGGTTGTTGGTAAATAGAAATGCCACGTACGCTATGCTGAATTATTATGCAGGTAGTTTTTTTTTTTTAATACCACGCTTATCTATATATATAATTCTCTTCTTGGAGACCATAGAAAACACCAAGCTGTAGAGCCGGGTTTAGTGACGGCTATTAGGGGCAGATAATTTAGTTTGAAACGATTTTAAACTTAGGGGAGGTAACTAAGAGGAGGCTGCTTTTACGAGGGGGGTAGGGTTGGGGAAAGGAGGGGGGCGGGGTTATCGTCCTTAACGAGCTACTGATAGTGTTTTAAAGCAAATATATTCAGTGGCAGCATTGGTACAGTCGTATTCACAAATTATGAATTACTGAAATCAAGTAGAAAATAAAACAACAAAATAGCAGCGTGTGATACGCCGCGGGCCGGCTCGTTATTTTATAATATGTGTACGATCCATGATAGCTTGGTTGCCACAATCCCTGGTTTGTTATGAGAGGGATATGGGGTTATAGTCGCAATACTTTTTTCTTGCAACATACAATTACAAGAACACCATCTGCTGCCCATCTAAGCTGAGGAATGCTGGGAGCTTTTAAATTATTAGTAGTTTAGCAATACGCATGCGTGTGTTGTTATGAATTTTAGACCAGCAGGCAGCATGTCACGTGGTCTCACGCTTTGTCCAAATGATCGATTGGGAATATTTGTTCAACACTGCATCTTGGGTGTCAGGTGAAATCACAGCATAGAAAAATAAAGAGTTGTAATACAGGACACACTCAGCCTGCGATCTAATTTTTTAAAAGTTGCGTTACACACTACGCGTACTACACACGTGTGTTGGAGACTGCTGTAAAAGGACGCCTAAAGATTTTTTTTCAAAAACAATGTTTAAATATAGCAACAGATTGAACAACGTATCGATTATATTTGTTGGGCTAACAGTGACCCTCACCAGAGGCGGATTAAGCTTCAGCGGGGCCCCTGGCTGAAACTTTTTCCGGGGCCCCCTTTAACTATATATATATATATATATATATATATATATATATATATATATATATATATATATATATATATATATATATATATATATATATATATATATATATATATATATATATATATATGTATATATATATATATAGTTTATATAATGACATCACAAAACAGGGGCTTTTTCCCAGAAATAAAGGTCGAATGGAATAAACTAAAGGTTAACAGAACTAAAGACCAAGTAACTTTTATATTTTTAATTTTATAGGGAACATTTTCGAGCTTTCCTGATAGCAAACTCTTCTATTATTTCTGTATAATCTAGTGAGCTTACAATGTCATTTTTTATGCTCATAAGTGAGAGCATACTAAGTCTCTTCTGTCCCATAGTGCTTCTTAGATCGCGTTTAATCTTTTTTATTTTGGAAACTAGGCCCTCCGCTGCAGTTAGACGTCATCATACACAGTTAATTCGAAGAGCAATGTGCACATTTGGAAAGCTCTAAATGCACTTGTATCTATTAATAATAATTTATTTTGAAGATATACACTTAAAATTGTTAGCTGAGTACCCCACAATATGGAAGAATATTATGAATTCATTATTTATTGGGCATAAAATATAATATTTTGTGAATGGTGGAAAACCTGAGGGGGTTAATTTTTCAAGATGGCAGCCGTTGTCATAGTTACCAAGATTTTTCCACCAATTTTTTTAGTGGAAATGCATATGCGGATGTATTTCAATAAAGCTGTAAAGAAATAACTGTTTTCTAATGAGTATTAAAAAAGTTTTTTTACCGGAGCCTCCCCCCTTAAAAATATTTTTTACTTATCCAGACGAAAACATTGACTACGGCTAAATTCCAAGGAATTGACAACTCAAATGTTTTAATGGGTGAAACTTCGGGGCGGGGAGACAGTTGGGGGACATGTTTGTGGGGGGGGGGGGGGGGTAGATGCCATGCCATGCAATAGAGTCTTATCCGGTTTTGTATTACCATGCGGGACAGCGGTAACGTCTTTATTTATAGACTTCTTCTCTCTTGGCCTGTTTTGGCAATTCCTATAGTGCAATTAATACAGGTGAGAGTGTGCCTTGAACTAGAGATGTTTCGCATTTTTTAAATCTTAAGCCACTCTGTCAAAAGGTCAATACTTAAAAAAAAAAAACAACACTTCTACATCGGTCCATGTCTAACTATCCACTTTGCTATGTCAGACCCTCCCTACAACTGGGACGTTTTTCCCCAAATTTAACACCCATGTAACACATACTCTCGAAACAAATCGTCTACCGTCAAGTTTACACCGTCCGTATTAGTCTCTACCAGTCTAGTTTTATTTTTATCTATATACGCTATGGCAATACGCAAACAACCCCTCATACAAATACCCCCGACACCCACCCTCCCTCAGCCTCGACACTATGTGTTTTTAAATGGTTTTCAAAACGTTTTCTATCGGTAGAGGGACTGCTGGTTAAATAAGGCACAATTAAACATTAAAGATCAGAGAGTATCTGATGGATCTCGCTTGTCTCGGCACATTCACTGATAAAACTATTATTTAAGTGACGCTTGTTAATTACTTGGTGGAATTTTAACTCATACTTCTGACATTAAAAAAATACTTTAAAAAAATAATGATAAAGTAATATTTGCTTTAGTTGAGAAATCAAAATTTGGGGCCCCCTAAACTTCGGGGGCCCCTGGCTGCAGCCCCTTCAGCACCCCCCTTAATCCGCCACTGACCCTCACTCATAGCGATCTTGCTTCATGTTAGGTGTTGTAGAAGTTTTAAAAGTTTTTGAGTATGCAAACATTTTGGTGTCTTTACTCAGGCTACTGGGTTCACTAAACAACAACACACGTTCAACTTTCGGCATCAGCCATGGTAATAATAGATTTTTACAGATCTGTCGGTATGTGTGATGACGCAAGATTACGTCAGACATGTTTAGCAGATATAAGTTAGCAGAAACAGACTATAGGCCTTGTTGGTTGGTTAGAGAGGCCAATGGGCGCACAGAACTGACCGGTCACGTGGGAGGGTCAGCTGACCACTGAGGCGTGGGTCAGTAGTAGGGAGATAGGACGGCAGTTGATGATTAGCTAGCGAGAGAGAAGGTGTTAGGAAGCGGTTAGAGACGGTTGTAATTTGCATAGAATGTAGAGAACAGTTAGTGTTAGGATTGGTCATGGGAGTGCGTAGTAGTAGGTAGCATGTGGTATGAACAGTCAGTAGTAGAAATAAATAGTACAGTGTAGATCAGTTAGGTAGAAACTTGAACATATATATCATTTTAATAAAGAACAATTATAGTTGAACTTGAACTGTGTGTTATTGGATTCATTCGTTTCGCATCTTAAAAATCCCCACCCTCACAATTGGCGGAGCGCGGGTCGAGGACAGGAAAGACAGTATATCGGTTTACTCATGACGGAGTGTACTGGTGTACAGCTTTCTTAACTCAACACAACAGAGGGTTTCTTCAACCGGAACGAGTTTGGATTACCAACACAAGGGAACAGTCTACATATTAAATAAACCGGGAGTGATCTCCCCTAAACTTTCTCGAATATTCTTATATAAAATAACGGGATGGGAACTCGGGCTATAGACATGATTTTTAATCCATTTTAAATACTTAAAGTTTTAAAAATAGAATAAAATCTCGTAGACAAATTAATTGCACACCAAGTGAACGCGAAATAAAAAAGCGCATAATAGTGCGCAATATTATTATTACTTTTAAAATTTACATTAGTTTTTTGAGAAATCGGAAGTAGCGTAAAGTACTACTTCCAGTCAACGGAAATGACTCAAAATTTAATAGAAGGTAGAGAATTAGATCTTTTACTTACGTTTGAAATTTCATTTATCTATCTGAAATAGTACTCAAGTTATAGGCTTTTGAAAAATTCAAAGTAGGAAAAGTACCACTTCCGGTTATCGGAAATCGCTCAAAAGTTGATTCGGATCTACGATTTTGATAAAATACTTATATTTGAAATTTCATCAACCTAGCTGTAACGGTACTCAAGTTATCGTGTTTACACACGGACACACACAGACACACACACACACAGACACACAGACATACGGACAAGATTGCAAAATTATGTTTTTCCGTATCAGTGAGATGCAAAACGTCGAGATTTGCAAAAATCTCGATTTTTTTTTTTTTGCACGATTACAAGACTTTCTCTATACTTCGTATATACGAGAAAGTAAAAAGATAAGTACCTTCCAACAATTTTTTTAAACGTTTGGGTTTAGACTCGTGCTGGATATTTGGTACCAGCGGTTTTTCTGCCTCTTATCTATTTCTTCAACCACACTACCCTTAAAAATGCCTCCATTGTACGAAGTGGGCACTAAAACTGAGCTTAAGTCAGGCCTAGAAGAGTCAGGTAGAATTGATAACTCGTTACTAGATATATATGTTCAAGTTTCTACCTAACTGATCTACACTGTACTATTTATTTCTACTACTGACTGTTCATACCACATGCTACCTACTACTACGCACTCCCATGACCAATCCTAACACTAACTGTTCTCTACATTCTATGCAAATTACAACCGTCTCTAACCGCTTCCTAACACCTTCTCTCTCGCTAGCTAATCATCAACTGCCGTCCTATCTCCCTACTACTGACCCACGCCTCAGTGGTCAGCTGACCCTCCCACGTGACCGGTCAGTTCTGTGCGCCCATTGGCCTCTCTAACCAACCAACAAGGCCTATAGTCTGTTTCTGCTAACTTATATCTGCTAAACATGTCTGACGTAATCTTGCGTCATCACAGTATGGTTTTGTATCTTACAAATCTATCGACTTTTTTGTTGAGTGTTACGGATCTGTCGGCATTTTTGTTGAGTGTTACGGAACTGTCGGCATTTTTGTTGAGTGTTACGGATCTATCGACATTTTTTTTTACACGTACGGATCTCTCGGCATTTTCGTTACGGCGTGGTTGGGTGGTAAAGCATTCGACTGCAAACGCAAAAGTCTCGAGTTCGGATCCCGGGCTTAAGCCAAGTCCGCACAACATCCCTGAGTGCACCCAGCACTGACGCGTACTTGACACATTTGGAAAGTAAAAGCGGCTGGACAAAATGTCGATCACTCTATCCCTTCTATATGCTGTAGACATTTTCGTAAGGGATTTTACTTTTTTCTACGGATCTGTGGGCATGTGTGTCGAATCGAGTCGTCAGACAGACACCGCTTTAGTTTGACATTGCTCTTCTCTCTCTGAGATTGTGTTGTCGACCCGTTGTCCAAAATGCAGGTCCGCCCAAAGCCAACATAGACATGACAGACTAGACATTTTTAACATCTCGACCGACCCCTCGCTGATTAGGCACAAAAGACGTAATCTGAGCGGCCTTCTACGTATTGCCTGTTTGAACATTACTAACATTAAAGAATCAGGACGTTACTCCGTACTTGCTTGACACTACTGCGTTGATAAAATAAACCAATTTTGGTTTCAAAATAATCTTTTCAGGCAACTAAACAATCGGGGCCACTTTTTTTTTTTATCGATAAGGTCTAATAAAAATCGATTTTAGTCTGCCTTCTGGTCCAAGTTTTCTCATTCTCTGTCTGCGCATGGGCACATTTAATCGTTGTCCATTGGTCAACATCGAGTCATCACGTGAGACTTGTAAAGGTCGATGGTGTGATTGACATAAAATAAGGGGTCATCCATTTATGACGTCCACTTTTAAAAGGGAATTAAGTGGATTTTTGTGGACGGGGAGGGGGGGGGGGGGGGGTCCATAATCCAAAAAAATTGTGGATATCTTAAATGGATCACCCCTAAAAACTTGAAAAATGAAAGGTACATGGTGAACTGAAACTGTCATCACGTGGTGAATTGAAACTGTCGTCACGTGGTGAACTGAAACTGTTGTCACGTGGTGAACTAAACTGTCGTCACGTGGTGAATTGAAACTGTCGTATAGTGAACTGAAACTGTCGTCAAGTGGTGAACTGAAACTGTCGTAGATTTAGGCAATGAGTAGGGCTGACGGCTGACGCGGTGGGGTCGGTAAAGCTCAAGGCTGCTAAACTGAAAAGTCTCGAGTTCGAGCCTCCTGACAGATAGGGCTCTAAATCTGGGGAAAGCAACCCATCATATAGAGTAAACACCATAATCAAACAACTGTTGCCTTGTAATTTGTTCTTGTGTGGACAAATGCTATTGAAGCAGATCCAGAAAGAAAAGGATGCTAAAATTGGAGTCAAGGCGTATAACACGTAATATTTAAGTATGTTGGAGGAAAGCCCTTCCAACATTACAATTTAGAACTAAGTTGAAGAAACAATGACTAGAACAGAGCAGTCTACATGTAGCCTACACAGTTGCTGAAACTCCCTCCCTCCCCCCCCCCCCCTTTCTTGATTACAGATCAATGTTGATATTGAGCTGATCGCCAATGAACACCGGCCAGATCGGATCAAAGCTTCAGATGGTAGGATTCATTCATCGATTCTCTCACGTTGAGCTTTTGACAAAAGCCCAATAAAGCGCTAAAAGCTCAATAAAGCGCTATTGAATTGAACTGCCTCAGAAGTTTCCATTAAATAAAAGGGCATTTAAAAAACTGAGTTATAATTTTAATTCTTTTGACAAATAAATATCTGAATACGTAAATAGAACTGAGAGTGTCATATTTTAGTGCGTGAATACCGGCCTGTTTGCACTTGTGGTAACAGTGTTTAGTTGGCAGCCCTTCTATAGTGACTAGTCTAAATGAATCCCCCGTTCACGCTAAGTGGGTAACTCGATTCAGGCTGCAATAGGGCCTACTAAATAGTGGCCTCTACTGCATTGCGAGTCGCGCTTCGTTTTCCCGTGGCGGCGCTGTACGCGGTATTTGCGAAATAGAGGCTACGCGAGACAGCGATGTTACATTTGTGGGATTGCTCATTTGCCACACTGGGTAGAAATACTCGGTAAGCTTGTATAGTGTAAGTAAACACTATTTTTCTATGATGTGGATAGTGGATAGTTAGGGTATACTTTCATATCACGTTCCATTTTGTTTATCGACTTACATTAACATTATGATTTAATTTGCATTAATTAGTAATAAGAGTATCATGTTAAAAGTATATTTTCAAACTTCCTATAAGTAAATTTACATTTAAAATGTAATTTCTCTAGATAACGTTGGGTTAACACATCAGTGCCGTATAGACTGAGCGGTTGTTGACACGCGTGTTGTAGCATTGAGGTCAAAGTTCAGATAAAGCACACAGTGTGACAGCCAGGTACCATGGAGTATTGGAGACTTGTGGCTGTGCCCGCTCTGCTGGGGACGCTGATGTTGATGTTTTCCTCCAGAACCTTGCTGGACGTGGCCTCGCATGGGCACCACGAGGACCTGCGGGACCCTGCAGGAGCTCTGTTGTTTTCTCTGGCACTGTCTGGTGAGTTGGAGACCTTAGTCGTAGTACCCCCCCCCCTTCAGCACCCCTTCCCCTCTTAAGTACTTCCTCTCCTCCTTCAGGACTCCCCTTCATCTTAAACCCTCCCCGTTCACCAGAGGCGTAGCGACCCTTCCCGGCGCCCGGTTTACACCCCCCCCTCGAACTTTTCATTTGCACCCCCCCCCCTCAAACTTTCAATTTGGCCCCCCCCCTAAGGTCGGCGCCTTTCACCCATTTCACCTTTACCCTTTAATCGTTACCCTTTCACTCCATCTCTTTCACTCTTCACCACTCCCCTTTCACCCCTCCCCTTTCACCCCGCGTTCCAAAACTTGGAACCTCACCACCCCTTTAGGTGTGTTACGTCATATATGGACGACCCTTATCAGCACCCCCGCCCTACACACATACTTGAAACTTAAAACGCCTTACACTATTCCTAAGCCTATTTAGAGAACTAACCCTAACATCGATAACGTTAGGGGAAAAAATTGATCAGATAACGTATCTCAGATACTACCCGTGGTTAGCGTCGTTATACACGGGGTAATGCTGTGGGGTGGGGTTGCTTGGGGGGGGGGGGTGTTATGAAGTCATCTGTGTGCTTTGTTTTGATGGTGGTGATGACTGTAGTGAGAGGTTTAACAGTTGTGTGGTGAATTAGACACTGTAGATTACTTGATTGTTGAAGAAGACACCAACACAATTTCAGCTGAACAACTTTAATTAAATAGATAATCAAACTACACTCTATATGGTAGTCCTACTATGGTCTAAGAAAGCAGAACTAGTTCATTAATAGCGGCCGGCCTTAGGGGCCAGCCCTATCACTCACTACAAAACACAAAAACACGACTACATCCTAGCAAGCCTAACGTTCAACTGTCCTATCTTTCTGGCCCAAGCTTCACCCTGGGTTCCTTAACCCCTGCATGACCCTGGTAGTCCAGCGAGGGAGAGGGGCGGACGCCCTAACCTGCACATAGCTACGGGGGGGGGGGGGGGGGGGGCAGGGATGCATTGTGTCCCAGTTCAGGTGTGGGAGGGGTGGGGAGGGGCAGTACACGCTGTCCCAGTTCAGGTGTGGGACAGGAAGGGGGTGGGGTAGATACCAACTAGCGATGGAACGAGGGGGGTTGGACTCAGTTATAACAGGGGGGGGGGGGCTGCACAGAATATTGTCGACCCAAACTATATACATGTCAGTTGCTTTCATAAACCAGCCGTGTGAACAGCCCGCCACCGTATCTGTGTAGTTAATCACCAGAGACCCGTCCAGTATATCAGGTTCTAGTTTCAAACTTCAAGTCAAACAAAAGCAACAAACAAAACGTTAGATTAAAGTTCAATGCAGTAAAAGCTCGATAACCTGCGAGGGAGAAAAAGATAAGAACAGTGGTGTTTTCAGAGTGGTGTTGGGGGAGGGATGGTTCGGAAATAACAACTGTCGGTGTCGCTTTCAATATCAATGCTTTCATTTTTAAAACCGCAATTTTACACTTTCAAAATCGTTACAACATCTACATATATGTATGTCATATATATATATATATATATATATATATATATATATATATATATATATATATATATATAAGAGTAAAAGTATACAATACATAATGTAGCGACCCGCGCTTTTATTTTTTGTTATTTAAATGGTTGTTAATTAAAGAAAAATAATTTACTTTCTCCTTTTTAGTGGATAATTATATAAAAGCTCGTCATTAAAAATGTTTTTACAGGTTTTTATTTTTACTTAACTTGTTTCCTCTGTCTGTCTGTCTTTCTATATGTCGTTCGTCATAGATCGAAAGTCGGTTAGAAAGACAGTTTGAAACGAATCGGTCAGTTAGAAATGAACGAAATTTCGCTCGGCAGTTTTGATCCATGACGACAGAGAGATAGATAGAAAGAGAGACAGCGGAAGCAAGTTAAATAAAAGCTTGTAAAAATTGGGTTGACTTTCAACAGTCGAAACAGAAAAAATGCGTTTGCTTGTACTGTTTGTCGATTTCATCTATTCTAATTGCTTATACACAGATTTCTATTTGAACTGGAAATTTACGCGTTTATTTATAGAAAAAGCCGTGTATATTTGTCCGGGTCCGCTAAACTTCTAGTTGTTGAATAAATGCACTACTAGTAAAATGTACTAGATGTATTCTCAAATATATGTTTTACCGCGTCAACTAGCGCCGTCGTCCTAGGTCGACTGCATTATTCAAAGCCACTTCAACAGACCTTATCATCTCACTTGAACACTGTCTCCTTCAACAGACATTTGTTCCATGGGGGGGGGGGGGGGGGGTAAGGAGGGAGGGTAAGGAGGTAGAGTACTTGAAACTTTGAGGGGAGGGGAGACTTAAATTTCCGAAGGGGGGGGGGAGATACGGACTCAGTGGTTAAGGTTTATTTCCTATGTAAATAATATATTTCATTGGGGGCGGGGGGGGGGCGAGCTTAGGGATGCCCCCCCCCCCCCTCCCCTCCTCCCCTCCTCCGAAGAAATGCCTGAAAGAAGCACTGCACTTGTCTGAAACGTGCGAGAAAGTCAATCGACCCCCCCCCCCCCCCTCCACACACACACACACACACACTGAGATTGGTAGGTCAACATTTAGGACTTTTCTAAAAAAAAAAATTTAAACCCCACGGAGTTGTAAAATGTTTCGGTTGCTAGAACTTCCCTTTTATAGCTGCGCCTATTTGATAACTGTTGTGTGCTTATGGCTGATCATTATGTTAGGGTAAGTGTTCATAAATAACGTCACTCGCCTCGTGAGGGGAGGGGGAGGGGATAGGAGGTGTTTGTAATGTGAAAGTCTAGTTTCAAACTACGTGAAACTAGTTGCAAAATACGGGTGTTTATTTTGTAACTCGCCTATTGAAGAGAGGGGATGGGATAGGAGGTGTTTGTAATGTGAAAGTCTAGTTTCAAACTACGTGAAACAAGGTGCAAAGTACCTGTGTTTATTTTGTAGTTGCTTGCAATTCTTGTTGCAAAGTATGAGAAAGTCTATGTACAAACTATAAGAATGTCTATTTCAGAGGCATAGCGATTGGGGGGGGGGGGGTTACATATGTCCCCGTGTGCCACCCTAGGGGGCACCAAAATGGGTTTGAAAAAAAAATTAAAAGCTCATTTTAGCTGCAGTTTTGCATTATAGATATAAAAATATATGGGAGGGGGGGGGGGGCGCCAAATTAAAAGTTTGTCCCCGGGCGCCGGAAGGGTCGCTACGCCTCTAGTCTATTTAAAAACAATGTAAAAGTCTAGGGACAAACTATGTGAAAGTCTAGTTACAAACAATGTGAAAGTCTACAAACTATGTAAAAGTCTAGTTACAAACTATGTGAAAGTCTAGTTACAAATGTAAAAGTCTAGTTACAAATGTGAAAGTCTAGTTACAAATGTGAAGGTCTAGGTACAAACTGTGAAAGTCTAGTTACGAACTATGTGAAAGTCTAGCTACGAACCACCCACACCTTCAGAAAAACTTTCTTTGTTCCAGCCCCCACCTGTGTTTACCTTGTCCTAAAATTTGGACACGGCAACATCCTGATCTCCGGAGCCGTTGTCATGGTTACAGGACTGTTTGTCCCGTCTCTGGTCAGCACACCCATGACCTCAGTCGTGTTGTTTGGACTTCTCTACGGTAGGTGGCGCTGGTGTCTTTTACCTAATCATTCCTCAGATCATTTTTTTAAAAACCCAAGTTATAGAGGAGAGATGAAAGCATTCAATGATACGCCACTCAACACATTAAAAATTGTAAACTTAACTAACATAGAGCTGCAATCCCACAAGCAGCGACCAAGAAATATTTATATCTATTTCGTATTGAGTTGGGAAAAAGAAACTGTTGTGTATGGTAACACAACGGTGGTGTGCCTCATGGTTTAATGGGACAGGTGAAGTAGTGTTTGAAAACCTTGGGGTGGTGGGTAATTAATATTTTCAGCATTTATGTAATTAATTAAGTAATTGGATAATTATTGTAATTATAAAATAAGTGGTGTGCTTGAATAAAAAACGGATATAATGAAAGACTGTGCTGATTGTTTGAAGTAAAGGAAGTATTGTTTGTACCTTGTCTGTTTACTTCTGGCAGGGGCGGGCGTCTCCATGTTGTTCCAAGCGAGTGTACACGCCCTGGGTGACGTGTTCTACAGGTAAGATCACACCGCCCTACACACACCCTAGACATACACACATACATTCCCCCCCCCCCCCCCGCACACACACAACCCGCCCCCACTCTACATACAGTTTCAAGAGCCTGGTTTGTTTGCTAAATCAGTTAAGTACACCATGTGTGATGTGGATTAAAAACACAACAAATCGCAAAAGATTCCCCCCCCCCCCATAAAACTGCTCTATACGGGACAACAACTAGCCTTTTTATGTTCTCGAATAGAGGATTATTGGGCGCAGGGGGGGGGGAGGTATAGTAATTAGGCCAACAATTTAAATTGAGACTGCCAAATCGTGATTTTTACAGCTGGCTGTGTTTAAAAAAAGCAAACATAAATTTTTTACTATCTTATAATTAATTGTATGTGTGTCTGTGTATGTGAAAATGATAATTTGAGTAAGTTACACTACAGTTTGTTAGAGAAAGTTTCATACATAAGTGTTAGATCCTATACGTAGGTTTCTTTCAACTTTTGATCGATTAAAAATCGATAATTTGAGTATAATTTAATGGTTTACCTAATTTATACAGTAAGTAAAAGATAGAAGCTATCGCTAAAATTCAAACCATCTCGGGTTTTGTACGTAAAACAATAATATCAATGTATTAAGATTCGCATTAAACTAACGGTTGTATCAAAAGCACACACCACAATGCAATAACTAACATGTCACATTCTTGTTTCTTTATCCTGATAAGGTGGATAGGAAGGTGTTGTTAGTGGGTGGGGTGGGAGTTGTACTCGAGCGTGTACCTGTGCTGTCTTTGTGTGGCTCCTGTTATCGTACCTTCGTGTTTAGCAATTTTGTTGTCGTTACTTGAACAGTCGCGGCACGTGTAATTAAGTCCCGCTGTAAACAGGGACTCAATTAAATCTTTTAAATCAATCTTGACCCGCTAAGTGTGTATTCAATCGCTGCTGTAGTTGCGGCGTTAGAATGGTACCATGTGACCCGTGACCTGTACCATTGACCTTTACTACGCTCGACTGACCTGAGGTCTTTTGTATGTTCATGTTCATAGCGACAGACAGCAGTAGCAACCAGTGTCACGTTAGTGTCAGATCTCAATAGGTTATGTCAACTCAGCACCCTGGGGTGTTTAGCGCGGAACTACAGCGCCATCGACCACTTAAATTGGGGGGGTGGGAGGGGGGAGTGGAGACGACGACGTTTAGACGGTCTAATATCTCACCTGAATTACAAATCTCCAATGTACTTTTCGTATGTCTTTTCACGGTTTGCTACTAGAGTTGTGGTTGACTTGATTCTTGCAAGCTGTAAGCTCATGTAACAGAGAGGGCCTGCTGTTCTGTCGGAGCTTAATCTACAGCCCGAGCTTAATAAACAACGACAGCTGAGCTCAATATATTGCACTGTATAGTTTTAGACCAGGAGCTCTTGTTAAGGGTCCTATTGATGAGGGGTCTATTTGTCGCGGGTCGTTATGAGATGATCTTATATACCGAATGTCATATCTATTAGTTGGAAATCCAGCTGAATAATAAAGCCTTTATGTCGCATGATTAGTTGACATAAGGCGTGTGGCAGTGTGCTAACATTTCTTTTTCGTCCTTAATTTTAATGTTAATGGATATTTTCTTCAGCAAAGTATTGTGTGTCAACATGGTATGCGTCTTGTGGCCCCATTAGCTCCGACATCAGCCTGCTTCTCACTATATTATGTTAGTAAATGACTGTAGATGTATGTGTGTGTTTATGTGTACGTGTGTGAGACTGACCTGTCGATGTATGTGTGTTTATGTGTACGTGTGTGAGACTGACCTGCCAATGTATGTGTGTGTGTTTATGTGTCCGTGTGTGAGACTGACCTGTCAATGTATGTGTGTATGTACGTGTGTGACACATGACTGCCATGATGAGACTGACCTGCCATTGTATGTGCGTGTTTATGTGTACGTGTGTGACACATGACGAGACTGACCTGTCAATGTATGTGTATGTTTATGTGTACGTGTGTGACACATGACGAGACTGACCTGCCAATGTATGTGTGTATGTACGTGTGTGACACATGACTGACCTCAACTGACCTGTCACTGACAGATGCAGCCTCCTGGTGCCCGCTGTGCTACTGACCGCCTGTGCCCTGGTCATGTCAACCACCCAGGGGCTGATCGAGACGGCTTTTGTCAAGCTGGCCCCTTGCTACGTCTACCTGGCCACAGCAGGGTTGGCCATCTTAGTGTGCGTTGGCCCGGCCATATTTCTCATTCTCAATGACAGGAGAAACAATCACAACACACCAGGTAGGCCAAAGCCCCACGAAACATTGAACTTCTGCTTTGTGCGAATTAGTGTATTTAAAGTTCAACTTAAAACACGTTTAAACACATCACATAATTATTCTTGCTGTTGAATTTATTTATTTTTTTAACTTTTTCTTTTTACTTTTTCTTTTTACTTTTTCTTCTTACTTTTTCTTTTTACTTTTTCTTTTTCTCCATCATAGGCTTGAGAATCCTGTAAAGAAGTTGGTTATTTCTTTTAAATGTATTTTTCCTCCACCACTCAAAAAATAAATTCATTAACTTTATACAGACAACAAAGATGTAACGCAGCACTTTATGGCAGAAGTTAATGTGAGCTGTGACGTCAGAAAAATAGCGCTCTCCAAACGTGAGCTATTGCGCCAAGATTTTACTCACAGGGTCGGTGTTATGTTGGTCTGGGCAACAGGTGAGCTGGGGTCAGCTATGGCCAGTTACAGTATGGCTAGATGTAGTATGGCCAGGTATCTTATGGCCAGCTACAGTATGGCTAGATGTAGTATGGCCAGGTATCTTATGGCCAGCTACAGTATGGCTAGATGTAGTTTGGCCAAGTATCTTATGGACAAATATCTTATGGCCAAAATATCTTATGGCCAATATATATCATGTTTGGGTCAGTTGATGTTTGGGTCAGATGATGTTGGGGTCAGATGATGTTGGGGTCAGATGATGTTTGGGTCAGATGATGTTGGGGTCAGATGATGTTGGGGTCAGATGATGTTTGGGTCAGATGATGTTGGGGTCAGATGATGTTTGGGTCAGATGCTGTTGGGGGTCAGATGATGTTTGGGTCAGATGCTGTTGGGGGTCAGATGATGTTGGGGTCAGATGATGTTGGGGTCAGATGATGTTGGGGTCAGATGATGTTTGGGTCAGATGCTGTTGGGGGTCAGATGATGTTTGGGTCAGATGATGTTGGGGTCAGATGATGTTGGGGTCAGATGATGTTTGGGTCAGATGATGTTTGGGTCAGATGATGTTGGGGTCAGATGATGTTGGGGTCAGATGATGTTGGGGTCAGATGCTGTTGGGGGTCAGATGATGTTTGTAGTCAGATAATGTTTTGGGTCAGATGATGTTGGCGTCGATGATGCTATAGCAACACGATATTGTTGTGAGGCGTGTGTTGAGCTTGACCAGCTGTCCCCATCCCCCACAGGGACCGACCTAGCGCTGATGAGAGAGACCAAGCTTGACCTACCAGTTCTGATTACCTTGTGTGTACTCTCCTTGCTGAACCTCGGCTACCGAATCCTTCAATCGCGTGCCATTAAAAATAGAACTGATTGCTGCGTCAACACGCCATCTTCCACACACTTCATCCCGTTGGGACTTATGGGTACGTGTTTCTTCATTTTTTAAAATAAAATAATTAACTACCACTCCTGTATTTATTGAATTAGTCAAGATATACTTTAGTTCCTAATCCCGTGATTACCACAGTAAACATATAAATAGGTCTACTTATTTTGTCACGTTTTCACGATATTGATACAAAAAATTTAGACGCCATATTTTATAATGTTAAAACTTTCGCTTAGTTTTCTATTGACCATGCGAAGTGGGGCATGCGCAAATGTTGCTCACCTGAATTGGTAAAAATCTAATAGCACAAAGGTGACTATAGCTAGACTTTAACATATTGGTAAGGTACGTTTAATATTGAATGGAACCCGGCGGCCATTCGGCACTTTTAAAACCACAATAGATGGGATCTTTCTTGCATCAATAATGTAATCGTTCAATAAAACGTGAGATCGTTGTCTTGCATAGGTCGCTCTCATAAATGATGCAGATGTTTTTGTTGAGGTCGACTCCCCCCCCCCCCCCACCTCTTTCCTAAAGTGCTATGTGACATTTTATACACAGCCAGTGGCACTGCCCTCCCCCCCCCCCCCCCCCCACCCCACACATTCTTAATTCATTCACGAAAAAGCGAAGGTGAATTTTCCATTGAGAATCGATCACTTGTCCATGAAGCAAATGTGCATTACAATTTCCCTTTGGAGTTGGAGCTTCTGTTTACACGCTACTCTCTTCTAAACATCCTCGGGTGGTTGAACGACGTCACGATTTTTTAAAAATACCCCCCCTCCCCCCGCCGAACCTCACACATAAATCGAGATTCGCCACCTAAAATGACGTCACACTTCAGCCCCCACCCCCCGCCTTGAAAATTAATGGGTTTTTTTTTAAAAACAATTTTACTGAATTAGGCAATCATTGAGTATTTTGATATATATTTAATTTAGAAAAAATACGAAAATAATTATAAAAACGCGAAAAAGCTAAATTTCAAATGCAAAAGTGTGTCGTAAGACTTTCTCCCCCCCCCCCTCCCTATCTTTTGCACAAACACACAGTTCACTTCGTAACAGGTGATTAAAAAAAGCTCGGAAGTCTGACCCCCTCCCTCCTCAAGGAGTGTACTGTCGTTTATAGACTACTCCCAACTCCACTGAGCATATTCTATTGTTTTCTGAGAACCCACCCATCTTGTTACACCTCTCCCCCACCCCTTTCAATCCCCTTTCCGCTCTTAGTCTAACCAGAATAGTATTAGCTAGTGGTCTAACGATCAGGGTGCTATTTTTCATGCGCACACACACATGAAATTAAGAGCTACCCCTGGGCGTCGTTATACTAATTGTAGTGCATGTTTTGAAGTATGAAATATAAACTACTTTAGGTATACATAGATGGCAAAATAATTTTGAATGCTTTTATGGGCCTATACTTTTTACACATGAGTAGTTTTTGTTGTATGACCTAAGCATTTCATTCCACAACAGGTGTTAGCGGTGTGCTGTTGACGTTGCTCCCTCTAAAAACCGACCCTCTTCACCATAGCCTCGTTTTCATCGCTGGCTACTTCCTTCAGATGAACTTATCATCCCATCAATGTCCAACTCACGTGACCACAACATCACGTGACAGTTACAATAATAAAACGGCATTGTGTGAAGAGACGTGTCTCCCGATGGCAGAAGACAAGCGACACGAGGCGGGGGGTAGGCCGGACGCTGCCAGAAGGTTCCAGAAGGTAGTCTCGCTGATGGACGGCGTCAACTGGACAGTCAATGAGATTTGTGTCCATGTCGTGTTTACATTATGTGCGATGATCTTGGGATATGTAATCGCATGTAAGTGTTTAACTTCTGTAACTTATTAGTTATGCTTAACATTAAGAAACTGTTTTAGAGATAATTATTAGTTTAATTAGATAAAGTTCATATTTCAAGACCTACATGGCGTTTTGCCCGCTATAACGCGGTGCGGTCAATCGGTAGAGCAGAGTTTGGTAAGCTGAAAGTCTCGAGTTCAATTCCCGACCGACCCGATTCTACCTGCTATCAGTGTTTCTTCCAGACTTGAAATTTTCGGGGGGGGGGGGGGGGAGGGGGAGGGGGGAGGGCGGTAGACTTTCTTCTGGGTGGGGGGCGGACACTGTTAAAAGTATATATTTTCTATATAAATTATATAAATTTCATTTCGTTCGGGGGGGGGGGGGGGGGGGGCTTCGCCCCCCTGAACAGATGCCTGGAAGAAACTCTGCCTGCTATGTAAAATCAGGGGCAATAAAAGCTACTGGGTATTTTGTGACACAATCCTATCACATGCCACCAGTGTTTCTTCCAGGCATCTCTTTGGGGTGCTCCGACCCCCCCCCCCCCCCCCCGAAGAGTCTACCGCCCAGAAAAATGTCTGGAAGAAACACTGCATGCTACCCCCAACAAAACTTTAAAATAAACCTCTAAGGGTACTTCTGGCATTATTGGTATTGTTTATGTTACTTGTCTCCAATGGACATACACAGCGATTGCCCACTCCCTTGACCAAAACAGTCACGTTACAATGATATACTTTATTTATTCTTTTTCTTTCTTTCTGTTATTACATAGAAACTAACAATGCAGTTCATTTTGATTTTATGATTGCTTATTGATTTTATGACTGATTTGATCGAAATCTGAACGGAAACGTTTTCTGATAGATTGAAAATTAATCAACTAAAACTAATCCATAATTTACCCCCAGATCCATTGTCCTACTGCGGGCACAGCCATTTGGTTCTTACATCCCTGGCCTCAGGCAAGTAGCTCGACTAGAAAAATTATTCTAAACAATTTAGCTAGACTCATGACAAAATACTTGTAAACAGCTTCCATACCAATCAAAACCAATGAGAATGTAAAGTCTTGTATAAAATGTTAATCGAAATAGATTTACTTTAGGCACTTTTGAATCAAGCCCTGCTTGGGGAAAACTAGATCTATACAAAATGAAAAACGTTATTTACTTTTAACAATTGTAATCGTTAACTCTTTTAATGTTAGCCATGAACAGTTTCCATCGTGCATCTTTTCGAGGATAGGGGTGCATTGAACTTTGTTTCTCGCTTTATGGGGAAGAATACATTTTAGGAAATGGGCTATCTATATAATTTATAAATATAAAATAATGTTGTTTTGTTTTCTTAATCTCACATTTTAGGTAACAGCTTGGTCTTGTTTTCTGGTGCAGCCATTTTTCTTTCGCTCCAGCGACCAACATGACGGAAGTTGGATTTACGTCACTTGTCTTTTGCTCAAAACGAGATCTGAATTTTTCAAACACGCGCATTAGCCCAAACGTATTGAATCTACAACTAGAGACAGAAAAGTGACCAAACTCTAAAGACACGTTGTTTACACTGGGCAGTACAACAGATATTTAAGCCACTGAAGGGGTCACGCACCACAGGATTCACAAAGTATTCATAACATAATGTTGTTTACACAGGCGAAACCACGATAGTGTCGTAGCTAGGGTTCTGTCGGCGATTCTTTTGTTTCCCCCAAAATTATTGTATCAGAAAGGTGTCGTTAAAACAGTCTACATCATAATCAGAGTTTCTTTCAGACATCTCTTCACCCCCAACCCCCCCCCCCCCCCCAAGAATTTCTACCCCCCTCCCCCGAACGAAATAGAATTTGTATAGAAGATATATACTTCAACCTGTGACAACCTGTGTGCGCCCCCATCTCCCCCATGAGAAAAAAAAGTCTGAAAGAAACACTGCTCATAATGCAATCTAACTAGGCGCAATACAATCAGGATTTCACCTCAGGACAACCGTTCAGCTGCTATCATTGCTAGGTGTCCCCCACCTCGTGGTTTTCACTGGAGCACAAACTGTCAGGGAGTGAGAACAAAACGAAGAATCGATCTGCTGATAATTTATTGATTTATCTAGTTTATTTTAAAAACGTGTTATTGTTATATACGTACCCAAGCACATGTTGACACTATATGGGGGATAGGGGTTCGTATTTCTGACGGCCACTGCATCATATAGACGATTACTACTGAGACCAACACGTTTGTAAGCACTGCTTAAAGAATAAAGAGATCCAGGGTTTCTTTCAGATATTTTGCTCGAATGGTATTGGATGAGGGGGGGGGGGTTATAATTTAGTTTATTTCCTATTTGTGTATGGGGGTGATGGACGTGCTCCGGTGCATGTCCATCCACAAGAATTGCATGAAAGAAACCCTGATTAGGTCACAAAATAACTTGACCCCTTGAAGACCGAGGTGGAAACTGACTGCTGAGCTTACCACACAACACTGCCTCTGGTTTAGACGGACACTTTCATCCTGCCCATGCTTTCAAAAATCTCAAATATTTACTTTTAATACGATGACTATATTGTTCCTTGCATTAAATGATGTTTTTATAGTTATAATATGACTTATTAATTTATTTATATCGTAATTCTCGATTAAACATTTTTAAAACAATAGAGCTTTTCATATTGTATTATGTGTTGTTTAGAAATGCTCGTGTTTGCATATTTGTTTCGTGTGTTATATATTATATTCGTGTGTGTAGTTGTAGGCCTAAATGGTACAATAAAAATGCTTTTAGAATTAGAATCAAAATTTTGAAATTTGAAAAAGGAAATCAATTTAACTATCTTGGATGAAAGCGTGAGCTACTAATTGAACCCAAAGAAAGAATATGTTCGGCCAACAAAGCATACTACAACAGCCACAAAATATTAAAAACAAGAACATAGGTAGAAGGCCAGGAACACAAAACAAACAATAGCCTACATAAAACAATAAGACCAGTCACACAAACTAAGAATGAAAAAATAATTGAATACATGGAAGAGAAAAAAAGCATGAAAATGACATCCCACCTCAGCTTACAATCCTCGTCAAAACTGCAGGTTTTCATTGTAAATTGTTTAAACAATGATTTCTTGAGTGTATCAATCAGTTTCTATTATAATTTACAAAAACAGTATTTTTGAAAACGCGTCGTCACTCCTTCTGACCCCCCCCCCCCCCCCACACACACACCTCATCCCAAAATTCCGAGCCCTTCCCTCTTGAGTGACATCATTTATACACGATTCTTGCCTTTTGAAACCGCTATTTATTATTTTTCAAATGTCAACTGAGCTATGTTGAAATTATGTAAGCATTTATTAATCAATGTTATTGTTCATTTGGATTTACATGTAAATCTCCCCCCCCCCCCCCTTTTTGAGTGTCATTGACAAACGGGCTCCAAAATACCCAATAATAACTCTTATCAATTTCAGTTGATAAGAAAAATGAGGAAAGTTTATAGTTATTGCTGATCTAAAAATAAAATATCAAAAAAGATATGGTGAAACTGCATTCCAATGTCTGAAATATTAGATCTATTAAAATTATGTGCACCAACACCAGTCTTTTACTTTCAGGGGAGTTTACCATTTTTTAATGTTCTTTGTTATTTTATTTGTAGCATGTCCGATCCAACTTTTTATTGTTTAGGTTAAGTTTTTTCCTCTGCTAGTCCAAAGTTAGGGAGATCAAAATATTCTAAACTACTAAACTAAATTAAATCTTACACATAACTTCTGAAAATCGCTTATATTCATTTAGATCTAGATATCTAGATCTACTTGTTAAGTAGAATCTAATAATATTATAAAACATTATTCTCATGGAGCTAGATGAATCTGAAAAAGATATTGTCAAAACATTTGACAACTGGTGCAAAGTAAGTCGGACTGGAAATGAAACAAACGCAATGTGGCAATACTAAATAGATAATAATTAGGCCTAAATTATAAACCAATAAATATTAATTATAGATCTAGATATAGAATCTAGAAATAAAAATTTAAAATAAGCAAGCTTAACAAATTCGAATGACAAATAAAAATGATAAAGTGTGACAGCATACTTAAATTACTTTTGCAAAAAAATTTTAGAAACTGAATTTTAGCTATTAATTATTAATTATGTATTCATATTATATATTATTAATTAGTTTGTTTAAAAATAAGGTAATTTATAAATTATTAAATAGATCTAAATGTAGATTAAAGTTTAAAGATTATATATATAGAGAGAGATCAACATCACATCTAGATCTACTGTTTTAGAAAGAAATTGATGTTTTGAAAAGCCACAACTTAAAATTTTGAGAGGGTTATAAACTGAGTTATGACGTCATTTTTTGGTGGTGGGGGGAGAGGTCTGGCTACTAATAATGGTGGGGGAGGGAGAGGAAAAAAGTCATTTCTCAAAGTGTGACATCGTTTATTGATGACCTTTAGATCTAGTGTAAAGTCTACTACTACTACACTAGAACAGAATTAGATCTTTTTTTAAGTGTCCACAAATAAAATAAATCAATCAATATTTTAATTATTAAAATAGTTCTGCAGTCGTCCTTAAATGATGTCATACATCTAGGGGGAGGGGTTAGGAATTTGTGATAAGGGGCAGGGGGTTAGATAAAAATCTAAAAAAAAAAACAACACTTCATTTATGGATAATCCCTCTAGAATTCTAGATCTACTAAATAATAAGATATCTAGATCTATATTCTATTTAACTATATATAGTAGCCTATATTAAAAGGCCCATACTACTAGATTTATATAAAATTGTGTAGTAAAATTAATCAAGATTTAAAGGTAGTAACATAGATGGAGATTATTTTATTATATAATTTTTTTCTGGTAAAATAAAAATTTATTAAAATTTAAATGGTAAGTTTCTAAACTAGTGGATTGTGCATTGTAGATTAGACATAGAAATCAGTGTTTCTTCCAGAATTTTTTCTCTGGGGGGGGGGGGCACTTGAAATTTTGGGGGGGGGGGGGGGGGGGACACTGTTAAAAGTATATATTTTCTATATAAATTATTTAAATTTCATTTTGTTCCAGTAGATCTAAATGTAAGCGAATAAATTAAATCTAAGTAAAAACACTCACGCTCAAACATGATTTAAAAAAAAAAAAACAATATCCCTGTAGGGAAAAATAACTAATACTAACTAATACTATTAATATATTAGTCTAACAATTTTTTCATTGAGTTTAAAAAAACCAACATATAAGTATTTTTACTGAATTAATCAGGAATGGCCTTAGATAATAAATACACCCTGTTGATAAGGTTAGGAGTCCTGGGAATAATTATTCTACTATACAGAATTATACAGATGTTTTGAACCAGTCAGAAGAATTGCAAACAAAACTAAAACAAGCAGTGGCTGAATCAGACATCCTCAAAAAGACCAACACTAGATTACAGTCAGGTTAGTACATTGTGTGTAGAATTTTTTTTAAATATTGTAAAAAAAATTTTTTTTTCAATTCTTTACTAAATTTAAATAAAATTATTTTCCCCAGAATGCCAGATATTCCAAGAAACAATTAAAGAAGGTCAAAACCAAATGGAGTCTCTTTGTAACTTGGAAGGTATGTAGTCATTTTAACTTCTATTTCCATAATGATATTAATAATGTTTTTTGTAAAAAAAATACTTTATTTGTGTTTGATCATTAAAATAATTTTGTTACTTTCCCATTACGCACAGTGTAAAAATTACTTGGAATCTGTATCAGTAATCATGAAACCAAGTAATGTTCTAATTATCTCCCCTACCCAACTCCAAAACCTAACTAAACTTATCAAAACCTTAGCCTTTTTGTTGTCTCTAGACTTACATGAAAAAACTCATATACTTGGTTAATTGTTTTTAAAATTAAAAAGTTGTTAACATTGATGAAATTTAACATAATACATCAATCAACTGTTTTAGAGAAATTGAGAGATTTGAGATGTCAGCTGCTTGCTAAAGACCAGGTAAACTTTATGTTTTTGTTTACTAAATAAAGGTAAGACATAAAATACAGCCCACTGTTTGTTTTATATTGGGATAGATATTCATATTAAAAATATATTGATTAATATTATATTTTATTTAAAAAATCATTAAAAAATGCTCTTCACTCCTTGCTTGGATTGTTTTCTTTACTTTAAGTTTATTACCATCAAAACGTTGTAATTGCAGGCATTGCAAAGTGAAGTTTTACAACACAGAGTAATCATTCAAGAGTTGCAAGAGAAGAGCACCAGAGAAAAAGATGAAGCTCTTAATCATCTTATGACAGAGTGTATGTCAAGACCCCATACCACATTATAACTAGAACCTGTTGTAGTTTTTCCAATTTTAAACATTTTAATTATGTTGTTTTGTAATCACTGTAAACATTTGTTTTACCATTTAGATAAACAAAAACTTGAAAAAGTTGAAAGTCTGCTGAAGAATGAAGAAGAAACAAACTTATTTCTCAAGTCCCAGCTGGAAAAAGTAGAATGTGAAAAGAAAAAAGAATTATGTAGACTTACAAGTGAGGTAAAAAGCTAAGATGTATATTTTTTTAAATAAGCAAAGAGGTAATGAACCCACTTTGTCATCATAGAATGCTTACATTAAGTTACATTCACTGGAAAGTTAGTATCTTTTTTATAACTTCACAGTATGAGAGGAAGCTTGCAGTGGTTCAGCAACAGAAAGCTATTTATATGCAGCAGCAACATCAACTGTTGAACCAGGAAGTAATGAGAAAAGTAAGATAATAATTTCTTTTATAATAAATTTATAACAGTCCCTATACATGTTGTAATTACTATTTTGTTCTACTACTTGGCCATTATTAGATACATTTTTAGTAGATGTTTAGTTTACCATAATTATTAGCTACATTAATGGCGTACGACCTTATTGTAAAAAAATGTAAATATCAAACAATTTTGTCTTTACACACAGTTTAAAATAATAGATAATGTTATTATATTAAAGCCTATTTAAACAAAAATTACTGAGAAGAAATGATCAGGGCATATGAATGTTACTAAAAACCATTTCACCATGATGGTAAGCAGTCTGATACTGCAGTTTTATTTTTTTCAAGGTGCATAATAATATTTCAGAAAACATGGTATCTTATAGTATAGTGTTACATAAACACACTCAGCTAAATAAAACTGATACATTTTTTTCAGTGTTGCTAAAATATTTGTTTCAGAAAATGCAGCACATGAAAGAAACCCATGATAAAGAAATAGCAGAGCTTAAATCTCAGCTTCAAGCACTTCAAGAAAAGGAAAATGTTCTTTTATACCAACAAACTTACCAGGAACAAAACCAAGCTGGGCCACAGAAACTACAAAAACTTTTTACACAAAGCACAGATCATCAGGGAATACCAAGTAGGCAAAACAGAAAGCGTACCAAATGATTGAAGCTGATCATAAAGAAGTTGAAATTTAGCTTGTTGATAAATTCAGGAACTTGAATTTGTAATGAATGTTATATTCGTGCCTTATTTTTTTTTAAAATCTAATATGACGCTTGTTTTGAAAGCATTTTAAAATCTAAGCTTCAGATATGACGCTTGTTTTAAAATCTTAGCTTCAGATCAATTTTAAAACTATTATAGGGGAGACAAGTCATTTTTATATTAGACATTTAATTGTGAAGTACATTACCATTATTTAACTCAGGTTATGCCCAAAGGAATGTTTTGAATCAAATTATAACAAAAATCGAGAGCGCATTTTGTTTTCTGAGGAATGGATATGTTTACAATTTTAGGCTAGTTCCTTCTAAAATGTTGATACTAGGTTGATTTGGTAAATAACTTTAATAAGTGGATCATGGATGACTCCTGTATTAAATAATGAATATCTAAGGGGAAATTATTTAAAGGTATTTAGATTACTGGTTGTTTCCCTTACCTTTGCTAGTATTTATTTTTAGATGTCCAACATTGATTGATTTACAGTGAATCATGTCCATAACTGTGTGTGTCATTACGTGTTATGTAGTGTGTCATGTAATAGCTTTGTGCATCCACTGTTATGTGCAGTGGCTTTTGTTGACAAGTTTGAGCTAAAGCTTGATGTGTAGTGTGTACTTAATGATACACATGACTCATCTGGCTTTCCTGTCTGTCTATAACTCAAGTCACAACTCTCCATCTATTAATCACGCTCAGTATGACATGCTGTTAATTAATGTTGATTGCCTCACTAATGATCAAGTTTGTCTTCATTAAACCTATGCTGTGAAGTGTCTACAGGTGTGTTCAGGTAGTTTTCTTACTTGACACTGCTGACACATGACACATCACTTGTGTCAATGACTAGGTCAGCATGATTACAACCACTGACCTATAGATAAACACAAGATGACCACTGGTCTGACCTAGGGAAACTATTGCTGTAACAACAGAAACTTGGTAAGATGACCTTGTTAGCAATGATAACCTTAATTGTTGACACTTATTTCAAACTTGATCAAAGGTACAGGAAGAAAACACCAGTTCATTTGTTGATTTTTTTAAAAATTGTAATTGACTGTATTATTTGTATAGTTATTACTATGGTTTATGTGATAAATATTTATAGTATGAAATATATTTTGGAAAAAACCCTCTTTTTAAACATTACTTTTACTTCAATCGTCTTCTGTCTTCTGTCCTGCCTCCCCCTCATCTCCACATACATACAGTGTTTTTAAGACAATTAGGATATATAAGTATACAGTGTTTTTAAGACACAGAATTAGGATATATAAGTTTAAGCCCAGAGGTAAACAGTGTTTCTTTCAGACTTTTATCTCCATGCAGGGGGGGGGGGGGGAGACACTGGTAAAAGTATATATTTTCTATATAAATTTTATATTTATTGGGGGGCAGGGGCTCAGCCCCCCCCCCCCCCTGAAGAGATAGCTGGAAGAGACAGGAGGTAAAGACTTCCTGCTTGATGTTCATTAGGGCTCGTTTAGTCTATAGTAGTGTTGTTTTATTTTGTGTTGGTACTAAGTCTTTATTAGGTTATTCCAAAAATTTTAACCTATTCACTAGTGTCATCCACACTAGACCAGCGTTTTAACACATAATTTGATCGCTGTTGTGTTTAAATTAAAAGTTTGTAGTGAGGTGAAATCAATACAGATATTAATACATCTGTTACCACAGCACTTGGCGTGTGGACGAGAAATACATATTGAAAATATTTGCGTTGTTAATAACTCATTGCACTGCTTGACGTGCGATGTGCATTGTGCGCCCATAAGTATGGTTTGTTTGTTGTGCTACATTGTTTCTCTGTGTTTAAGGCAAGGGCAGTAACTCACACATTGAGCTCATTGTATAAAGGTACGTAAACTTCGTTTTATATTGTCATCTTCAGTGATTTATCTCTAGTTTACTCAACACACGCGTTTGAATGAGAGATTTCATCCAAGCAGAGGTAGAATGTCAGAGATAGCCCCTTGTGTATAATTAGGTATTCTAAATGAGCCGAAAAATTTAAGCCGGTTTTAAAATTTTTTGGTCGCGTTGCGGCATCGCGCGGCGGTCCGACCCCATAATACATACGCAATTAGAAACCACTGATTTAGAAAGAAGAATGGTAGCTCTGTAAGATGGTATAACTTTGCCAGCTGTATAATATAATTAAATGCTAAAAATGTTCAATTTAAAATTTTTAAATGATTTTTTTCCATGAAAAAATAATTTTACAGCCGCCAAAGTTGTATATTCCGAAAGGGCATCCAATTTGCCATAAAACTGTTACGATTTAATGAACACTCCATGTATGGGGTCGGACCGCAGTAAATGAAACCAATGTATACAAATCGCGACGACCCGCATCTAAATTTCGCCGGCTCGAGTCAAGATTGTGTTGAATTCCGGAACACCCGACCTCGGTTCAGAGCAAGATTTTGTGTTTATTCGTTGATTACAGAGGATTTAAAAACACGTGCAGGTAAGTTGAATGCATATTATATTACTAGCTATATTCTATTTATTTATGATTAACTGCTGCTTTAATACATTTGAATATTAGTGTCCGCTTATCGGTAATTGCTCCACGCTTAAAAATTTTTTTTCCAAAAAATTATCTAGCCTTTTTTAAAAGTCAGTTGTATTTAATTTATGGTCACTGAAATAAAAAAGGAATGCGCAATTAAATCAAAAAGATGTTTAAAAGGATGATAGAATTTAATTTGTTTTAGTAAATTATGTTAGTTAATAACATCGGCCGATTAAACTATCAATATTTTGTCGATATTTCAAGCCGATTGTCCGCCATGTTTTTTTTACTTTCTCGTAGTGTTGGGTTCAACTATTATATTACCGCAGCGGTTAACAGCATACTTTCAATTTATTGTAGCATTGTTTTCTTTTTGTCTTTCCTAGTTTCATAGTTAACTTTTCTATATATGTGCAGTAGTTACATTAAATTTTAGAATATTACGATCTTTTACATTTTTTATCTCTAGATTTATTGTAAAGACGACTTAAAATAAAATGTAGCCCCCCTTCCATAATAGTTTAGTCCAAAGTTGTTTCTAGATTTAGTCTAGATCTACTTAGATTAGTTAGATTCACTATTGCTTTCATGTTAATATTTAGATCTAGTAGTATAACTATCTATAGTGCTTACATTTAATATCTAAAAAGCATTGAGCAGCCTTACTTTTAATATTATTATTATTCTATTTACAGAGCAAGATATTAGCATGAAAGAAAGGGGAAACTCATTGGCCTACCAAAAATTTTGTATTGTTGTGAAAGCAACAACAGGACTCCTGAATACTTTTGAAGGAAACCATATGTCAAATGTTAGTATTGTATGCACTTTGCTTATTATTTATGATGATGTAATGTTACATGATTGATATTTAAGTTGGTATAAAGATATACAGGCCTGTTACATAAGTCAGTATATTTGAAATGCTAATTAATTGTTTTTATTCACAGACATTTTCTATACTCTGGACCAATGGAAGGATCCCTTACTAGATTCCATAATTTGATCTGTAACCTTGAAGAAGACAAACTCAACCAGGATATTGACTATTAATTACAAAGCTACCCAACCTCATAGAGAAATTTCCCAATCAGGATATTGACCTGTCTTTTTTAACCTGCTCTAAGATTTCTGATAATTGTATAAGTTAGGACCTAGACATTTCCAGAAGTTGACTTTGATCAATAACTAACTAGAAGAAATAAATATACTAGTAACAAGTAAATTTATGCTAAACAAGTCATGATTAGGAACCAGAGTAACAAAACTAGATGAACATCACAACTCTATTAGGGTAATTTAAAAATAATTTCAGTTTAATTAGTTATCTTACTTCGTCAGTTTTTAAAATGCATGGAATTTCTTCTTATTATAGTATATAAGTAAAGAAGTAGTATAGTTATTTAGTTTTTTATAACAAAGTAATGCTAACATGTTTCCTACACAATTTATATTACTTTCTTAAAAGTAAGAACACTTTTTGCAAGATGTTAGGTAATGAAAATTCTTGATTTTGGGCGTTAAGGAAGGATGCCTTGTATTGTTTTGCAGAATGATTATTTTATGTCTCTGTGTTTATTATATATTAAGAACATCATGTGCTTTAAGTTGGTGTAAAATTTATTAAGATACCTTACTTAAATATTTTTTAATAATTTTTTGAAAAAGGATGAAATTTCTAATTTTTATAAACTGACCTTGCTGAATCTGGTCTCGCTAATTACTTTCTTTATTAATTCTTTACCTGCTTATTTTATATTAACATGGTTTGAATTTCCTTTTTTAGAACATTTATATTATTAATGTGGCTTAATTAGTTGATTTTCTATGATTTTTTAAAAATGACTGTAAATTAACTTTTTGTCTCCCTTTTCGTACTTCGGTAAAATTGTGCTTTGGCTCATTTTTATGTGAATAAATTTTCTATTTATATCTGTCTGACTACCTTGAAAAAAATTGGGTTTGCTATTTGTATTACTGGCTGTGTGTGCAAGAAATTTGAGAGTTCTAACTTAGTTATTGTAGAAGTTAGTAGGGGTCTCAAATAGACCCTTTACTGTTCAAAAAGCGAACACATTTTTTAAGTTTTAAAAAATTCATAACTTTTTTAAAAATGGACATACATCAATAAATTTGGTGTTTCTGTTCTGATGAAAACAGTCTCTATCAGGTGGAAGTGTTAAATTTTATTTAATTTCATTATAAAAATATCATTTTGAATACCTAGTATAATATGGCCCTCGTGGTCTAGAGGGAATATCAAAGAGGAATCAGTATCGCTGCTCTCCCTCAACATTTCCACTAACTAGTTCAAACACAGTTACCACTTACATTAACTTACAATCATACATTAGCTTTCGCCCAGTTTTGTTGTATTTTAATAATTTTATTTAGATATCTTAGCGGTCAAGAGGCATTTTATATAAGTAATAGCACTTTTAAGTTGTTTTTTATAAATTGATTCCTTCCATTTTTCGCAATTCGTCTCCTATATTTAAAGTCCCTTCTCCCCTCCCCCCGAAATCTTAAAGGAAATGTATAGGCCTACATATTAAATGAAATATGTATTCATTAATTTAAAAATTCTCAGTAAACAATAACACTAGTTTGTTTATGTTAAGTTGAGAGGGTAGTTACGCGCTCATATACATCCAGAGTTTCTTTCATGTATCTTTTCGGGTGTTCCTCCTCCCCCCCCCCCCCTTTCCTCCCAGAAAGTTTCAACTGCCTCTCATCCCCCTCCCCCCGAAAGAAAAATATCTGAAAGAATAACTGGATACATCTACACACAATATACATATTCCGATACTTACGAGTGTGAATGCTTGTATGTGTGGTACAGGGGTGGAGTACATCTTTAAGTCTACTCAGTCCACCTCTACTCTACATTATCAAGACGTTTACATTGAATTTTTTTCTCTTGAAATTGAATTTTAAAAAACTATGACTGGCCTAATTCCCCCCCCCCCCCCCCCCACACTAGCATAAAACAATTATTTAAAAACGGCTAAGTCAGATTGGATCAAGTTTACAAATCTGATCTTTACTCCTTTACCATCTGCTTGAGCAAGCCGGCATAAATAATCTGTACAACATGGTGGTGGTTAGTCATCGTGATAACAACAGTCTGCGTTAAACCAGCCTACATCAGCAATAGTTTAAAATCTCTGAACACCATGGTTATACCTAACTGAAATGGACACCGTTACGCTAAATAAACATTTTAAGGCCATAAAGATACGGAAGAACATTAAGAACACGAGGCTGCAGTTGCTGCAAGTTTACCTCTAATTTGGGGGATTCGGAAACCGTGTTTCTTTCAAATAAATTCAAACGTATTTCTCTGGGGAAGGCGAACTAAAACTTATCGGGGGGGGGGGGGGGGACACACGACAACACAAGTTAAAATATATTTTTTGTATATAAGTTCTATTTCGTTCGGGGAAGGGGCGGTAGCGGGGAACGGGGGTTGCACCCGAAGAAAAGTCTGAAAGAAACTGTTCGGAAATGTGAATGGAACATAGTTTCACAATTAAAGTTACAGGCATCAAAGACAAACTGAATTATGATGATGTATAGGTGTGCATTTTATATAACCTACATAATGTACGTGTATATATATATATATATATATATATATATATATATATATATATAGAGAGAGAGAGAGAGAGGCCTATTCACTGGCATGTGCTCCCAAGATCCCTACTATTTAAATGCATCATTTGTCTCACCCACGCATACACACATGTCACTATATATATATATATATATATATATATATATATATATATATATATATATATATATATATATATATATATATATATGCCCCTATATTTGGATGTTCTTGAAATTTTTTATTTTTCTTTGTCATAGTAACATTACAAATCGCGTCACGTTTTTGTGTTAATAGAAAAAAAAATAGCTCCACAAGAAGTAGCCAACCCTGCCTCATCAGTGACATCCTATGTTTGGGTTGGTTTTCTTAACACGCGTGGGCTCCTCTCACTTCACTCCGTTCACGCTGTGTTTGCTATTTTTAGCCAAAAATAGAAGATCCTTGTTTATCTGTTAGGCTAACACACAAAAAGTTTGCTATGGTCGTCTATTATCAGACAAGAAATGTGATCTAATGTTTTATCCTTCCATTAGACTTTCTAGGCCCTACTAGTTTTTAGTTTTTAGATCTAATTATTTTTCGTAGTAGCTATAATGTAGGGCTGATATATGTAAGCCTATCTTAATTACGGTTTTATCGTGAACAGGATGTTGGTATTTATAAGAATTTAAAACTGCATTATTCATAATGGGAACTAGCGTGTTAACAATGAAGCACATGAATGTATGTAGGTTCAGTGTAAGGATGTTGTAATGGCGTTCATTCATATTGAATGTTGTTATCGTGGATACAAAGTAGATGTACTATACTAAGTGTACTGGTTGCTATCTAGTAAGTAGTAACTATCATCTAAGCCTTAGTCAAGCAACTTTGAAGTAAAATAAGTGTCAGCTTTCATTTAAGTGATTTTCTATTTTCACATGGAATCCTGGTCTTCTCCAGCTCACCTATCGTCCACTAACTAAGTAACGTTTCTTTCTTGTACTTAATGGATATATTTATTAATAGATAGCGAAATAATAAAACAGTAGCTAAATCTACATCCAATCCGTGTATTCAAGCAAGTAGCTCATTTATGATTAAAAACAAAAATGCTTCGGAAGTAAACAAAATCAAAACAATGGCGGCGGTAGAAGGGGGTGTTGCCATCAGCGAAAACAATACAGACGATGGTAAGTCAATACCTGAATCCCCAAGCGAAAGTCTTGAAGAAATAATTAACGATGATGCTGATGATGAAGTGGACATTGACGAGTTCAGCATAGTCTCATCGTTAGGCAGCGATAATTCTCATTCGCCAAGTAAAACATCTCCTACCGACCCGGAAGAACAGAAACTTTCAGGTTGGCTCAAACTTGCTAATGTTGGATTGGGTTTTCGAAAACTCGTTAAGCATGTATTTTTTGTGTACGGAGAGGATACTGGAAAATTATATTATTACCGCCAACCACAAGATTTACTTCCACTGGGGGAAATAGACCTACGAAATTCATCTCTGACTTATGATGCCAACAACAGAGACAAGCCAGGTCTTTTTGAAATTAGGTAGGGAAGTTCTGCTTTTTTTTCTTTCTGTACAAGTGTAAATAGATCTTCACAACTACTAGATCTATATAACATTAAAGCAACGCTGTTTTTCATTGTTTTTTGGAATGTCTATTCAATGCTTAGGCCCCTAAGCCATAAAGAATTATTAAATTATCTTATGCCTAACTAGTGAGTCTTATCTCTAATGACTAATGCATAGCTAGATTTAAGTATTAAGAAAAATTCATTAAAATTCTACTACAAGAGTACTCATGAAAATTTTCCTATTTAAAAAATCTGCAGTCTATATTTATCTTGACTGTCTGCCAATTAGTTTTCTTGAGTAACACATCTCTAGGTCTAAGCTACTCAGTATAATATTTGAAAATGCTGATGGCATGATCTTAAACAAAACAATATGAGCTTCTGATTTCTTGTTTTTATTTTCATCTGAAGGCGAGATCTTTACTGGAATAAATGAAAACACAAAAATTCTGCTGAACTATGGAAACAGTTTAGTTAGCCAGCTCTATTCTGTCTGCTTCCAGATTTGGCAAATTCATTTACTGAGAAGTCTTCACAATACATGCCCACACATTTAAAAAAAAATTCTACTCATGTGATATACACATGGTTAGAAAACTGTTTTTAGCTTTTTCAAACAAACTTTTTGTTTTTTGTAGTAGTGAAGTGAAAAAAATTTCTGTTTTCTCTAATTATTATCTAAAAATGCATATTTCAAAATGACATGGCTAAAGCTCGGTTGGCTATTTTATTTGGTGGAATGTCAGAATGTCTTTCTGTATTAAAAGTATTTTGAAACTGAATTTTTTCAAGCCCTAACTGATTTAGGGCCTTGAAGAATGCAGCAGAAGAAAGAAGGAGATAAGGCCTTAAATTTAGTTTTTGTTAACCTTAATGCATATATATTGTATTGGCATTGGTTAAATTAGAAAATATTTTAATTAGATCCAATAATTGAATGCCTTAAAAATCCCTGATAAGCTGCTATTATTGCTTCAGACCCCTTTAATTAATTTGTTTTATTGCTTACCTGTGAAACCAGTTACACCTGATGTGATTAGATAATTATGAGCTAAAATACAACAAGTAATGATGCCAAACTTAAGTCAACCAAAAACACCCATACGAGTCATCATTTTTTGTATTTACTATATACCAAACTTTATGGCTATCAGGAATGTACATTTGTTTCATTACGGGTTCCAGCTTCAGATAGCCTCTGTATAGGCCTAAATAGAATTTATCTTAAATATTACATATTTTGTTCAGCGTCATTTGCTGTGTTTGAGTGTTTATGTTGTTTATTACAGGCTACGTCTTTGTTTTTTCACCTACATTGCTTACCTGATCATGTGATTACTTTACTGTTTATATCAACACAGTGTGCCAATATACTATGTCATATGTCAACACAGGGTGCCAATATACTGTGTCTCAAAATGAACTCTCTTCTACCCCCATTAGCCACATCTGTTGGTGAATTTTTAATTTCTAATTTTTTAATTCTTAAGCTTTGATTCTGAATTGCTTCACATGACTGAAACCAGGTGTTATTCTTTGTTGTTTCGTTAACCAAATAGGTTTTAACCAAATAGGTTTTTGTGTGAGCTTGCACTGGGCCAGTCAGAGAAGTAAGTCTGTTTAGAGCCTGGTCAAGGAAATTACTGCTATATTAATTGGTGATTCTTATGTAAGGATATAACATTGATTCTTGTGGTAGGATACTGTTTATCTATAATTAATACTGGTGTAAGTATATATTTCTGATACTAGTTATTACTAGTGTAATGATGTAGCATTGATTCTCTTATAAGGATCTAGAGTTTAATATTTAATAATATGTCCTCTCTGTTCTCTTCTAGTCCATGAGAGTTTTATTTATTTTTTCTGGTCTACTGTTCTGGCGTTAAAAGACCTTGATACAGCACTCCTTCTATATAACCCGCCACTAATCGTACTTCTATAACCCTAACAGTAACACTGTTGTGGCCTACGTTAATCCACCAACAGTAGGCCTACACTGTACTCCTTCTACATAACCCGCCACTAATTGTACCTCTATAACCCTAACAGTAACACTGTAGTGGCCTACGTTAATCCACCAACAGTAGGCCTACACTGTACACACACACACAGCTATCTACAGTTACCCGCCCATTGTCCTGCCCAAAGTGTAGGAACACCATTATCTAGCCCGTGTTTGTATTGGTCTAGCAAACCTAACGCTGTAATGTAACGTCAATATGTATCGATGAGATTATTGGCGCGGTGATTGTGTTTTTGTCACGTGATTGACTGTACCACGAGGTACATTGTCCTCAGACTCACATTCCCTCTTTCTATTTTGAAGCATTGTTCTCTGTGTATGTGTATTTTCTCTCTCCCTCCCCCCCCCCATCTCGTTTGTTTCCGCGAATGTCTGTGTCTACGTAACTGTAGCCTTTTGAGTGACAAGTAACATGGTCTGTTCGTTAAAATTCCGATATCTGGTGTTTCAGGGGTCATCCGTGACACCCCACCTTCCCCTCAGTCGACCGACGACCCCCGTCCACTATGTTGACGTCACAATCCAGGGGTCACTTAATTTAAGTTACGTGAATAGCTCAAGGTGTGTATAAGTACTCACCTATATTGCCCATATGACTAGGCTGGATGAGCGTATGAAATTGTTTCTTTCAGGCATCTCCCTGGGAGGGGGGGGGGGGGGGTCGCCCTTCCCCATCGACGAAATGGGAAAAATATAGTTTTTATGGAAAATAGACACTTTAACTTGTGTAAACCCCTTTAGAAGTTTCAGAGGTCGTCGTCCCCGTTCCCTCCACCCCCGTCCCCGTTCCCCGTCCCCAGTAAAAAATGTCTGGAAGAAACCCTGGTATGAAACCCAACTCAAACCCGAAATTGTGGCCACTTTGGGTTGAAACCATCCGTGATGAAGTGCAGAGCATTTGATCGCCAGCCCCAAAATGTACAGGTCCGAATTTGTTTCACTGAGTCTAATCAGCTCTAACGGGTACCGGACTCGAGGGGGGGGGGGAAGGTGGAGTTTAAGCGGTTGTGCTTATACCTAACCACAGTCTCTTCTCTTCTGGTGTATAAAAAACATGACTGAATGTCTTATTAGCCGCCATGAACGGAAATTGTTTCTACTAGACCTATGTACTTCTTGGTTTTATGTGTGCTATATACATGAAGTGAGTCGGAAACGATCTCTACTGAGTAATGTAAGTGGCCCGCACAGTCAGGCGTCTAGTTAGTCTCAGTTAGACGCACAGTCAGGCGTCTAGTTAGTCTCAATTAGACGGAACTAGTTATTAAACTCACAAACTGTTATATACATTTATAGCAGGATAAGAACTGGTAAAAGTAGTTCTTCAAACCTTAAAAAAAAAATTAAACAATTATTTTCTTAGCCTAACTAACACTACACCAGTGGCGTAGCGAGGTCGGGTGGTACCCGGTCCGGCACTTAATGGTGTCACCCCCCTGAGGCTTAGCGACCCGTCCCGTGGACAAACTTTCAAACTTTCGATTTGCACCCCCCTCGAACTTTCGATTTGCACACCCACCCCTCAAGTTTTTCTCTATATATTTTGCTATTTGTTGCCTTGGTGTCACCCCCCCCCCCCTAAATGGTGTCACCCGGTGCGGTCCGCATCCCGCCCCCCTCACTACGCCTCTGCACTACACCCAACCCCTATCGCCATAACTACCTTCAAGCCTAAACTTAGCACAAATTAGATCCATAACTAAGGTCTCGACCAAATGGAAAAGGGGGCGGGTTATGACTTAAGTGTAAGTTTAAGTGAATATAAGAAAGCAAACAATTGTAGATACTTTAAAAAAAAATCCTGTAATAATGTTGACCATTGTTTTATGAAAGACTCGTTAATTACGTTGTGATAATATCTCGTTATCCATATCTGTAACAAATTATTTTGATCACACAAAAAAAAAAAAACCCAAAAAAACAACCTCAGAAATTTCGTAGAAGTGCGCGCGTGTATGTCTGTTGGAAAGGGGGGGGGGTGTAAGCTTGTGTCGTCGTAATCCATTTGCCCTAATCTTCGTACAACTAGGCCAACATGCCATTTTTCCTGTTGTTGTTGACTTTAGATAGACGAGGTAGACGCTAATTAAACCAAACACAGCTCGGCTAATTGAAGGTTTTATTTTTTTTTTAAATACGTGTAAAATTCGGTAGGTTTCTCCAACATGCCTATGTCACGCGAATGTTTACAATAGTTCTTATCTAGTCTCCATAGCAACAATCGAGCAACAGCTTGCAAGGGGGGAGGGGGAGTTAGTGACATTTTGTCATGCTTTTTCCTATTAAAACGTAACCTTACTAACCACAGAAATATATATATATATATATATATATATATATATATATATATATATATATATATATATATATATATATATATATATATATATATACGGTTGACATATCTGCGTTCACACTACAGTTTTTAAGAAATTTCTATTTGTAACTTGTCATTATTCTGTGTAACTATTTGACCTTCAAGCTTCTCGACTAATCACGTGACACAAACTTTTCCGTCCTACGCTTGTGCAGATCGTCGTAAACTTGAAACGTCCTATACAGTCATTCATTTCTTCAAACCGGGATCCTTAACCGGATCCGGGGATAGATACAGGGGTATCCTGTTTCCCTTATCACAGCAACAACACAGTTTTTCTGTTCATTCGTGTAACACATTTCAAACATAGACACAGGGCTACCAAATTAGAATGTGTTTACCTTTGTATTAAAACAAATAAATAACTTTTAAAACTGTTTTCCCTTAGGTCACAATGTCTGTATGTCTTTGGTTAGATCTAGAGATGATATTTGACCAATAGATTCTCAATTTTGATCCACTTCTAATGAAACGATTTCGTTTAAACTTTCTACATAAATTTATGCCCGATTGCTCTGAAATACAAAATAGAATTTTCAGTTTAATTAGTTTTTTGAAAAATTCTCCGTTGATCTACTCCATGTTCCTTTGACCACCCTCTGTGTCCACCTGAGAACAGTCCTAGCCAATGGGTCTGGTCTTATTCTTAGAACCCAACTATCTCCACCTGATAACTATGTTAAAGGTTTAACGAGTGGTTTTTTTTTCAACCCCATCATTTCATACGAGATTTGGTGAGAAGATTCTCAATATTTGCCGCGCGCACTTGTTCTGAAAAGCAAATTTAATCGCAATCGTATTTGTGGTTTTCGAGATGCATGTTAGTGTCTGTCACACAAAAACAAGCACGTCTGTCCTGCCTACTTTACCCACATGTAAATCTGCATGTAAATCTGCATGTAAATCTATCCTCTACCAAAATTTAAATTAAAAAAAAAAAATACCTCACAGGATGCCGGCGGTATTGTATATGCTTTTTCGCCGTTTTCTCTGCTGGGGTTAAAGGTTAAGGAAGGCGTACCGGCAAAAAGGTTTCTATCTATGTAACAATAGTATCAAACATGGGTTTTGGTGCTTGATATAGGTTGCTAAAGGGGCGGGAGGGGGGTCGTTAATATATGACGTCACAACGTCACACTTCCAGAAGGGGGATGAGTCGTTCGAACATGTGTGACGAGTGAGGGGAGGGGTATATAAATGGGTTCAGTTATTTGGCTGAAGCGTGACTGTGTGACTGGGTTAAATGGAACGACGGGATAGCAATAAAAAAAATTCACAATTTATCTCGAAATTTTCTTTAAAAAAAAAAGAAGGGTACCAATGTTAAGTGAATACTTTTTTTAAACTGGCGACTCTGCTATACTTAACTATTGTTCATTTATTGCGCCCACTTGGACGAGAGGGAACGGGAGGGAGGTGTGTGTGTGTGGAGGGGGGTGGGGTCCGACACAGTTGAGTTTTTCACGTGTGTGTACGGGGGGGGGGTCTATGTGGACGTCCAACATGTGTCATAAAAATATTTTATGTTCCAACACACACAAACAATGTTTGTAATCTCATCACACTGTATTTTCTTTTTTAAATATATTTCTGGAGGAAAAAACACTATGTAAATGTTATCAGCATTGCAAAGTACACATAAAATTTATGTATTTAACAAGCATATGGGAACTTAAGTTTTATGGACGTCCGTATCGGGATGTTGGGTGTTGGTCCCCAAATTCACATATTTTGTGGAGATCGTAAATTGATGCCCCCCCCCTTATTTTCTAAGCTCCTGGCCACTAACGTTTTCTGGGAACTTTAATAATTGTGGGGATTTGTTTTGATGCTGTTGCAACTCGATGTCATCCATAAGGTGCGATGGGAAGGTTTACCACATCGATGCACAGGACAGAGTGCGCATGCTCTACTGGCTAGACGCTCTTCAGAAAAAGAGGAGGAACTTCAGCTTACGGCAGTCACATCTTGCGCAAGATCTGTTTATGGGGAAAAAGGTAAAGGCAGATAACTCCAGTGTCGCGAAATAAATCAATTGATTTCAATAAAGCTTGAAATTAATATTTTTAATTAATTCTAATTAAAGTATAATAAATACATGTCTGATTCTGTTTAAATTAATTTCAACAAAGTATTAGGATTTTAATGCCTCTTTCAGTTAGAATATTTGTCAATTTTGGCTTGAAAAATCTACAATTTCTAAAAGAATTATTTTCAAAAAAATGTAACTAATGTAACTAATGTATAGACCTACATTTAACTCAGAAACAGCTGTCTGCCAGTGGACTTTTGGGCAAGGATTCAGTAGAAGATGGTCAGGATGACCAGTCCTTGAGGACTCAAGGTCACCCCCACCAGCAGGAAGATAACCCCAAGCTGTGGTCACTAGTTAACCTACAGAAGGAGATCAGAAATGCTGTGTCCACTCTCAGATCTTCAGGTAAATTCTCACCCAAAATAGCAACAGAAAACTAAGATGACTACCTGACAGTTGTCTTAGTTACACACATTACAATTTCTCCAAGGGAGGTAAACATAAACAGCTTCTTGATACATTTATAATCTCCCTTTTTGCCTATGTATATTTTTTTTTTACTTATGAGTATATATATATTTATATGCATGTGTGTAAATATCACTTTTCTAGATTCAGACTGTCCTAATTCCAGTTTTTATAAATTGTTTACCACAAGGCTGTTATAGTTTTGCTTCCCTTAACTTTTCTAAATTAAGCATTTGGAGAAATTGAGTTATATTGTGTAATAATTGCACAAGTTATGGCCAGCTATTTTGTGCAAGAATACTTTGGTTGACTTAAAACAAAATGGTGTTCAACTTTCAAAAAATGGAGTAACCCAAGTTACCTCTGTTACCTAAGTATTTCTATTGATAATTTGTTAGCTGCAAATCAGTCATGACTGATGAATTCTCTAATTTTATTGTACTGCAGTAAAATATCACAACACATCTTTTAGTTTAGTTTTACAAAAAAAAATATTTTTTTCTGTTCTAGTCAGTGATAACTCACTAAAACATCTGTCGCACGTGACCAGTGACGACTGGTCTCTGGTGGATGAAGCTTCCCTCCCCTCTACAACCAGCCTGACCGAGCCCCCCATCAAATCCAACACACACTGGCACGTCAACTTGGACAGTGACGCCGCCAACCCAGGGCTGGACAAGACGGAAGAGCTGGACACTGCTGATGGTGTTCTCAGGCAGTCGGAGAGTTCAAAACCAAACTCCAACACCTCCCGCGCCAACATGTCGTTACCCCTCTCCCAGTCCAAGCCAGCTGCCTCCAGTCAGTACACCAGCCTCAGCTCCATCTCACCCCTCTCCCCATCAAACATTGCCAACGGTAAATCAAAAATTATGTCGGCGTTTAGAAAAATGAAGGAAACTGTGAAGGATAAAAACATCAAGTTGGGTGCAGGCTCCAGACAGCAGGAGACCAAAGGTGTTGTGGATACGGCCACGCAGTCCTGCTACAGGTGTAAGGTGGTGAGTCGCAGGTTTACTTGTGTCCAGTTCTCTGTAGAGTAGCATAAAATTGATAACTAATTTTTTTTTTAAATTGATCTCATTTGCTTTCAAAATTGTATATTTAAAATAGTAAATCACATAGAACTACCCACATTCATTTAAGTTTTACCTTAGACATGTGGTAATTTCTTTAGACTAGTGGTTCTTCACATTGTTTTTGGAGATACTGAGCCCTACTAGTTTCATATGAGTATTCACTGCACCCTTCTTAATAGCTCTATCATCCGCACTGACAAAAACCGATCACAAATCATATAAGTCGGTAGTGTATCTTGACCTCATCTGAACCCCAGAGACTGACTCACCAAACCCCTGGGGGTTTAATCAAACCCAGGTTAAAAACCCTGCTTTAGACACACTGTAAAGCTGCTGTTGCCCATGCTGTACACCTAAAAATAGTTTTTGTGTTAGATCAAAAACTCTTCCCTAAGATTTGCTTTGTTAAATTTTATTTTTAAATGGATTCATTAGATTGGGGAAGATTTGGCAAATGCTAAGGAAGACTTGAGGACAACAGAGGAGGAGCTTCAGGCAAGTAGTGAAATCATCAAACTCTTGCAGAAACAGATCAACATCATGGGGGCTGAGATCCATACCAAGTGAGTGGACTATTTAAAAACATTAATTGGTTGGAGAAATAATGGAATAAAACAAAACTTAAACACATTAAAAAAAAATTAAAATGAAAACAATGTTTAAGTTATTAATAATTGTTAATTATATGTAACTATAACTTGTTAAAATCAATGTTGACAATTTTTAAAATTTGTAAATTAGAAAAGAATGTGAAGGGAAGGAAGAAGAAGGTGTAATGCAAACATTACACCAGAAGGATAAACATATTATTGAGCTGGAATATGGCATAACAGCCCTGAATGAAGAAAAATGTGCATTGCAGCAAGAACTCAGGTAAACATTGTTTTTTCAATTGAGTTTGCAAAATCTTGATTTATGATAGAAAATTTGAACTTTTTGCATGTAATATGATTAGGTTTACATGTTTAACTTTACTTTAAGTGTGGCCTCTTCCTCTCCAACTGCAGGTTAAAAGACAGTGAGCTAAAAGACTTTAAAGATCAAATCTCCATGTTCCAGCAAACCCTAGCAGTCAAGGATGAGATCATTGTCAGCCTGACCAATCAAAACCAGGAATTGAAGAGCAACCACAGTTCTATACTGCAAGAACTGGGTGAAACCCCACACACAGCAGTTTCATTCCCCAGTGATCCAGTCTCACTAGCAGCAGAAAGGAAAGAACTTGAGAGATTGAATGTAAGAAGCTAGCAGTTTAAAATTTCTTAGATTTTAGTGATTGAATGTAAGTTGCTAGCAGTTTAAAATTTCTTAGATTTTAGTGATTGAATGTAAGTAGCTAGCAGTTTAACATTTCTTAGATTTTAGTGATTGAATGAAAGTAGCTAGCAGTTTAAAATTTCTTAGATTTGAGTGATTGAATTTAAGTAGCTAGCAGTTTAAAAAAAAATTTCTTAGATTTTATATTGATATAAATGTATCAGGCGATAAGTTAATGGAGGTGTTGTCATATTTTTTTGTGACAGGACACTTGTAAAGCTTTTGAGATCCAGAACAAGTTCCTGACAAAAGAAATTCTGGAACTGAACACACTGAGACAGCATGATGAAACCAGGGAAAAAGTGATGAAAATGTAAGGAAGATTTTCAAACTTCTTTAGTAGACATTTGTTTACTGTAAAATTAGTTTTAAACATCTTTAGTATTGTTATGACTTAATGATGAGTTTAGTACATGTGGAAGTTTTAGTTACTGCTAGCACTAAATTCAAGAGGTTGGGTTTTTTTTAATTAAAAAAATATTGTTCACAAAAAGTCACATTTGATAAAACTTTAGAAAGATTACACAAGAAATAAATCTTCATATCAGCTCATTTGAGTACATTGCTTTATAATACAAAAAGGAAGATTAAAAGAAAAACTAAATCTTAAACAGTTTTTAGAATATCAATACTTAAATTTACTGGTAATTTTAAAATACTTTACCGTTGAAGGAAAATAGCCAAACTGGAAGCACAGTATTACCAGACTAGAAGTAAATATTTGTTCCTGTTGAATGAACGTCAAGTTCCAATTCGAGGTTAGTTGATGCATTTTTTTTCTCTACACATTCTGCATGTTTGGTCCTCCATTTGGTGATGCACCTAATTCACATTTTACATTTTTGTAATTGTTTTACTGGTTAGAATTTTTTTTTGTGGAGATTAACACAACAACATTATGGTTAATGAGGTAAACAATATTTGATTTATTGAGTTTTGAGCTGTTTCTGTGGATTTGGATTTTTTAGCTACACATGGCTATTTCTGAAAATTTTAATTGGAGATTTTAGACTAGTAATTGAATGTAATTTGTTTCAGGTGGCTATTTAAATTAATTTTTTGTCATTTTTAAAAAATTAAGAACAATTTGTTTCAGAAAGTTTTATAAACACTTTTCTATTATCAGTTTAAAATGTTTCTTTGCTTGCAGACAATTATGAGGGTAATATATTTTATAAAATTTATTATTTAAACAAACTCTGGCTTTTGGTACAGTAATATTTAATTTATTTTAAAATGTAATTAAATATTAATTCTGATTGCAAGTGAATATGTAAATGAGGGGTACCTTAAACACTTAAATTTGTAACCCTATACCTTTGTTCATGTTTTGTGTTATTCTGTTTCTTGTGTCTTTACTTTTGTTGAGTCCACTGAAGACATTTTTATAAACACTTCTAAATATTAGACAAAGTATTTACATTTTTCTATAGCAATGTCTATTTTAAATGTTTGTATAGTCTAAGCCTAATTTACATACTTCTTTTCTTTGTAATTAGTTATACTTTAGTTTTTTCCACACAAAAATCCTGTTTACATCTTCTGACTGATTTGAAACTTTAAAATATTTAAACATAATTTTTTTTTTTTGAGCTCAACTTCAATCAAAAATGAAAACATCTGAATAAAAGTGCTTTTTTACAACTGGCAATCAATCTATAGCTTCAGACACTTTCAATCCAGTTTAAAAATATGTTTAATTTTTATTTTATTCTATTTATTGAATGACTTAAACCACCTCCCTTTTCTCTCACCTATGTGTTGTTTTGTTTGTTGGTTTGGTTTCATATATTCATCTTTACCAATAATCAAAGTAATTGAAACATAAGAAATTATCTCACAATGTGTTATGAATGATAGTAGATAGCCTCCCTTTGGTTAAACAAACCAGGTTTTTTTCTTTATCTCTCTCATACACCTTCTTTTGTCTGTTATTCTGATTGTTACAAATATATTGTTAAAGTTCCTTGGATAATCAAGTTATTGGGGGCACACTTACACAATATCTTTCATTGAGTATAAGGCAACAACAAAAATAGTGTTACACATGTTATCATTCAAACAGTGTACAGCAGTTTTTTTTGCTAACTGCCTCTCACGCTACAGTGAGTAAGTTGATGGCATCAGTTTCTGTCCTGTCCACATCTGTTGCTTGAACCAAACACTGAAACGTTTGCCAGCTAGAATACCCTCACTCAAATATTGAACCGCTGCCATATGTTACATTATCTTCTCCCATTTTTTAAAAGGTGATATATTAATCTAGGTTGTACTACTTTTCAGCTGCATAAAACCTATAGGAATAAAAAGAGAAAAAATCAATTTTAGATATTGGGGAAAAAAATTAATATAGAAAAAAACTTTTTTTTACTGACAGTAGAATTGTATTGAGTGGAAAAATGTAATATCCGGTTAAAGTGCTCATATCATTTGTATTCTGTGTGTAGCTTTTAAAATGTTTACAGTAAACTCAGCGTTCATGATAATGCAGCTGAATTTCCCTTTCAAAGCCAGTCTTGCGTAGTGATGCATCTTGTGTGTGCGTTGAGTCACTTGGATATTGTCATCAGTGATGAAAGCAACTGTTGCAATGATGTGTTCTTTGGGTGTTCTAGTGTCCTCATATAAATGTTGACTATTTCATTTGTAGATTCAAGCAGCTGTTGCAATGCTGTGTTCTTAGGATGTTCTAATGTCCTCATATAAATGTTGACTATTTCATTTGTAGATTCCTGGGTTTGTCAAAGTTTTGTTGATATTTCACACCAAGGTATTGAATACATTCTTAACTCATCTACTCAAGGTGCTTTCTGATGAACTTTCAACTCTAGCTGCACACCAGCAAACAACTAATGCTTTTAATTGGAATTTAATATTGTAGGCCTATAGTGATATGCACTCCTTATCCATAACGTTTAATGTATATAAAAAACAAGTAAAACGTAGGTTATAAAGCCAAATATATTAATGCAGCAATTTACTGGTTCATAAGTTTTAAAAGATCTTGTCAACAGGATTGATTTAATTACACCAATTAAGTATTTACACCAATTAAGTATGTACACCAATTAAGTATTTACATCAATTAAGTATTTACACCAATTAAGTATTTACACCAATTAAGTATTTACACCAATTAAGTATTGACACCAATTAAGTCTTTACACCAATTAAGTATTTACATCAATTAAGTCTTTACACCAACTTAACATCAACTTTCAGTGCCTACCTACCTTACTGGATTTGACCTTCCTGCACGTATTACTAACAACACTCACATTTTATATGTTTTAGGCCCATTAGTCCTCTGAAGTAATTGTTAGTTAATCTAATGACAGCTGGTTTGATACAACTACGAATGTTGTTATTAGATACTTGTGAGATCTAGCAGTTGCTTGTAGTTTTCACACGCCACCAAAAACTGGGCAGCAGATGTTATTTTCTTGATTTCCTAATACAAGAAAGATTGGTTGAAATTTTATGATTATTCTTGAACTTCTGTTAAAAGTGCTTTTGGCCTTGACCACCTAAACCAACAGCTGTCCGGATGAAATCAATTTACTGTTCATTGTTCCAATGATAAAAACATGTTTTTGATAGCCCCTGACAAAAGCATTAGCAGCTGTGTTTTGTAGGGAAGATAGTGCAGCTTAAAATCAATAGGATGTAATTACTTGTGGTGTGATGTGTAAGCCTCGTTAATTATTTGCTTAGACACATGTTACATGGAGGTGTAGCATCATGTCAGCTGGTTAATTAAACAGCCCGTGTTAGCTTGCATCAACACCAGCGAGAACATTATAATGGAAATAAGATAACACTTCAATTAAATTCTTACCAGCTTATACAGAAGTCTTTTTTATGGGGAAAGTTATTTTTTAGAAAAAATATAGTTTTAATTTTTATTATATTTCGGAGAAGTGCTGTAAAAAACTGTGAAAGATAAATGAAAGAAAATGAGTTCAGTCAAACAAAAGATGATGAACTCGCTGTGCATACAATGTGCAAACACTCCCACCTCTGGCAGTCATGTTATTTCATATCACATGCGCAGGAAAAGTGGACAAATTTATAGCTCTCAAGTCTCATCAAACGGGAGAGTTTTGTCCTTCTGGACCCAGCGTAAAGGCAGTCTTATACGCACTGGTGACTATTTATTGTAACTTTACACCTTGTAGACATTGGTTGTTGGAACAGCACATTTGTAGTTTGTTTGTTTTTGTCTTTTGGTTTAAGAATATTGTAGCAGACCTGGGCTGGTGGCATTTACACTATGAATAACGAACACTACAATTACATTGCATTTAAATTAAGCATCTTTTATGGAACACAGCTAAATATTTTCAAGAACAATTTTCTAATCCTTTAATGAGCAGTTAAGTATAGAATTCTATTAGAAATTAATTGCTATCAATTGTATAAACTTTTTTTTTCCTACAATAGAAACATTAAACTGAGCAAATAAATGTATAGAGGAAAAATGTTAGCATATGCAGGAAAAAAGAAGCATAAATTTAAAAACGTTATTCACAAAAGCCAGGGGAGACAACTTACCTCAACCACCCTTTTTCATTTTGTGCTTTGAGATCAAGGATGTTTTTACTCCAAAAGAAAATATTTGAAAATAACACAAAATATAGAATTTCCAAAAAAATTATGCTTCACTACACATTTTTAAAAATATATTTCTTAAAACTCACTTGCTCTCAAATGACAACTTTTTTTTGCTGTTTTTTAAGACTGTCTAAGAAAATTTTTTGCTGCTTTTTTGGATGGGTGAAATTCAAAGAGTTGCTTTTATTGATTTTGTTGTTATTCCAGAGCTTGTTGCTTTTGAAAATAAAAATAGAACTTTAATTTTCAGGTTATTTTTTCGCTACAGGATCTCGGGGAGAATTTAGTAATTTTTTAAAATTTAAAACATTAATTTCTTTACTTCTCAGTATTTTATTTTGCAACTATTTTTAAAATCTCCACTATAAACCAATATAATCTTTCTGCTTCAGTTTTAAGTCTGTAAATACAACCAGTTTGACTGTTACATATATCATTATACTATTTATACAATTTCAATCAATGAAAATATTTCTTTCATTTCTTTTATTTCTTTGTCTATTTGGTAATTAGGTGCTGCTTTTACAAAAGGAATCAGTAGTTTTAGTTGTAGAGGATTAAAAATAAATTTATTTATAAGAATTTTGTAGAAATAGAGTTTATATTATTTTTAAATTTGCTTACACAGAAATATGCTTGCTTTCTCATTTACTAATTAGCAGACTGAAAACAGAAGTAATTCAACTTTTTATATATAATTCTCTAAAGTTTTAATATTTTCCTCACAGTTTTACACTTAAGAAAAATTAAGTTCAATTTTGAAATAAAAGTAATAGTAAATAATAGCAACAGCTGCTGTTGCTAAAGAAATTCAATATTGTTTCCTTTTTTTTTAAAGTTCAATTTTTGTACTGGTACACTTGTTGACAAGACTAAAGTTTATTGTGTTTTGGAATGGATCATGTAGACTGTATACTCTGCATGGAAGCTATAAATAGGATATTTTATACCCTGTAAAGAAAGAATCAAATATCATTTCAATTGTGGAATCTAATGTATAACCAGCTGAACTATATTTTGAGGCACTTATTAGACAAAAGAGGTTGATACCATGAACCTTAGTGAATTACCAAGCCTCACTAGTTAGCTTCATAATAATGAGACAATAAAATTTTGTTTTTTTTTTGTTTATTTATAGAGCAGATTATTAATAATTATAAACATGAGTTAATAAGAGGGTCTGTGAAAACAGTGACAATTGTTTGGACTATATTTCATTTTCTGATGTGACAGCTATTTGGCCAGTATTTTAACTTGTAAAGTGACAGGTAGCCAGTATTTTAACCTCTCATGTGACACCTACCTGGCCAGTATTTTAACCTCTCATGTGACACCTACCTGGCCAGTATTTTAACCTCTCATGTGACACCTACCTGGCCAGTATTTTAACCTCTAATGTGACACCTACCTGGCTAGTATTTTAACCTCTCATGTGACACCTACCTGGCCAGTATTTTAACCTCTCATGTGACACCTACCTGGCCAGTATTTTAACCTCTCATGTGACACCTACCTGGCCAGTATTTTAACCTCTCATGTGACACCTACCTGGCCAGTATTTTAACCTCGTATGTGACACCTACCTGACCAGTATATTAACCTGCCATATGACACCTACCTGGCCAGTATTTTAACCTCTATGTGACACCTACCTGGCCAGTATTTTAACCTGTCATATGACACCTACCTGGCCAGTATATTAACCTGCCATATGACACCTACCTGGCCAGTATTTTAACCTCGTATGTGACACCTACCTGGCCAGTATTTTAACCTGTCATATGACACCTACCTGGCCAGTATTTTAACCTGTCCTATTCCACCAGGAGGTGATGAGAGCAAATCTCAGGATGTTGTCAACCAGCTGTTGGAGGAGGCCCTGGAGTCTGAGAGTAACATGACACAAGAAGATGTCAGCAAGGAAGTTTTTATTTCCTCACAAGGGTACGTTGATACACTCTTAAAAGTAGGGTACACACTTCGTAGTAATATTTTCTTGTTAAAATAATTAATTAAAACTGGAATTAAAATTGGAACTAACTTGTGTGCCATCATCAGATTTATTTCTATTAAGTCTAACTTAAAAATATAATAATGTTTTTAAGTTTAACAATAGGCAGTAGGCCCTATTAGTATTTGGAGTTTTAATGTTTTTATTTACAAATTGTGTTGCCAGGAAAGAGTATGATCATTATGGTTTCTTGAAGTTTGGCCAAGAAGAAGAAGATTTACTTTTGTCTCGAGCCAATGTTATGCATAGGCAGTCTGTTGAGATAGGATATTTAATTAGGGTAAGATAGACTTTACAATAATATATTATTGTTTCCTAGAAAACTGCAACATTAAATCTAAAAAAAACATTGAAATATATGTTTATATTAAAAGAATATCAAAACTATTGTACGCCTGATTTATCTCAATGTTGTGTTTATATTTTAAAATTTAAATTACCAGGATGCAGATGAGGTAACATCAAAAAAAATAAAGTGGGAAAATTTTATGGTGGGTCAGGCTGCAGCCAAGCCACTGACCCGCTCCCCTGACCTGAAGGTTCTCATCCGGCTGGGCGTCCCGCGCGAGTTCAGAGAGAGAATATGGAAGGGGTATGTGTTAAATCACAAAATATGTTTGATTCAGAATATGGAAGGGGTATGTGTTAAAGCACAAAATATGTTTGATTCAGCCCATGTATAATACAATTTTTTTACACTGATGGCAAAATTACTTTTCTCATGTTTAAAAGAATAAGCATACTAACACATTCTTTTTATTCTATAGTCATTTGTTGATAAAATTTGTAAACATAATCATTTTTGTATTTACCAGCAATGCACTACAAACCAAATCTGCAAATCATTTAAATTTTTTAAACATTTGTCTGCAGGTGTATTGAGCTCCAAGTGAAGTCAACCAGAGACAAACTGGGGGTCAAGTATTACAAGGAACTGGCTGAGAGGGCCAACAACAACAAATCCAATCCAGCAATAAAACAGGTCAGATTTTAAAATAAGGGCAAACAATAAATCCAATCCAGCAATAAAACAGGTCAGCTTTTAAAAATCATTTTTTTTTTAACAATAACCATTAGTTGTGTGAAGATAGTTATTTTTTTAATTGTTATAAATGTGATACATTTTTATAGTGTGTTTTAATAAGAAATGTATCAAATCTCATAATGCAGATTGAACTGGATTTGTTAAGAACTCTCCCAGACAACAGGTTCTTTGATAAAATTGATTCTCCAGGCATCACAAAGCTTCGCCGTGTATTGTTGTGCTACAGCGTCCACAACCCATTGATTGGCTACTGTCAGGTACAGCTCAAGAACTCTTTGGTGCAGAAGTTTATTTTTTGCTTTTTAAATTCACTACAATGCTATTGATCATTCAGTATTTTAAAAATATATCTTGTATGTTTTTTTCAAAGTATTGTCTAACATTTAGTATTCAGTGTATTTTTTTACTTTTTACTATTATAAAATATTTAGAATATTTTAAAATATTTCCCATTTATTTTAATACTTAATTCATTATATTTGGAATGATTACTAACATTGTATAACATTTTTCAGGGAATCAATCGTATAGCCGCAATAGCCCTGCTGTTCTTGTGTGAAGAAGATGCATTTTGGTGTCTGGTGGCTATCATAGAGCACCTGATGCCTACAGATTACTACACAACCACACTGGCCGCAGCTCAAGCTGACCAGGTCAGTCTGCTTGACCACTACACACCAGATTCCCTCATTGATAGCTTGCTTGAACATTTTTTTAATGAGTTAGGTTTTTAAAACATAAAAATATTTGTTAAAATTTGGAGCAACATTGTTGGTTTGAATTTGCCAAGCCATACAACATGGCTATTGCTGAATGACTTTTGACAAGTCACGCAGAGTGAGGTTTTGTCATGTCATGGAGCATGACTTTTAACAAATGACTTTAGTCAAGTCATGCTGAATGACTTTAGTCAAGTCATGCTGAATGACTTTTATCGTCTTGCTGAATGACTTTTGTCAAGTAAAACTTAATGACTTAAGTCATGTTGAACTTTGCCCCCAGAGAGTACTGAAGGACCTGGTCAAGGAGAAATGTCCCAGCCTGTATGCCCACCTAGACACCCATGACGTTGACCTCTCCCTGTTCACCTTCAACTGGTTTTTGACCGTCTTTGTTGATGGCATCCAGCCTGAACTCTTCCTCCGGATATGGGATGTTTTCTTGTATGAAGGGAGCAAGGTTAGATTTTTTATCATACATATGGGATGTTTTCTTGTATGAAGGGAGCAAGGTTAGATTTTTTATCATACATATGGGATGTTTTCTTGTATGAAGGGAGCAAGGTTAGATTTTTCATAATACATATGAGATGTTTTCTTTTATGAATGGAGCAATTTATGAGATGTTTTCTTGTATGAAGGAGGAAGGTTAGAATTTTTAATAATACTTATGGGATATTTTCTTGTATGAAGGTAACAAGGTCAAATGATTGTTACTTTTATCAAACATGTTTACTTATCTTTGCTGAGTTTACAAAAATTGATAGATAAGAATAGATAAAAGTAAGTGGACCGCAGTTTTTTAAATGTAATTTATTTACAGGTACTTTTCCGATTCGCCTTGGCATTTTTAAAATACGCAGAGGATGACATTTTAAAGCAATCAAATAGCTTGTCAACAAATCGCTATATGAGAACACTAGGGGAGACTATCACAGATGTCAAAAAGATTTATCAGGTAAATGTAAATGTTTGTTGTTTCCCTCTTTCTGTCAGTTAGCAATAGGAAAGTTTTTTTATTTGATATTAAAGTTAACACAGATGTATTGTAAATAGAAAGAACATTTTATAAGGTTATTAATATTTTTAAAATTTTTAAAAAGGTTTACTGACCCAACAGTAAGTGCAGGTGTTTTTTTTACCAGATTTGATGTGATTATATGTGCAGCATTCCTTAACTTTGCCTGATTTACACTGTCCTTTAACCCTCTGTCACTCAAGAGGCTATAATTAGAATTGATTGACAAGTTTCTAATGACACTTTCAGATAGCCTTCCATGAGCTGAACCCCTTCCCTATGAGGTCCATCTCAAATAAACGTCACTACCACCTGCAACAAGTGAAGGTAAGTTTCATTTTGTCATTTACAGAAAATAGGCATTTTAGAAAAAAAATTACTACATTATTACAACATTGTGTATTTTGTTTTATAGAATAATTTCCTATTTTGTTCTGCCAATCATATAACCATTAATTCTTTTTTAGGCTGAGTTAGAAGAACTCGAAAACATCAGGAAAGATTTGCGATCTGCTTATGAGCAAGAGGAAAAGAGGAGTGATAAACAAGATTATTTCAGTGAGGATGACCATGAGGATTCATAAAAATCCGGATCATGGGGATTCTTAAAAATCTGGACCATGAGTATTCATAAAAATATGAACTATTAGGATTTTAAAAATCTGGACCATGAGTATTCATAAAAATATGAACTATTAGGATTTTAGAAATCTGGACCATGATGTGTGAGCAAGTTTACAGTGTATGAACTGGTCTTTATTTTTTCAAGTGTAACAAAATACGTTGTAAAGTTTTTAGAATTTAATATTTGTTTCAGTGAAACTGATCATGAAGACTAACAAAACCTTGAATTTATGGATGGTGTTTTTTTCTCTTTGTAAATTTTTTTTTTATCTTTGTAATTTTGAATTGTTTCCTCCAAAGTTTTCCCTGTAACAGATTTTAACTGTGATAATGGTATCATCCAATTTATAATTTATGTATGACTGACAAAGAATGTTTATTGTTTGTTTGAGAGGTGGATGCTGAGACAACAGATATTATCTTTAAAATCTGGTTAATTCTAATTTTGTTTTCCATTGAGAAAAACAAAAATATGATCAAAATCTTTTTACCTGCAAGAAATCCATATATCTAGTGAATGTTCAGATTTTATAGCCTATCAACATTGATGCTGCCTTTATATAGAATTTTGTTTATTATTAACAGATGATATATAAACATAAACAATGTATTTTTTTTAAATATGAATTAATATAATTAACTTTATTTTGACCAAAACTCTTCATCAGGAAAAAAAACAAAAAAACAATGCAGAGAACAAAGAAGATATAATATTTCATGCTGAAATTAAAATGCCAGTTTTATTATCTTGTTGTGATAGTTTTAAAGATATTTCAATGGGATTTGTTTTCAGACAATTTATTTTTTCTTCTGTTATGTCGGGAAATCTGTATATGACCTTGGCATTTTTTAAACAGATTATTTCTTGCATAAAATCCTAAACATGTAATTGAATTTGAATAGATGAAAGAATGTTTGGAGTTAACCTGTCGTCGCAAAGACTTTTGTTGTTTGACTGTAAATATTAGTCATCATCAGCAGTAAAAAAAATGTTAAACTTCAATATGTTAATTACACCTAATGTATTCATCGATGTATATACATATTTTTTTACAGATTTTACAGTCAGTAATAACTTTTGAATGCACTAGTACATAGTTTTGCACATGTCGCCCTGACTTTTACTTTTCAAACTTTTCATCTGCTAGTCTAGTAAGTGGAAGTCATAGAAATAAATAGAGGGTTCATGCTTACTTTTAACCTACATAATTTCTGAACCTCAAAGGAAAGAACTAAATTGTAAGTAATTTTAATTTCACTTGAATGTATTTGGATCTAATTGCATCACTGAGGTGTTAACATTGAACTAAATGATTTTCTTGTACAAAAGATTTTGTTTAGATAAAGTATTTTCACACTACCTGGTGATATCAGTTTGTATTTACATTTTATTTAAAGGAAACTTCACATTCCATACAATTTTATTATGAAATTAAATTTATAACATTATTGGGAAATTAATTTGTTACAAAAATGTTTGAGATAAAGCATTTCCTTGTTCTGTTTATATTAAAATACAGTAAAAGATTTCACTATTTTTCTATTTATAAAAAAACCATAGCAGTGCCTTTGAGATTATTACACAAAAGTTCTAGAAACTTCAATTTCTTTTTACTACTTTCAATCTGTCAATTGTGAAAAGACATTGGAATTTTTTTTTCTGTGTAAAATTCTACTTCTCAAGCATTGATATTTTTAAGTATAACTCAGCTGTTTAAAAATGTCATTATTAAGGCTCTGGCTAAATGAGAAAATGTATACAGCTGTGGATATATTTTATTGTCTTTTACAAAATATTTCACAAATGTATGACACAAACCAAATAAAACTATAAACTCTAGTGCTCAATACTATTCTTTTCTCTACTGATTTATGCTCAAGGTTAATGCAAAAGCTACCACACTTTAGCTACTTGAAAACAAATAATGACCAGAGATTTGAAAGTTTAAAACTTTAATGGAAAACTATTTGAAATCAATTTAATAAGCTTAGTTTTTCTTTAAAGAAATCATGTCATTTTTGTGAACCAATGCAGAGCTAAATTTAAAGCAGTCAGTTGTTTCTTCATTAAACTTTATTGTGTGCACAGGGCTCAAATATTACCAATGTTTGTTCTTACTTATTGTTGGCACCTTTACAAAACAATTTTTTACTGCTACATATTTATATAACCATTTACACAAATTTAGTGGTGTTTTTTTTATTCTATGTATATACATTTCTTTTGAGTCAGTCATTTTGTATAGTAAATATTTTATTTCAAAGCATTAAAAAATTTGAAATAGTTTTGAGGGGTAAGTCATCATTCCATCATATTTTTTTTATAACTATGTAGGAACTTCATTATATTTTTTTAAATGAATAACTGTTAAAAATATGTTTTTTTCTTTTGTAAAGAAGTTCGTTCAACCACCTTTTCATGTGCCCTTTATGGCCTCAGTAAGAAAAATACAGTATTTATCATTTTGTTTCATTGCTCAATCATCCTGACATTTTTACATCCCTGTACTTATTCTGTACCATATATGCATAATCTTTATATGTAGGTTTGTATCATATAGTCATATAGACATACAACCAAATAGCACTGGGTCCCTCATTCAATATAATTTTTAGCACAATTTTAGTGTTACGGTAATTTTGAAAATAGGCATCCCCTTCCCATTCCTAACAAAATATTTGACCACCAAACCATTCCAACATTGGAGATAAAAGAAACTTGCCAGATTTGACATTTTTTTTTAATCTGGCAATTTTCCTTACTGAAATAGTACATAGAAAAGAGAAAAAATAAAAATAAAAAAGCTAGAAGTTGGTTAGAGAATCTATGTTTTATTTGTTTATCTTTTGATGCGTGGGTAGTCATCACTTCCAATTTCTGAATTTTAGTCTCACAAATTACTCTAGAATATTGAGGGATACCTGTCTATATAGATGTTACAATTTTAATTTTCTGAGTAATGACAAAACTTAATTGTACATGATATCAGCATTAAACTGTGACAGAAATTCATAAAGTGAGTGAATAAATTTTAACATTTTGTTTGAAAAAATCTGGCAACATATTTTGTATGAACTATGGCAACATTTGCGTTGTTTGTAAAGACATTTGTATTATATGATGCACAATGAATGTTGGTGCATTTTTTAACATTACATGATACAGTTGAGTAGACACAAATGACAATGTAATTTTGTATGTTCCCCAGTTGTATACGAATCAGGGGACAAAAAAATTGTGTCTGTTGATACAGGTTTACTTACATGTGTTTGTTTCCATTCTTCTATTCACCCATTTATTTTAAAAATAAAGTGTGCAATAGATTTTTCTGTTTTATTTATATATGCCTACATTGTATGTTTCTATTAAAAGATTATTATGACAGAAACACAAATCTCAATGTGGTACATGTACAACTCAACCATCCTGCAGGTGCATATACCATTGTTTCCATGGAAAACTGGCTAAACAACTGAAGGTCCCAGAAAATGTTTAGTGGGTCACAAAATCTAAAAAGATACAAGCATATAATCTCCCAAGCAAATTTATATTTAAACCCTATATACACAATGAATATATACAGACACATATAAATGTGTATATGTATGTATATATATATATATATATATATATATATATATATATATATATATATATATATATATATATGTGTGTGTATATGTATGTATTATATATATATGTGTGTATATATATAATATATGAAAATTATATATATATATATATATATATATATATATATATATATATATATATATATATATATATATATATATATATACAAATATATATGATGTAACAATCAGTGATAATAAAAAAAATGTATAAAACTGAAATAAAAATCAACAAGATATTAATTAGAACAATTTTAATGAAATTTTAATAAAGTAATAACTTCCAATAAACAAATGTGATCCACTTAGCAAGCACAAAATATCGGGTGCCTGATGAAGTAAATTTACCAATGATGCAAGGTAACAAATAGATGCCAAGCAAGAGAAAACAGCTCATATTTCTAGAGTAACACATTTTACCCAAGCAAGTTCACAGCTATAGTGCTGGCACCTTTGCCGGCGCTGCTTCTGAACGGATCGTCCATAGATGACGCCACTCAGACTTGTGACGTGTGGGAGGGGGTATGAAAGCTGATTTTTTAAAAATATATTTTTAAGAAAAACATGGAAATTTTCGTTAGAGCAAGGTTGGGGGGGGGGGGGGGGAAAGATAAAGAGACTTATTAATATTATGTCATTTTAGAGGGGTGGGAGGTCTGGTGTTTTGTGAAGATGTGAGAGACTCTGCTAAAATTGCGTGACATTAGTCTATTTATGGAAACGTCCTAACCTACTAAAACTTTGACCAAATAATACTAGTAGGACAGCTTAGCCTATGTGATAGCCTACATCTGCTTCAAATGTCGTGGGATTATACCCTACTTAATATATATATATATATATATATATATATATATATATATATATATATATATATATATATATATCAGGGGCGTAGCGAGAGGGGGGGGCGGGGGGGTTGTGCGGACCGCACCGGGTGACACCATTTAGGGGGGGTGACACCAAGGCAAAAAATAGCAAAATATATAGAGAAAAACTTGAGGGGGGGGGGTGCAAATCGAAAGTTTGAGGGGGGGGGGTGCAAATCGAAAACTTGAAAGTTAGGGTCGCAACGCCTCTGGGGGGGGGGGGGTGACACCATTAAGTGCCGCACCGGGTGACACCCGACCTCGCTACGCCACTGATATATATATATATATATATATATATATATATATATATATATATATATATATATATATATATATATATATATATATATATATATATATATATATATATATATATATATATATATATATATATATATATATATATATATATATATAAGGGTTTTATATGGCCTACAGGTCATTTAAGACTCTATAAACCTCAGTCTCGTCAATAAACTGGCGACATGGATTCTAAACCGTTTTATAGGTCGGAAGTAAAACTGAACGTCATTTTTTTTTGTTACATTTTTTAGTCCCATTTGCCCCAACGCCATCCTCCAACTCCGCCTGAGACCAGTTTCTTTGATTTGTCGTTTCGTTGCCTCGCCCCGCCAACCAGAGAAATCAATAACACTTAGTTTTAAGTGTGCCTACAGTCACTCAGCTTGCTTAATGCATATTTTTCACTGATTGCAATTGTTACATGAGGTAATTACACTTTAATTTCATTATTTTCATCGGACCTAGATTAGTACATTCTTTCCATTACATCTATTATTTCTTACTGTTACTTTAGACTTTAGAGACGATCGGAGTATTAGAGCTGGTCAACCCTAAATCCAAACTATATTGGCCTATAAATAGACCTAGTAACGATGCACTGTTACATGACCTCAGTTCGTTTTTAAATCTCACAAGAGTTCACGAGCTAATACTACTACCAACTCTCAATACACACACACACACACACACACACGTACATACACACATACACACAAAACGACCTTCACCCCAAGCAAATATAACCGGCCTAGTTTGTTTACAGAAAACACACCGTATTCAAAAGTCGGGAACGGTGAGATCCAGTTACTAGACCAGAATCTGCATTCAGTGTAAGTAAACTGAAATATGCTGTTTTATAATTTATATTCTAGGGTTGTTGTTTGTTTTGGTTGCTGTTCAGGTCGAGGGCAGTTAGATATCTTACTTAATTCAATTGTTAATTCAAAGCTGAATGATGATAATGAACGTTTGATTCTATTTTTCCAAGAAATCGCCTTTACACAGGAAATTGAAGTTAACGTTTTGTATACTAACACTATGATGGTGCACTGACTAATGTTATAGTTTTTGACCCCAAACACAAAGGCCTAACCCTGCTGATTTAAAGTATCCTAAGCTTTATATTATTATAATAGCAATGTTAGGCTAAATGTTAGGTCTACAATTTAAGAAAAACATACTTTATAAAACTGCTTTATGTAGCTGATGATTTCTAAGCAATCTATATAGGCCTATATATATATATATATATATATATATATATATATATATATATATATATATATATATATATATATATATATATATATAAACCAAATGCAGTTTAATGTAATAACAGAGGTTTTATAAAGTACCCTTTAGATTACTTTAGAACCTTCCAGTCCATAGGGCAGGTGAGGTAGAGTTTACCTGTTTCAGTGACCTCATCATAGCCCAGTAATGGAACTAGAAACTTTTTGGGTTTGCAGTCAAACACTCTTAACATTTGACCATGCTGTCCCAGATGTTTTACGATACTTAACTATGCACAATGTCTGTTAGCTATAGTTTATTAGTTAGAATTGGAAAAATAATTAATGAATAATATTATAATCTAAGCAATATATCTCTATTATTGAGTTAAGAAAAAGTAAAGATTCATGTTTAGACCTTGCATCACACTTTATAGAGTAATTTTTTATACCCTCCCCCCCCCTCATCATTATGTCACAAAAAGTCAGACCCCCCTCCCCTTACCACCATCACATCTCAGCCTACCATCCTGCTCAAAATGACAATTTTTGTTTTTTAAAATAATGTCATCTTTTTAAAGTATTTTCTGAGCTTGGTCTAAATTTATTATATATTGATCGTTTTAAATAAAATTTACCAAACAAAAAAAAAAGCCAGAAGTTCAGTTTCTAAGATTACTTTAAAAAAATTAAAAGTATGTTATCTCACTTTCTGAACATTTTGTGCCCCTTGTCACATATGGTCGCAAAAGTATAACTCCCCCCCCCCCCCCCCCCCCCAACCACAGGACTGTGTCATTGTTTACAGATGACCCTTATAATGAATCTAGAAATGTTTATATAAATATTGGTATGAAACTGAATAAACAATTTCTATATCATAGATATATTATTTTAAGTTAATAAAGGCTGAACCTAAAATAAGGGACAAAATAACCTTCATTGTTATCTATTTTTATTTTCATAGATATGAGCCCATATTATATTATTGTGTATTTACAGTTACAGAGCCACAGTGTAAACTAAAAAAAATAAAAACAACTGAAAAATGGGAGGTATCTTTGGTAAAGCTATGGATGAAAATTTTAAGAAAAACCAAGAATTTATGTTGAAGACTCAACAGCTGCAGGTAGGACATGGACAGTTTTCTTAACTTTAGTTTGTGGAGATCAGATGCTTACTCCAATCCTTACCACTATAATGATATAATCCTATACTTTATAGTATTCTAAGACTTCTTGAGAGCATTATTAACAAATATCCATGCAGTAGAGGTAACAATTTTTCTTAACTTAGTTTTAGTAGATCTAATTCATAAGTTATTAAAAACTAATTTTGTTTCCGTCCTTCTCATACCACGGTTAAATTTAGTTTTTGTGAAGATTTTGTTTAATACTAAATTTATAAATTCAGTTTCTTACCTAGTTATGAAAGACAATTTTTGTTGAACTAAAATTGAGCAAAGCTATCTGATTTTGTTGCTTATCATTCCATCAAGCTCAAATTTAACTAATTTATTTAAGTAGTTCAGTACTGTGTTCTGTATTTTTTAGTATTTATTTTAGAATTGCTTGCTATCAGTTTTGAGTATAAAATATGTATAGATTATAAAAAAAAGTAACTTATATTTTAAAACTTTTTAAATTAGTTGGAGCGTCAGTTGGCCATGCAAAATGAAATGAGAGAGAGACAAATGGCAGTGATGATTGCTAGAGCCAGAGACATGTTCTGGTTTTATACTGCTTTTGACAGCCTTGCAACTGTTGGTTTAACTCTAGGGTAATTTTTTAATTGAAATTTTCACTTGACATCTATTTACACAGTCATGACTGGACTAGTCATAAAATATGCCTGTCTGTTACAGCTAGACTAACTTCATCACATTCAGTTATCTGTTATAACCATTTATTATTTTGATACAATACATTTTTAAATATGGAATATATTTTAAGCTAATAGACTGTCAGTGACAAAACAATTAATAATAAAGAATAAAGGCTATCAATAGGCAGACTGGCCTTAAAATTAGATTAAAGATAGACAACCAAAAGGTCAATAGATATAACTTCAATGTGTGGATTTGATTACAGCATGGCTTACATACATAACTTCAAAGTAAACATTTACCAAAGTAACAACTTTCTATAACAGCTATAAATCTATTTAGCAATTTGTTGTGTGAATGAAAAAATTTTAATTTATTAACCCAAGATTTTAAAAAGCTGCAGATCCAATAAATGAGAGTGTTTAACCATTTTGTATTGTTAATAAGAAAGTTTCTATTTCAGGGCTATGCGATCCAAGAAATATGGCCTGTTGGCTCCTTTGGTTCCTCTAAGTTTTGTCTTTGCCTATCAGTGGGATTTGGCTTATGGATCTAAGATGGACAGAATAAGAGGTACTGTTCCTAACAATCACATGACTTAGTTTTAATAACATGATTGTGAATCCAGTTGTACAAAATGTGTACTCAAAGTGCAGTAGGTTATCTCTTATGTGTACTGGTCTCATCTAAAAAGATTTCCACAAAACTTCAGAAAGACTAAATTAATGTTTAATGGAAAAATATATGGTGGGAAATCTGAGTAAACTTTAACAAATTTGTTTTGTTTTCTTCCAATACAAAGTTGTTGTTTTTTTTGTATAGTATAAATAGGTCTACTTAGGTGATAGGATTACCAACTCTGGTTTCCTTTCTGAAGCTTGTGCAACCAAAATTGCATAGGCAACCCATTATCTCTTCATCTAATCACCGGTTACATGCCCCTAGATAGTAAATCCAAAGTCTCCCAAGACAAAATGAAGTCATGTTTTTAAAAATCTGTAATGGTTGCTGATAAAATACAATTTTTGAGTTCTGCTATTGCTGGTTGAACCAGTATTTGAACTGGAAATGGCTAAAACAGCATCCATCAAATACTCAGCCAGCTTGCTCCATTCTAAAGCTTTTTGCTTTTTTCAAAGCAAGGTACTACAACTTACCCTATAATCGTAAACTTGCTTTATTTAAGCACCTTTAAATTATCTGTATCTGTGTGCTTGTTTTTAAATTTTATTTTGGTATTTATATATAATTTTTGTTTACCAATGTTGTGCTCCACTAACCAATGTGTTGTATCTCCCAGCAATGGCTGACAGAATAATTGATGAGGAGCATCAACTGCTGGACCTACCACACGGGCTGCCCACATTCTCATCCATTGAGGCCGCACGGCTGGAGCAGAAGAAGAATGTATCTTACAAGCCAGGCCATGACATTTTCTTGTAGCTTCAATACACAGCAAATAGGATTCACATATCTATGCAAGTATAGACAGTGATAGTTATACGATACCCACATAATGAGAAGCTGCCAAAACATTTGTTTTTGTATTTTTCCAAAGCTCGTTTATGTTATTTAGTTTTTGTGTACATAATTTGTAGTTGCATTAATTTTACATGATATACTTGAATTGTTGATCATTTCAATCGTGCATCATATGTATATGTCTACTTAGTGATAGAGCTCTTTGTTTAATGAGATATAGTTTTTAAATTATACAAAGAATTTACTTTATGTACCTGAAACGCAGATAGTTTATTTACAGCATGTTTCAACTTCTCTTATAAATGGCTTTCATGTATGCATACATCTTATTTTTTATGTCTTTCATGTTATGTACAGCAATACCATTTCTATTGGCTACCATGTTGCAAAATATTGTGTTCTAAATAAGAAATGGCACACCATATTGTAGGTAGAGTTATTTTTATAAATTTCTTGTTGTAAAACTATCTAAAACACAATGATCTCATTATCTATTGAAAAATTGTACCAAGTTAATGGAGAAAAAGATGATTAAATTGTGTTAATTTAATTTTGACCAACTTGTAAACACTTGCACAAATGGTTTTCAGAGATAATTTACAGCATTATTAGCTTATTTTAATTATAGGGACAAGCTTTATTTTACAAATTATAACTACTTGTGACTGACTTTAGTTTGTTGTGTATGTGTAAGACATAATCAAGATTTATAAAATTATACTTTTCCTGCTTGTTTATATATAATTATTATGTTGACATAAATAAAAGAATTAATATTCCTATATAATCAGTGCTTTATATTTTGAAATTTTCTTATGAATATCTGCATCAAATCGTACTGCTTTGGCCAACTTCTCTGCATATATTGTCATGAGTATTGCTGGCAAAAGTGATTTTATTAATCATGAATGAAGGTGAATGGATTAGTGACAGTTTTGAGCATGTAATTTGTTTTCAAGCGGATTTTAGTTGAATTTTAGTTTTTAAGAACTAGTTTATACTATAAACAAATGTCAGCATCATTTGGCAACATGGACCAAAAACAAAAAAAAACAATTCTAAATAGCAACTTGTTCCATACTTTCTATTCATGTCATGATAACATCTACATTTTACAGCTAAATCCTTACACTCTTGAAAAAAATAATTTTGAAAGACAGCTACAATGTAGACAATATGTAATACAAATTAATGGCATTATGATAAATAACAGTTACACAAACAAAACCTTAAACAGTTGAATTGTACAAGAATTAAAATATGTCCGCAGTATTTCTGTTTGCAAATTAAATCTAACACATGTCAATGCAATCACATAATTCAGTTGTTTATGTAAACAGCTGTGTATATACATTACAAAACCCCTCATCTGGGACTTACTAATAGTTTCACAACATAAACTTTATTCTTTTATAATTTACAAATGAAAACATTCAGAAGATTGTACCTCATATTAAAAATGAATAATTTGATTCCAGAATTAAAATAAATGCATTACTTGATAGCTATGAGATTGTCTTGTAATGAATTAATTTTAAAAACTTCCAAGAAAAATTTGATTTTGTAAAAAAATGAAGAGACTTTGACAAACATCTTTAAGAGAATGATAAAAGATTGGAAATTTAAAAAAGAAATTAAAACTACTATACCAAGTAATCTTTGGCTTCAGCATGAATGTGAAGTGGAACATTATATGTAACAATAATGCAGTGTGATTACTAATATCAATTTACACTTCCTTAAAGTCTAAAACTAAAAAATGAAAATATCCTATGCTGTTAAGAGTTCAATTTGTAAAGTTTCCTTTCAGACCTGGTGGTCAATAGGGCAGATGAAGCAGAGTTCACCTGTTTCTTTGACCTCAGGGACACACTAAAGAGTTTGGGATTTACAATCATGTGCACTGCAGTTCGACACAGTTCAAAAGAGGCAAAGAAAAGTTGACAGACTAACAGAAGAAGTTATAACACAAAATAGCAGCCATTGCAAATTAAAAGCTCAGAGCAACAATGATTTTAAAAAAAACGTAATAAGAAGTTTCTTATTTCAAAACAAAAAAAGAAATGGAATTTTTTTTCACGTTTTTACAGCAAAATAACAAAGTTAACTTGGTTAATTTATTCTTTTGTGTTCACAGTTAGATAGATGCCAAAATATCAACAGATTTTCAATGTATGTACTTATAAAATTGTTTAAATACTCACATTATTGCATCTTAGTTGGTTCTTAGGATGACAATCAACAAACAAACAAAAATCAAATATGTGAAAATTATGCTGCAGTAAAACTGGTTATTATTCACAAAATTCAACAATATTACTTTCATCGATTGCTTGCTAAACTTAAACACTAATCATTTAACAAAGTGTTCATTGCTTAAAAAGTTAAATGCAAAGTGTCTGATCAAATTGCTACATGAAATTATTTGCACCTGTGTAAATAAATCATACCCACCAGTCATTTGGACTGACAGGTCCAAAAAATTACTTTATAATTGGTAACCTTTTAACTATATTTAGCAAGTTATCATGTGACTTTCTCAATGCATGCAACTATGACAATTATTAAGTTTGAACTTGACCTACGACCTAATTATATCTATCAAGAGGTTAAGTGTCATAATTAATTCAAATAAAATCTTTATGTACTTGTATCAATCACTTTCATCTAGTTAGTAGAAGGTCATTCTAGAATTAAACAGTAAATTACAGCACCAATCTTGCCAAACATTAACATTACAAACTCAAACAATCTACTGAAATAGTACGGCACCAAGCTTGCCAACAATAACACAACAAATTCTAACTATCAGTCCAATACATTTACTTTATTGTGTACACATTGTTTTCAATACAAGAGTATTTTTGATTTATTGTTTTTGAACATGAACAGAAATTCATTCTTAAGTATAGCCAGTAGTGAGCATACCAGTATCACATTTCAACATATGAAAAACAATGTGCTCAAACAGTTAACAACACATTGTTCTTCTCTCATTTTAACATTAACATTTTCTTTTATTCTCTTTACACAGTTTCACCTTATTTTATTTATTGTAACAAATTCCCCAGTTTGTACAACACACTAATACTAAGCTATTTCAGAGTAAGTATTTCTCTCAATTATCCTCAACCGTATATATAAACATTCAGAAAGTGGAGTCATTTTCTAAGAAAATTTCAGAAATAAGGGCAGACAGTACTGATTAGATTTTGACAGAGTGGTCTAGACCAGGGGTCTCCAAACTTTTCAGTCCGAGGGTCGCATTAACTATCAAATTTCAGTTCCGGGGCCAGTTTCTTCCAGGCATGTCTTTGATTTTTCTGGGCAAAGTTCCTCAGCCAGCACCAACAAACGTTTTTCCGTGGACAAAAAAATCTCAGCGGGCCGGATGAGAGCACCTCGCGGGCCGCATCCGGCCTGCGGGCCGTAGTTTGGAGACCCCTGGTCTAGACTACTGGCCAGACAAAATAGCAGACACAAATTTACAGACTGACCAAAGACAAGATGGACAGAAAGAATCTACAAAATTCTGAATGAGGAAACTGTAGATGCAAGCCAATGTCTGTTCCCTTCTCATGAAAACAGCTCATCACATGAGTCACTGAGAATGTTAAACCAAATATATTCTGTGTGATGGGTACAGATTACATGCTCTCAATACAACATTTAAATGGTTTGTTCACTTTCAAAAGGATCTGTCTATTAACCTATTTACACAAAAAGAATTTTTTTTAAAAACTATTTACCAAAATAAAAAAAAAATAAATACATAGTTTAAATCTTTCAGCCCTTACCCTAACGACCAATACAACTTGAAATGAGTGTATTAAAAAAAACTGTATTTAAACATTGCTTTAAAGAAAAAGAAAATGATTGATGAATCTACTTTAAAACCAGAAAAAGACAATAAAATTGAGTGGCTCCAAGGGGGGGGGGGGGGGGGGGGAATGTTGGGGAAAATCCTTTTGGAGAATAAAGAATAAATAAAAAGAATAAGAACTGTATCTTAAATAATATCAAACCAACAGTTGCATTTTTTTAAAAAATCATTGATTATATCTTAATACTTTTTAATCAACATTATTGATATGTTTCTTTTCCCTCATCATGGCTTAGTGTGAACATGGTGAAAAATCTCACTACAGCAGTTAAAAACATTTCTTACCATAGACATAACAGATAATTTTTAGAAACTGAAGTTTACTTGATGAAAAGGATATGCTTTTATATTTAAAGAAATCTTTAACAATATTCTTGCAGTGTTTCATAATATTATATAGTTAACATAACTACATTTTATGAAAACAAAACATTCAGATTTATGGGGACTAGGTATGTGGGACAGTCAGTTTTTATAACAAATGGAAACAGTAGGTCTATGTCAATGATCAGCTGGAAAGGGAACTCATTCTGAATTAAGTAAACAATTGTTGCATTAATGTGAAAATAAAACTGTTGCCAGCTTGAAGATGTAGACATAGCACAATTTTGGTCAGTAAACGAAAATCATGTAAACATAAATAAGCATTGTTCTTGTTTTGACGTCACTAGAAAAATACATTTCATCAGAACAATAGAATTGACTACTAGTAACAGAACCAAGACAAAGACTGTAATGAAACAACAGACTGTAGAGATCAACATGAAGTAGCCTGCTTAAACAAAGAATAGTATCTATTGAAATGCAGATGTTAGAAATAGGATCACCTAAAAAAACATTTGCCAGTTAAAAAATTATATTTTTCCCCTCACATGTTATCTTCCTTTCACATTTCCCTAGCAACAGATGCATGAACTTCGTTGTCATGATAAACATGGGTGTCTTGTCAATTATTTTATTGATTCAACCTCTTCATTTCACAAAAATAATAAACTAATATTGTTGTCATTCTGCTAAATTGCAAATATTTATATTTTTTTTTTTTAAATTCATCACTAAAATTTCTCTACAAAGTTTATCTAAAAGTTTTTAAAACCCGGCCCTCGTGATTTCCGTATTTTCAGAATTATAAAAAAATAACCCAGCTAGATCATCTTTCAAGACAGTATGAATAAATAAAGGATTTTATTTGTACAATTGCAACAACACATATCTTGGTAATAGCAAAGTGTATATGAACCGGATTGTAAATATGTCATCAATGAAAACCCATAACTCACGCAGAACATAACAGAGAGAAAAATGTTGATTTTTATGTTGTATGAAGTAGCAGTGGTGGCCTGTATGAAAACTGTTGACTGGAATAGATAAGAGTTCCCTGCCCTTACTAGTAATATAAATAAAAATAATCCATGTCCAGGGGTTAGTCAAGACAAAAGTCAAAGAATAAAATAATTACATTAAATATTTCTGTACAGTTAAAAATACAATATTTACAAAAATAAAATTGATAAAAATGGAATACATGAACAAAGTTAACTTAAGTGTTGAAGATTTGAGAACTATCAAGAAATAGCGCAGTCACTACGTTTGTAATGTGCGGAGCCTTCCTGCTGGTTAACTAAAGCATCAACTTCTGGCCTGATGGCCTGAACACAGGGAGACAAGTTGCCCTCCTCTACAGAAGGCGTGTCATTGGAAGAACTTGAGACATCCAGGCTGAGGCTCGGCGTTGTTGGGACCTCCAGCAGCTTGCCAAGTCTCTGAGCCTCGCCACGGATCTGGTGGAAGAATGACTTGTAGCCCAGGCTGTGGAAGGTGGGACATTTGTTAAAGAGGACATTTATTACACACATTTTGAGCTTTGTTCTAGATGTTAGAAGGTTAATTAAAGAGGACATTTATTACACACATTTTGGGCTTTGTTCTAGATGTTAGAAGGTTAATTAAAGAGGACATTTATTACACACATTTTGGGCTTTGTTCTAGATGTTAGAAGGTTAATTAAAGAGGACATTTATTACACACATTTTGGGCTTTGTTCTAGATGTTAGAAGGTTAATTAAAGAGGACATTTATTACACACATTTTGGGCTTTGTTCTAGATGTTAGAAGGTTAATTAAAGAGGACATTTATTACACATTTTGGGCTTTGTTCTAGATGTTAGAAGGTTAATTAAAGAGGACATTTATTACACATTTTGGGCTTTGTTCTAGATGTTAGAAGGTTAATTAATGAGGACATTTATTACACATTTTGGGCTTTGTTCTAGATGTTAGAAGGTTAATTAATGAGGACATTTATTACACATTTTTGGCTTTGTTCTAGATGTTAGAAGGTTAATTAAATAGGACATTTATTACACACATTTTGGGCTTCATTCTAGATGTTAGAAGGTTAATTAAATAGGACATTTATTACACACATTTTGAGCTTTGTTCTAGATGTTAGAAGGTTAATTAAAGAGGATATTTATTACACACATTTTGGGCTTTGTTCTAGATGTTAGAAGGTTAATTAAAGAGGACATTTATTACACACATTTTGGGCTTTGTTCTAGATGTTAGAAGGTTAATTAAAGAGGACATTTATTACACATTTTGGGCTTTGTTCTAGATGTTAGAAGGTTAATTAAAGAGGACATTTATTACACATTTTGGGCTTTGTTCTAGATGTTAGAAGGTTAATTAATGAGGACATTTATTACACATTTTGGGCTTTGTTCTAGATGTTAGAAGGTTAATTAATGAGGACATTTATTACACATTTTTGGCTTTGTTCTAGATGTTAGAAGGTTAATTAAATAGGACATTTATTACACACATTTTGGGCTTCATTCTAGATGTTAGAAGGTTAATTAAATAGGACATTTATTACACACATTTTGGGCTTCATTCTAGATGTTAGAAGGTTAATTAAATAGGACATTTATTACACACATTTTGAGCTTTGTTCTAGATGTTAGAAGGTTAATTAAAGAGGACATTTATTACACACATTTTGGGCTTTGTTCTAGATGTTAGAAGGTTATTTAAATAGGATATTTATTACACACATTTTGGGCTTTGTTCTAGATGTTAGAAGGTTAATTAAAGAGGATATTTATTACACACATTTTGGGCTTTGTTCTAGATGTTAGAAGGTTAATTAAAGAGGATATTTATTACACACATTTTGGGCTTTGTTCTAGATGTTAGAAGGTTAATTAAAGAGGATATTTATTACACACATTTTGAGCTTTGTTCTAGATGTTAGAAGGTTAATTAAAGAGGACATTTATTACAAACATTTTGGGCTTCATTCTAGATGTTAGAAGGTTAATTAAATAGGACATTTATTACACACATTTTGGGCTTTGTTCTAGATGTTAGAAGGTTATTTAAATAGGATATTTATTACACACATTTTGAGCTTTGTTCTAGATGTTAGAAGGTTAATTAAAGAGGATATTTATTACACACATTTTGAGCTTTGTTCTAGATGTTAGAAGGTTAATTAAAGAGGATATTTATTACACACATTTTGGGCTTTGTTCTAGATGTTAGAAGGTTAATTAAAGAGGACATTTATTACACACATTTTGGGCTTTGTTCTAGATGTTAGAAGGTTAATTAAAGAGGACATTTATTACACATTTTGGGCTTTGTTCTAGATGTTAGAAGGTTAATTAAAGAGGACATTTATTACACATTTTGGGCTTTGTTCTAGATGTTAGAAGGTTAATTAATGAGGACATTTATTACACATTTTGGGCTTTGTTCTAGATGTTAGAAGGTTAATTAATGAGGACATTTATTACACATTTTTGGCTTTGTTCTAGATGTTAGAAGGTTAATTAAATAGGACATTTATTACACACATTTTGGGCTTCATTCTAGATGTTAGAAGGTTAATTAAATAGGACATTTATTACACACATTTTGAGCTTTGTTCTAGATGTTAGAAGGTTAATTAAAGAGGACATTTATTACACACATTTTGGGCTTTGTTCTAGATGTTAGAAGGTTAATTAAAGAGGACATTTATTACACACATTTTGGGCTTTGTTCTAGATGTTAGAAGGTTAATTAAAGAGGACATTTATTACACACATTTTGGGCTTTGTTCTAGATGTTAGAAGGTTAATTAAAGAGGACATTTATTACACATTTTGGGCTTTGTTCTAGATGTTAGAAGGTTAATTAAAGAGGACATTTATTACACATTTTGGGCTTTGTTCTAGATGTTAGAAGGTTAATTAATGAGGACATTTATTACACATTTTGGGCTTTGTTCTAGATGTTAGAAGGTTAATTAATGAGGACATTTATTACACATTTTTGGCTTTGTTCTAGATGTTAGAAGGTTAATTAAATAGGACATTTATTACACACATTTTGGGCTTCATTCTAGATGTTAGAAGGTTAATTAAATAGGACATTTATTACACACATTTTGAGCTTTGTTCTAGATGTTAGAAGGTTAATTAAAGAGGACATTTATTACACACATTTTGGGCTTTGTTCTAGATGTTAGAAGGTTATTTAAATAGGATATTTATTACACACATTTTGGGCTTTGTTCTAGATGTTAGAAGGTTAATTAAAGAGGATATTTATTACACACATTTTGGGCTTTGTTCTAGATGTTAGAAGGTTAATTAAAGAGGATATTTATTACACACATTTTGGGCTTTGTTCTAGATGTTAGAAGGTTAATTAAAGAGGATATTTATTACACACATTTTGAGCTTTGTTCTAGATGTTAGAAGGTTAATTAAAGAGGACATTTATTACAAACATTTTGGGCTTCATTCTAGATGTTAGAAGGTTAATTAAATAGGACATTTATTACACACATTTTGGGCTTTGTTCTAGATGTTAGAAGGTTATTTAAATAGGATATTTATTACACACATTTTGAGCTTTGTTCTAGATGTTAGAAGGTTAATTAAAGAGGATATTTATTACACACATTTTGAGCTTTGTTCTAGATGTTAGAAGGTTAATTAAAGAGGATATTTATTACACACATTTTGAGCTTTGTTCTAGATGTTAGAAGGTTAATTAAATAGGATATTTATTACACACATTTTGGGCTTTGTTCTAGATGTTAGAAGGTTAATTAAAGAGGATATTTATTACACATTTTTGGCTTTGTTCTAGATGTTAGAAGGTTATTTAAATAGGATATTTATTACACACATTTTGAGCTTTGTTCTAGATGTTAGAAGGTTAATTAAAGAGGACATTTATTACACACATTTTGGGCTTCATTCTAGATGTTAGAAGGTTAATTGAAGAGGATATTTATTTTTATTGCACACATTTTGTTCTTGATGTTAGAGGGTTAATTGAAGATGACATTTTCAATACAAAGTTCTAGTAGTTAGGTTTGTTAAAGTTGACACTTAAACACAGACCTGAGTAAAAGTCAATAAATATTTTTTTTATAGCTTTAAATAAGTAAACTTAAGGATAGATTCAGCAACCCCATTTGATTTTAAAATTTTAACATTAGGCTAAGTTAAAATAATGGTGTAGTTATTAACTACACCCATTATGTAGTAAATGTATATGAAATAGCTAATCATGAGAGAACAGAAAGATTATTTGTTTCAAAAAGCTCAACATTTGTATCTTGTAAGGTATAGTGTTATGGTGATACTGTCCAAAGAGAAATGGACCTAAACAAAGTACAACTGGGTTTAAACAACGCACCATTCAGTGTCAGCCCAGAGCTCCAGATAGCTGAGCCCTTCTCTCATCCTGGCCACCATGTCTAAAGGTGTTTCTGTACAGCTGGCTGTGGTCACCACCCGACTGACTGCCATGCTGTCACGCAGCACAATGGCCAAGATTAGTGCCCACTCCAAGCAACCAGCCTCCAGCATGATGTGTAGAAGGTACCTGGAATGTCAACAATGTACATTTTTCTTAGATAACAATAACCACTAATTATTTTATTAAGTACGTATTGTGATTAAAAGTACTGCATCTTCCAGGGTTAATAAGACAACTTTTTAAACCAGGAAAATCTCAAAAGTCATAGTATAGGTATTCTTATACAGTCTGTCATTAATATATGATAAATATATTCCAAACTTAATCTTTAAAAAGGAAAAGTGTGGGTAGGTAGTGCTGATGTGCTGGATAATGTGGTGATATTGAACTGAGAAATAAAAGTTACTGAATGACTTACTCCAGCTCCAGATGAGCTTGCTCAGGGCCTCGACTAGATGCAACCTCCTGGGAAATACCCTCCAAGTCAATGTTGAGCTGGACATCGTTAGCAAGGATGGAGTCATTCACCACCTCATAATCACCAAGAAGTGAACTTGAGTCGGAGATTTCTATTGTAGCCAAACTGCTCTCGTCAGCTAGACAAAACAAAAGTTTACTTTGAGATGGCATTTACAAAAGATAGCAGATTGACATGTGTATAGAATCTAAAGAGTGAGTAACACTGAGTAACAGTGAGTAGGAAATAAATAACAAAAATATTCTTAGAGAGAGACCACAGATTGTGTTGTTAGAGATTATGTTTTCACAGAGTATAATACAGCTCATGTCTAAGTTTTGAGTTGAAGATTTTCTTTTAAGAGACTTGCAACTTTGTGTTAGAGATTATCATTTGTGAGAAGTAGCTGTATCATTGTGTTAGAGATTATCTTTTGTCAATAGTAGCTGTATCATTGTGTTAGAGATTATCTATTCCCACTCACTTCTCAAGTTCTGTGGTTTGAGGATGATCTCATCAGACACAACCTGCGCCACAGATTGCTCTGTCAGCTGGGGCCCAAGTGTAGGACTCATCATGCTGCTGGTCAGTGTATGACTGGTCATTGGCTCACTCTCAACAGATGGACTCAGGAAATCATCGTCCAACACAGATGATGACAAGGATGAGGAGGATGCTGAAATTTTTAAAATACACACACAGGAGTTATTATTTTAAAATTTTTGCTATACAATTATTCCTTTAAGAAATAAATATATGTAAAAATGTTCTTAGAGTTTCTTAAATTACATTAAAAATGTCTGTAATAGATTTTAATCAAACAAAAACAGAAGTACACATGACAAGGAGGAAGTAACTGTAAACTGCAACAAGAAAGAAAGCAAGAGAACTTGTTCAACAGAGAACTTACCAGCCAGGGATTTTTTCAGTTGCTGTAAAGCTTGAGCAGATAAAACTGGCATTGGCCACTCAAACTGTGTGTGGATTTCTCTTAAAGCAGAGACAAAGTCCTCCATCTTTCCTGCTCTCACTCTGTCAGAGTAAGATGGAAACATTCACACACTGAACTATTCAAACACAGAACAATTCACACATGGAACTTTTCACATATGGAACAACTCACACATGGAATACATTGGTACAACATTACAATCACACCTTCTCATAAATCAACACCAACACTGAAACCACACCTGAATCAACACCAAACCACACCTGAATCAACACCAAACCACACCTAAATCAACACCAACACTAAAACCACACCTGAATCAAGCCCAACCTCACACAGCAACTTTTACCTCTCTCTCTTGAGCCAAGCCACAAACTGGAAATCCTCCATGTTGGCAGAGAAATAGCCCAGTGTCCTGATGTTGTTGGAGGCTAGTAGTTTCCTGGCATGCCGACACAAGATCATATCAATGTACACTTGTTCAGCTGTGGGCTCTGTCTGCTTTTGTTTAGCAGTAGGCCTGCAAATAAAAACTAGATTAATTCACTAGAAATTAACTTAAGCCAATTTCACCAGCCTTCTGTCACTTTAGATGAATCAATAGCAAACTTCAGCAAACCTTGGAAATTTAATATAACAAAATGTAAAAAGTAATGTTTAATTTGTGAAATAATAATGTTAAATCATAAAAAAAAGCATAGAATGTATTATTTTTCAAATTTCTTGACTATTTAAAATTATTATTCTGTCAAAATGCACACCTTCCCAACTTGGAGTTTTCATTTCAAAATTCTCTCTCTTTCTTATTTTCCCAACTAGCTCATCAATAAAGTTAGGATAAGGTTCTATTGAAACTAGGTAAATGAGTATAACGGCAAGCACCCACCTTTTCCCTGCACTGATCAGTGAGTCAGACACTGTGTGCTTAGCTTTCTCTTTCTGTACCAGCTTGACCTCTCTGGGCTCCACTATACTGGACGTTCTCATCCGCCCCACGTTGCTGACATTGCTGTAGCTGTAGCCAGCATGGCTGGACGGGGACATGGGGGGGCTGGTGGGAAATGCCGAGTGGGTGGCAGTGCCGGAGAGGCGAGAGTTTGTCATGGATTCAACTGGCTCTGTTGAGTCTAAGGAGGGGACAGAAGTGGTCAATGTACAAACATGTCAGTGATTTAGTGCTAGAAGGGACACAAATCTTTAACATTAAACTCTTACCAAAAGCAGAAAATCTATAATATAAACCTAAAATCTTATATAAGGGTAAAAATCATGATTGTAAAAAGAACATATACCTTAAACTCTTGTATTAAGACTGAATCCTTACCTATGGCTTTGAGAAATCTCACCAAATCCCTGCACAGCTCCCAATAGCCTTTATCCAGAGCTGAATCTAATAAGATTGTTGCATGCTGGGAATACAGAACAGTTCCAAAAATAAATCATCATCAAACTACCATCATGTAATGGTAGAATTAGAGGGTTGAATACATGCAACACAACATAAACAAACCTGTCTACTGACTATAGGCTGAACACATCCCACACAATTGTAAACAAAACAAACCTGTCTACTGACTATAGGCTTCTCTAGATTCTGTAGGATGATTAAATATGTAGCTGCTGTCTCTAGGTTCCCCAGCATAAGGCATTCCTGTAGAGAAACAAAGAGCAGGTTAGAGACATAGTGTCACACAGTTACAGATCTGTGTATAAGCAAATGGATATTTGACTTTCTAGTTTCTGTAAGCCTCAAGGTCTCAACAACTCAAGTTTATGCCTGTTAGCAATAAATATAAAAGATACACATTTTTTTGTTAGAATTGTATTTCTAAAGGAAACCTATTAAAAAATTGAACAAGTACAGACATCCCACACAAAACAAACCTCAAATAAATCCTTAGGGTTGCCAACTGTAGAGAAGAGATAGGGCCAAAGAGCAACCTCTGTTTTCCTAGCACAGTGTACTATAGTCTGTAGGAACTCTGGGAATTCTTGGATAAATGCTACCACTCGTGGAAGTAATGGATCTGGAAAGAACAAAACTTATCTAAGCAATGTTTTCACATAGTTGTAAGTAGTTTAGCTAAAGAGAAATCTTTTAAGAACTCAACTAATAGATGGACCGTGTGATGAATACTGTGTTTAGGAAAAGATTTTTTACCTGGAATTGGTTCTTTGGATGTAGCCTCAGCCTCCAACACTTCGTGTAACAGAAGCTCCAGCACATGAGGAAAATAGGTTAGCTCTTTACAGCTCCGAGCTAGGTCAAGGGCATTTACACCCAGGCTTAAAGCAAACAAAACAAATTTAATGTTTCAATACAATTAAATGCAAATTCTATCCAATACCATGACTTAATGAAAAGAAGTAGAAAGTTTATACATCGAAATGCTAATTTGATCCAATTTCACAAAAGTAACAGTGAAAAGTAAGATTTATTTTGTACATGTAATAAGAGAATAGAAATCAAATATAATTTGTAAAATCTAATAGAGTGAAATATTAATCTATCCATTTAAATCAAATGAGTTTGATTGTGTGAGCTGAGAAAAGTTAGCACCTACTTTCTCCTGAGAAGTTGTCTAAGTATATGATGAAGGTAGATTTGACTCTGCAACAACAAATGTATTTGACCATAATTAATTTATAAAGCTACTCTACTGTTCATTGATTCTGATAACTTACATTCCATATTATACTAACACTATACGACAAGGTGTAAAAATAAAATCACTTACAGTTCGTTCTAATGTACAAAATGGCATTTCAGAATAATTTTTTACAGATGATGAAAGGGTATATGAGACGACATCACAGGCAGCACCCAGTATAACAGCATCTTCAAACAAAACAGCTGCAACAGAAGCAACCAGTACATTGTTTAGTTGAGTTGAATGTAGAGGGGGGGGGGGGGGGGAATATTTATAGAACTAATGATGTGTAGTAAAATAAAACAACAAACCTAAGGGATAAATATCAACTCTAAAAGGTAGCATGATTCTCCTAGACATGAAGTTGTGTGCCTTCCCTTCATCTCTAGGAAACAGTGGCAGCCACACCTGACAGGGAATATAAATGATTAGCTCATGGCAAGCTGTTTACAACAATCAATAAATTAAGTGCATTTGTGAGTGGAGGTTGGTAGGATGTGTAAAGTTTGCTTATTTTTTATAAACACTAAGTAAATACAGTATCATTAAAAACACATTTCCTAAATAATATCTCCACAAATCAGTACTGAATGAAACATTGGTTGTATTTTCTGATTGAAAAGTGCCAGCAAGATAAAACTCTATTTGAACATATGAGATGAGTAGCTTACTTTTATGCCATGAGAACCACAGCCAAGCCACATAAAACTATTTGAACATATGAGATGAGTAGCTTACTTTCATGCCATGAGAACCACAGCCAAGCCACATTGCCTCCATGAGTTGGATTTTACCCACATTGGCCCTTGTTGTTGTCCAAAGGTTTTCTACAGAGGTAGCTACAACAGTGGGGTTACAGAAGGGCACCTGGGGATGGAGGCATTCAGGTCAACTCAACATACAGGTATTTAAGTCAACTCAACATACAGGTATTCAGGTTAACTCATCATGCAGGTATTCAGGTCAACTCAACATACAGGTATTCAGGTCAACTCAACATACAGGTATTCAGGTCAACTCAACATACAGGTATTCAGGTCAACTCAACATACAGGTATTCAGGTCAACTCAACATCAACATACAGGTATTCAGGTCAACTCAACATACAGGTATTCAGGTCAACTCAACATACAGGTATTCAGGTCAACTCAACATCAACATACAGGTATTCAGGTCAACTCAACATACAGGTATTCAGGTCAACTCAACATACAGGTATTCAGGTCAGCTCAACATACAGGTATTCAGGTCAACTCAACATACAGGTATTCAGGTCAACTAGCATACAGATATTCAAGTCAACTAACATACAGGTATTCAAGTTAACTAACATACAGATATTCATGTCAACTAACATACAGGTATTCAGGTCAACTCAACATACAGGTATTCAGGTCAACTCAACATACAGGTATTCAGGTCAACTCAACATACAGGTATTTAGGTCAACTCAACATCAACATACAGGTATTCAGGTCAACTCAACATACAGGTATTCAGGTCAACTCAACATACAGGTATTCAGGTCAACTCAACATACAGGTATTCAGGTCAGCTCAACATACAGGTATTCAGGTCAACTCAACATACAGGTATTCAGGTCAACTCAACATACAGGTATTCAGGTCAACTCAACATACAGGTAGTCAAGTCAACTAGCATACAGATATTCAAGTCAACTAACATACAGGTATTCAAGTTAACTAACATACAGATATTCATGTCAACTAACATACAGGTATTCAAGTCAACTAACATACAGATATTCATGTCAACTAACATACAGGTATTCAAGTCAACTAACATACAGATATTAAGTCAACTAAGCCTACTTATTCAAGTCAACTAAGCACATTGCCTCCGTTCTGGAGATATTTGAAATGTCACAGACTTACAGGCCTGTGTTTGTTCTTTTCATCTTTGATCTGTGGGCCTGTCCTGTCCCTCTGAAACATCAGCAGCTTCCCAGACACATTCACTAGCATAGACTCCGCCTCCTTGGCTGATGGGTGGAGCTTGGCATTAACTGTGACTTGAAAAAACAATCCAATCTAATTCTCTAATAACACACATAAAATACAGCTGCATTGACAAGTATGTTTTATTAAAATTCCTATCTTAGCTAATTAGCTGTAAAAAATAATGCCAATGTTTTATTAAAATTCCTATCATAGTTAATTAGCTGTAAAAATAATGTCAATGTTTTATTAAAATTCCTCTCATAGTAAATTAGCTGTAAAAAATAATGCCAATGTTTTATTAAAATTCCTATCATAATTAATTAGCTGTAAAAATAATGCCAATCTACTCACCTGAGTCAGACATGAGTGAGGTCAAGGTTAAGCCAGTGACACACAATGGATGAGGTATAAAGCTGGTCAGTGAGATCTCCTGCACCATGCTGATCAGCACAGAAGGATCTAGAAATAGAAGTTTTAAACTGCTGGAATGTACATATCAGTTTAACAACAAAACTATATTTCAACTGTAGCATGACATATGACTCATCTGTATTTTTAAAACCTCATCAGGGAAATAGAAATTTGAATTTAAAATCATTCCAGAGTTATACAAATCCCAAGCTGCATTAAACAAGCCATTGATTTAGTGGGGAAGTAAAAAACAATCTCAGTTTAAGTGCCCAGGTTGGAGTGGAATTTACATAGATATAAAACTAATGGGAGGCCAAATAAGACAGAAATCTTTTGAGAGGAATGGGAAGGCTGGATAGTCAAGGCTGAAATGAAAACAAAAAAGTCACCAATCAAATTTCATGGTGAAGTGTCATCTTATGCTTCCTAGGGAAGTATCTATATATATATATCTAACATAGCAATAAAGGACTGTAAGTTAACCTTGAACTCACTTTGTTGTGTATTTTTCCTCTCCAGACTGAACATGACAACATGGCTGTCAGCACAAAACACAATAAGCAGGTCACGGAATGTGTTGAGGAGGAGCACCTGAGACCGCAGCCTGAACACCTGGGCAAACGTGTTGTCCAGCTTACACGCACGAGGGTAGCAGCGAATCTGAGAGTCATTTTAAACTGGATCAATATATTTATTAGCAATGTTTTTTAAATATCATATAGCACTTAGTATCATTTTAATACCTGCATGTTTACAGAAAAATAATGTACAAGCACCCTTACAGACAATGGTCAAAAAGGAGGAGATTATCTAACTTCCCTGGTTGAAATCAGAAACTCATTAGATAGGTGGACTCAGGATATGTTAAGTATCTGTTTGTACCATAGTCTCAAAATCAGGCACCAAACTCATGTTTGTGTTCTGTGCTACTGTGCACCCTACCACCTGATCATGCCACCCCATAACACCTAAATTAATAAACACTAACAAAAAAAAGTTCCTGCCCTTGATTTAGCTCTGAATCTGACCAGACATGTTGTACAACAAACCTCGTCTCTCTGGCCTTGGATATTGAAGCACGCCAGACAGATGAAATCCTTCCACCAAGTGATGCCACCTGACACGACCATGTCCCTTTCCTGAGTCTCATTCCCAAACAGCTTCCACTTCCTGTTGAACAGGGCGTAGTGGGCAAACCCAGTCTTCCCCGCCACAGCCACACACTGGCCTGCCTTATCTACTGATGCATACTGCAGAGGTAACACAATAGTCATTCATACTTTATCTACTGATGCATACTGCAGAGGTAACACAATAGTCATTCATATTTGATCTACTGATGCATACTGCAGAGGTAACACAATAGTCATTCATACTTTATCTACTGATGCATACTGCAGAGGTAACACAATAGTCATTCATACTTTAGTGGATAACTATTTTTTTATAATGAATACTTTAAAAGATATGGAAATGATGATAAAAAAAATAATTTTTAGATAATTTATTCAATGACTTGATCAATGTATCTATCATAGTTTCAGTAGAGAAGGCATTTAACTGAAAATTAGTTTTAAGTTGAGAGAGTTCAATTTATCCCAGGACAATGATTTTGTAGTCTAAGAATTTTTTAATTTGTTTCACACACAGTATTGGTCCATGTAGACCAGGGGTCTCCAAACTTTTCAGTCCGAGGGCCGCATTAACTATCAAATTTCAGTTCGGGGGCCAGTTTCTTCCACTTAAGTCTTTGATTTTTCTGGGCAAAGTTCCACAGCAATCACCGACAAACGATTTTTCTTTGGAAAAAAAGATCTCCGCGGGCCGGATGAGAGGACTTCGCGGGCCGCATCCGGCCCGGGGGCCGTAGTTTGGAGACCCCTGATGTAGACTAATGGAGACATTTTACAAGGGAGTGTGAAAAAACTTTTGTATGAGGTAATCTAAACTTGTACAATACATTTACCATTCCATCTGAAGATCAGTTATGAAGCAGCTACGTACCCGTATGGGCCAGTTAGAGGCCAGATAGCTGTGGGAGATGGGGATGACTTGCCACTGTTTGTTGCCTATGTAGCCGTGGCCAGCAGAGGAGCTGCCCCCTGCGTGGTAGTGGGAGTGTCCCCGCGACATGGTGTCCCCTGTGCTCATGTACAGCTTGTCCTCCCCTTGCAGGAACACATGTTCATGGTTGCCCTGAATCAATCACACAACAATTTTTTTTTTAATCTTCAAATCAATTTTGATAAAACAAAAAGTACTTTTATAAAGATATAATTTTTTAAGAGACATACTCTGAAAAATTTTAAAAAGAGATTTCCTATAATGAAAAAGAGACCTAATTTAATTGAAAGAGAGACCTATTCTCATTAAAAAGAAACTAATAAAAAAGGAAAAAGCTTAAGAACTCTTTCAAACCTTACAAAATATAGGGCAGGTCAAGTAGAGTTCACCTGTTTCAGTCGCCTTAGCATGTTAAGGGATAGTGTGGTCAGCACAATACCAAGTAATCTTTACTTTCCCTAACATGAGTTATGTAAACATCAGAGCTGGGTGGACTCAGACATCCTACAGACTTGAGCCTGGGATCAGAACTCAAGACCACACCAGCACTTTGTAACCTACGCTATTGAAAAGATGACCTTCTCTGAAAAAAAGGCCTACTCTGAAAAAAAAGACCTACTCTAGTTGAAAACCAGACATTCTCTAATTGAAAAAGAGCTACTCTGAAAAAAAAGACCTTCTCTAATTGATAAAGAGACCTACCATGCAAGGGTTTACAGTGAGTGCACTCTTCAGGAACTGGAACTGAATGAGTTCTGTAGCTGACACCTGTTCCAGCTTTTCCTCCTTTACTTTGTTATCTTCACAGTTTTCATCACTCTTCAGTTTCCTGTCAAACTCGTCAGAGAAGGAGCCCTCTTTAGAGTCGTGTCCAGCCAGGTCAAGGTCAGAGTTACCATCACAGGTGAGTGTCACCATCCACAGGTGGTAACCCTCGAGACCCCACTCCATGGATATGATAGGAGGTGGGAACAAGCTGCCATTGTCTGATATGCTGAAATGTTCATTCATGTTCATTTTACTTCTAATTACTTAACTTAATCAGATGAATTATTTTAACAACTTAATTTAAAGCATGTACATATTAATGTATTTTTTTTTACACTTAAGCTGCAGTTTTTAAGGTTTTTCTAATATTATTACAGAAATTGTTTGTTTGCCTTATTGTGGCAACTAGTGTGTTAATAGCATGTCAAGAACTCAACTGCTGAGACTGGTGTACCTGTATTCTCCACCTAATGTACACAGGAGAAGTGATCCAAACACACTCCACAAGGAGAGTCCCCCATTTTTCCAGGACAGGGCCAATGCAGTTCCATCAGGTGTCCACTTCATGCAAGTCACTGAACCAGCAATTATCCCTGCATCTGAGGAGTACAAACATGTCTCATTAAGCATAAGAGCTACTCATATACAGTTGTTAGAAATATAAAGTGATGTGTAAGTTATAAGGGACTGCTTTTATGATTGCATAACCATACTTTAATAATGGAACAAATGTTAATATCATGTGTTAAAACAAACTGAGTATGAATAACAATCAGATCATTTTGTTAGGACAAAGTTTACGCATTTAAAAAAGCCCAATAAGTGGCAGACATACCAGGAAATTCTTTACTTGAGATGACAAGCTTGTGAGAAACTTCCAGAGCCCCCACTGCCTCATCCAAGTGATACACAACACCATCTCCACTACAACAAATAAGGAAACAGTTCAGTTAACATAAAGCAATAATTTTTTAATAACTATTCAGTAAAGATTGGCAAATGGGAAATAATTTTTTTTTAAATTAAGCCATTTTTTTTTTACTGATTTCACAATAGTGTGCAATTGAGCAGGGGGTCTGATTAAGATTAACTATCAGCAAATTTTTAGTTATATTATGATTAATGTAGCTACATAAATACACAGCAGGAGCAGGTAATAAATAAAACCACCTTTGGCAGCCAAAAGCAATAAGTCTATATCTGTGGTTGACAGCAACACTAGCAGCACTGTTGACATCCTGTGCCCAAACCCCATGTGCACTCTGTAAAACATGTAACACATTGGGCTAAAATATTTGTTTCAAACTTTCATTTACAACTTTGTTTGAAACTTGTTAAAAACATGGGTTTAAAATAAAACAATGCAGGCCAACATTAAAATAAACAAATAAATCAATGATCTGTGTTAAGAAATCTCTCACAGAAAAGGGTTTTAAAATGTCTAATGTCACAACTGTTATGTGGTGGCACCTACCGTCTGCTCTCCCCTGTTTGAAGGGGGAATAACAAAGAGAGCCCTGCCAGAGGAAAGCACCATGCTGTAACCACCTAGAGTTGGGCTGTATTCCATCTCCACGACATGACTATCATTATGGGATATCCTTGACGCTAAGAGAATTTTTTTTTATTACACTAAATGCATTTTCAACTTGAACAATCATTAATTAACATCTGTTCATAATTATTATCTTTTTTTTTATCTTATTTTAAATAAAATATAAAAACAAACCTCTAAACTGTTGTAAATCAGTTGACACTGGTATATCCTTAAGGTGCAATGTAGCCTTCTCATTTTTATTTCCAGACCATCTTAATCTGTTTAGACAACCATCTACTGTGGCAACCACCAACTCATCTTTCACTGAGAGAAAGCTGGGTGGAAGAAAAATCACAATTTTACAATGGAAACAAACATTCCATTTTAAATAATACTGCTATCATTTGAAGCCTATGACAGTCCTGCTACATCCTTACCATGAAATTGATGACTGCATTCTAACATGGGCAACATATGTGAGCTTTATTGCTGGGACACTATCACTATCTAAGATGCCATTGATGTTTATTTTTGGTGACAATGGAACTCTGCAAGAGGAATCAAGGAAAGAAAACATGTAGAGATTTTGTAAAGTAATTCATATGTTTTACAGTACAATCAGATTGTAACAAATAATAAATAAATTAACAATTGTAGGAGTGAAGTTCAGTCAAAAGTAAAAATATTGATATAAATATTGATAAATAATAATCAATAATAAAATATAAAAGTCCATTTTATCACATTATTAATAAATTGATTGATTTCACAATTTCAAGTTAATATAAATATAACTATAGATATGGACTATGTTTTGGAAAATGGAAGCACTACTGTTCACTTACTTTCCTTCTTGCATGACATAGAGACAATGATGGTTAGGTACAGTGTTGTCAACTTCAACTTTAATAAACACAATACAATTGTTCTCAGTCTGCAAAGGAGTAAAATGGAATCCATTAAATTCTTATGCATGCTTGCATATATAGAGTTTACAATTTCAATAGTCTACAGCAGTAAAACACACTATCTTTTAGAAGTCTTACCATTATAGCAACTAAAGATGAATCTGGTTTCCATTCCCCTCTGAGAAAGTTTCCAACTTCTGCAAGTAACTTATGATTAAGTTTAAGCGTCACAATCTGAACACATGGCTGAAATTTTTAAATTGAAAATAAGTTTGACATTTATTAATCAAATTGTATGTTTAATATCACAACAAAAAGCTTTTTTGTTTAAAAGCAAGGTGTAAAAAACTGTAAAGTGTCACGGCAGTCAAGAATATGTGCTTATTTACTAATTACTTGCACAATGGAAAATTACTACTATAAATAGTTAAATTGTAATGTCTAATTTCATATTATGATTAAAACAATTGCTCACATTCATTATAGAGAGATTAATTAAAAGAATGCAGCAGCTACTACAGATTGTTTTTTTTTTAAGTGAAGGTAGGACAACCTACTAGATACTACCAGTGGCACTCGAAGTTCATGCTTATAAAGTATGAAGTATGAACATAGTCTCTTGTATTATTAATTTAAAAATAGTATTATTAGGCTAGGCTATCCACTATGACGATAATCCATTATTATAATGAGTTGGCTAGTTGTTTATTTACAAATAAGCCTATATGACTTTTTATTAGTATACTATTTTAGTTATTTAATTATTAATAATTAGTCTAGGCCTAACTCTAGTAACTAGTTACTAGGCCTAGTAATTTAGTTAGGCTATTAGGCCTAATAGTATACTAATACTATAATAGGCCTATTAATTATAATAATTATTAATTAACAGGACACTGAGAAACCTACTTCACAGTCACAAAATACTGGACTTAATTTAGGCTCAAATATAATTATAGTAGATCTATTACTCGGTGTTAGATTAGACTTAATAATAGTGTGTTATACTAAGAGACTAAAAGGGTGGAGTTAAACCTGAATCACAAAACTGGAGGGGCTGGAGGGGGACGGTGGTGTACCAACCTTTGAATACCAAATATTAAGAGACTTGGACGATACGACAGCAAACAGCAATCGATCACAACTACTGACAATATGATTTATATTATGAGACTTTCCTTTATTTGATTTTAGCCTTTTCGGCCAACCTAAAGGAAAATACATCGTAATTATTTTAATGGCTGTTTAACACAACTACGACGACTTCGTCAACAATCGCCATATTGTTTCGATACACCATAAAGACAAGTGAAAATCATTGTGATTGGTCAAATTGCTGTAGCTGTATCTAATCAAAAATAGTTTCACAGTGGGGTAAAAAATAGCAGGAAAGGATCGAAAAAATAAACCTGGCTCAGAACAGAGCCTACCTTGCTAATCTACATATAGATTCTAGATCTACATATATTATAAATTATAAATATTTTTTATAATGTACCTCGATCGTAATGTAGGCGCTATTATTATTTAACAGTTTTTGGAGTTTTTCTTGATTATAAGGTTAGGTCAGGGTGTGTCACCCCATCTCCCTCCCTCTAACAATTTTGCCATTTTGATTTGGAGTCATCCCTCTCCCCCAGTAGCGTAGCGAGGGGGGGGGGGGGGGACACATGTCCCCGGGCACCGATCTTAGGGGGCGCCAAAATGGGTTGTAAAAATAAATTGAAAGGATGAGGGGGGTGCAAATTGAAAGTTTGAGGGGGGGGGAGGGTCCAAATCGAAATCTCGATCGGGGGGGGGGGGTGCAAATCGAAAAGTTTGTCCCTGGGCGCCGGGAAGGGTCGCTACGCCTCTGCTCTCCCCCTACTATTTTATTACTTTGACTGGTTGAAAAATTGTTTTGACGGTACATTAGTACTATTTTCGACGTGGTTGCGCCCGTTAATGTGAATGCCAACCCCCCATATATACACTCAAATACCAGACGACGCCAAAAAATTAATATAGCTAGTCAGCACTATGACAATGCATGTACAATATTGTTCGCTTTTATGGGGGGGGGGGAGGGGTTGTATTCGTTTCAGTAGCGTACGCAGGGGGGGAGCAGGGGGAGCGGCCGCTCCCCCTCTGGCCATTTTCAGCAAAGTGGCGCCTTTTTGGAAACTTTTTAAACTCACAGTTTTAAACAATGATATTTGTTAAAAAATATTTTTGGTCGGCACATCTAAGTAAATCACAAGTTTTCTTTTCATGCAGCAATTAAGCATTATTGTACTAGTCTAGTAGTGTCTACGTTTACAGCACGTATTAACAGCTGCATCAGTTCGCCATTCTAAAAATAACCATTACGATGCATTGCAATGTTTAAAAAACCTCTACGGTAGTACCACTTGGCAGGAGGGGTGTTAAGTTTAAGGCAACTGTATAATGTATTTGGTTACGAATAATTGAATTAGAAAATGTTATACATAAAACTTCACACATAATTACTTTATATATACAGTTTGAATAGTGTGATTAATTTAAAAAAAAAAATTACAATACAGAAACAGTTTGGGCGATAGTGATTACGATTACAAATTATATGAAACAGTTACAACCTCCCCCCTCCCCCATGGACCCCTCTGTAAAAAAAAATATTGTCATAATACCACTGCTACTTATTTAAATCTATTTCTGTAATATATATTTGTGTAATATATATTTGTGTAATATATATGTATGTTTAGAACAGTCATCTAAAAACTGACGCTATGTTCACTCTGAGCTGGTTATCTCCCCCGCCCCCCCCCCCCCCCACCACACACCTTACCACCACAATTGTGTAGAGCGACATTAATGTCACACCTAGGTATACACTGGGTTGGATAATTGACCTAAAGTGAACGGACAGTGGTGAATGAAGTTGAACCCATCCCCCCCCCCAACCCACCCCGAACTGATCTGTTAAGTACATGTAGAGAACGCGTAATGATGTACCAAAGTACCATGCCGCCAGAAAATTAGCTTTTTAAACGTAAAACTCTGTGAATATTGTTTTTGAAATTACCAGTAAAAAGGTGTGTAATCAATACAGTGATCTAACCCAGGGGTCTCCAAACTTTTCAGCCCGAGGGCCGCATTAACTATCAAATATCAGTTCGGGGGCCAGAGTTTCTTCCAGGCACCTCTTCGATATGGCGGAGCCCCCCCCCCCCCCCCCCCCCCCGACGAAATATAATTTATATAGAAATATATACAAATTTCAAGTTCCTCCCTCCCCCTCCCCGGATAAAAAAGTCTGAAAGAAACACTGTCGACAACTCACTCGAGGTACACAGGATTCAGTACACTGCTAATGTCCACTATTTAGCACACAAAGCTTGCTGGTGAATAATACAGTGCAAGAACATTGGTTTTATAATGTTTTTTTCTCATCCGCTTGTCCAACCAAGCCTTTCTTAATGCCACTTATGTTAGTCCAGTCAAAGTTATAATCAGCTATGACTATTTAGCACACAAAGCTTGCTGGTGAATAATACAGTGCAAGAACATTGGTTTTATAATGTTTTTTTCTCATCCGCTTGTCCAACCAAGCATTTCTTAATGCCACTTATGTTAGTCCAGTCAAAGTTATAATCAGCTATTCCCTTTTTAACTGATTGAATATATCATCTCCGGTAACAGAGCCACAAATGCTGTTTAGGCAAGCCAGCTCTTGTGTTATGTCCATGTTTTTATCCACACCTCTAATGAACACAAACAGAGGTGGAACAGCTGCCCAGCGACTAATCCATTGCAATTGAAAAATGGCGAAACTTGCTTGCATTTTTCGCTATTTGAGTCACGATGTTTTCACCAATGTCTGCAACACTGCGGGCAATGGTATTTGCACCCAAAGCTATATTTTCAAATTTTTTCAATTTTCTGGGCAAAGTTCCACAGCCACCTCCAACAAACAATTTTTCCGTGAACACGTGAACAAAAAGATCTCCGCGGTCCGGATGAGAGGACCTCGCGGGCCGTAGTTTGGAGACCCCTGATCTAACCCATACCTATCTCTATGTTAAAAAAAATGATCTATTAAGGACACAAAGGAGCAGTAGTTAATTAAAATATATGTATGAACTGAACGACCGATATTTAGATATATTTAGGCTGTTATTCCGAATGTTTTTCAAATGTATATAACGAAAAGCGTGCTTTTATACCAACTCTGATTTTAAAAACTTTCATTATGCTGTAATAGTTTAGCATTTATGATGACGATATTTTAAATTCTGATTATAGACAAAAACAATTTGAAAACACGAATAGTCTTAAACAATTTTATTATATTCTAAAGTAATTATTTATTTGTTTTGACATTTATAATTAAAGGTGTAGATATATACATATTTATATTAAGAGAGTGATTATTTCCCCTATTTCCATTGTCTTAAATAATTTCCCAGGAATTATTATGTAAGAAATTTTGTTTACAAGAATTACAAAACAGATTGTGTTACGTTCATTGTTTTTGGTTGTAGTGTATATATATATATATATATATATATATATATATATATATATATATATATATATATATATATATATATATATATATATATATATATATATATATATTGAAACAATTAGATTGAAACAGTTTTTGTTTTGTCGGCCAACATTGTGTGTTTTTTCTTATTTCTTCGGAGTGCAACTTTCAATTTATTTTACATCATAGCGAATTAATGACATACAGCTAGCTATATATATATATATATATATATATATATATATATATATATATATATATATATATATATATATATATATATATATATATATATTACACGTATATAGAAGGTGTTAAAAATTCGGCGCCTTTTTTTGCTCTTTTCGCTCCCCCTACAACGAAAACCTGGATACGCCTCTGATTCGTTTCATTAATTTATAGGAAATGCAAACATCTAAGCCAGTAATTAAAAGAACTTCATTAGTCGTATTATTAGGGAGAACGTTTTATACATCGACAACTAGCTACAATGCCACGTAAAAAATATTGACGAGGACATTATATCTAGTTCAAAATCTTGTTTATGTGTTCGCTAGACGCACGTGTTTGTGTGTTTGCTATGTGTTCTCTATACGTGTATGCCTATGGGTGTTCTCTATACGTGTATGCCTATGTGTGTTCTCTATACGTGTATTCCTATGTGTGTTCTCTATACATGTATGCCTATGTGTGTTCTCTATACGTGTATGCCTATGTGTGTTCTCTATACGTGTATGCCTATGTGTGTTCTCTATACGTGTATGCCTATGTGTGTTCTCTATACGTGTATGCCTATATGTGTTCTATATACTCGTTTGTTTATTCGCTTCTCGTGTTTGTGTGTTTGCTTTATGAGTTTGTGTGTTTGCTATACGTGTATGCCTATGTGTGTTCGCTATACGTGTATGCCTATGTGTGTTCTCTATTCGTGTTTGTTTATTAGTTTATCGTGTTTGTGTATTCGCTGTATGTGTTTGTGTGTTTACTGTACGTGTTTTCTATAATTATAGTCATATGTGTGATTACTATTCGTGTGTTTGTGTATTTTTTTCACGTGTTTGTGTGTTCTATTTACGTTTTTGTGTGTATACATTTTCCGCACAGTAAAAGTCAAAACTCTTCGTAATCTATTGTACATCAGTCTTGTAAGATGGGACATGCGTGTGTTATCGGCTAAGTCTTATGTACTTATATGCTCGATTGAACAGAATCGACAGCAAGTCCCAGCTGTCCAAGTGATAGTTTGGGCGTGCACATTTTTTGTTGATAAGATGTTATGTTGACATAAACCATTGACTCGTGTGTTGACTTAAGTATTCGTGAAATGTAGACTGCTAGACTTAACTTAGCTATTTGATTTTAAAAATGTCAACACAAGGACTAAGATTCACAGTACTACCTATGAACTATGATAAAAAAAAATTAAGAGATACTGACAGCTCTTTTTGTGGTAAGAATAAACTATGTTTTTCTAACTTAATTGCAATAACAATTAATTAGTACGCGAATGTGACCTAAATGCCTCACATATTTTGGAGACATTGTTTTCTGTACTTGAAATGCCATTTTTTGTTTAAACTTTTAACAATTTGTTTTCAGGCACACTAAAGAACGAGCAATCTGAGTGTTCATTGAAGTGCAACGTGCTGCGCTTATCCCCCTTTGATATTCATAGTTTACTATTTAAAAGAAAAAAACCATTTCGTGTGCGTTGAATTGTCGATGGCGAGTTTCTAACCTTAGCAAACAGACCTAAACCCAGTGGCATGCATGATCAACAAATACAACAGCTGGACTATTTATAGATTGCAGATTTGTAACGTTAAATCTGATAAATCCACGGTCAAATATTTAAATCGTGATGGATTTAAAATCTGAATAGTGACGTTATGATGAAAATTGGATACAATAACTCAATATTGAATAATATAAGCTAGATATAATATCACAATACTGAATGATACAAGCTAGATACAATATCCCAGTACTGAATGATATCAGCTAGATACAATCTCCCAGTATAGAATATTCTTTTGTTAGCTTTGTTAGGAGAGATAACTGCTGACAAAATAAGCCGCACTATATATATATATATATATATATATATATATATATATATATATATATATATATATATATATATATATATATATATATATATATATAGTGTATGTGCATGTGTGTGTTTGAGCGAATGACCTCGATCAATACTCTCGATACATACAGCTCATGGTTCATGTTTTCTACTGCTTTAAATGGTCGATGTTATCACCTAATACGTTATCTTATAAAGGATTGAATCATTACCTAGCGCCAGTAAGTGCAAGAGCTTGATTTGGGTTTCGAGAGAGGTTTGTGGCAGGGGTGAATTTATCCCCAGTCAAACGACGCTGGTCTTTATATTGTCGTGTCTATGGAGAACTCTCGGGCTAGAAAATTATTATAACGCTGGATTACAAGTCTAAGGGAACCAAATCACAGGCAGGTGATGACTTTTACTCTGTCTAGAGCAGAGGCGTAGCGACACCTCCCGGCGCCCGGGGACAAACTTTCAATTTTGCTCCCCCCCCCCCCATATATTTTTTATATTTATAATTCAAAATAGCAGCTAAAATGAGCTTATTTTTGCGCCCCTAGGGTCGGCGCCCGGGGACAAATGTTACATCTTCTCCCCTCCCCCCCCCCCCGTCGCTACGCCTCTGGTCTAGAGTCTAGAGGGTGTACCTCGCTGTCTATTGTGTCTGTAGCTCTAGGCACCATCAGGTAATTGGCCAAATCTGTATCTTCGTTGGTCAGCAGTTTAAAAAAAATCAGCTGACCAGAAATATTGTTACTGTTTACTGCACGGATTAGCCTGGGATTACATGGCCCGCTCAGATGTATCGAAACATGTTATCAACGTTGTCATGATCGATAGGGTATCGCTACGTCTTAATCTTGTTATCTCCCCTTTCTATATTGATTATAGACATTTTAAAGTTATTTTAAAGTCTAATTTAACAGGATATTAGACGGGGAAAATAGATAATGTGTTGTCGTTGGAAATTAATGTATCTTGGATGTTTGAACATGAGAAGTTGGTCAAAAAATTTAGTTATAAGGTTTGAATACAAACCCACCCACAGAATGACAATCATTGCGATCTAAGTAACTTTGGTTTTTATTTCTACTCAGTCCCCATAAAACATTAAAACATCCCCCCCCACCCGCCCCAAAATTCCCCCCCCCCCCCCACCGCCATCCCGAGCTATGCTACTAGCCACAGCCACACCCGTTATAAAATGTAAAAGGTAAACATATCACAGCACTACACATGCAGTATATCAGTATCAGTCGCGTTGTGTTATCTTCACTAATCCCTTATGCAGAAGTGCGTTTTTAACGACATCGTACATTCATCACCGATTATGTCTTAAACGCCCCCCCCCCCCCTTCCCCTCCCCCAGCCCTACTAAGCCCAGAGACAGACCAGAAGCCTCCGTAAAGACGTCAGCCAACCAAAGGTAGTGTATGCACACGGCAGTCGGGCCGCGGCGAGAAATGGTTGGAGAGCGAACGACAACTCT